TCTCAATTTTAAACTAGTTTTGGTTCGTTTTGATTAGTTGCGGAGATACAGCAAACAGCATTAAACAAAAGAGAATTTAATCTTCCTCAGCTTTAAAATAGTTTTGGTTAGTTCTGGTTAGTTTTGATTAGTTACAGCAAACAGCATTAAACAAGAGAGAATTTAATTTTTCTCAGCTTTAAAATAGTTTTGGTTAGTCTTGGTTAGTTCTGGTAAGTTTTGCGTAGTTTTGGTTTGTTTTGGTTAGTTTTGATTAGTTGCAGAGGTACATCAAACAGCATTAAACAAAAAAGATTTTAATTTTTCTCAGCTGTAAAACAGTTTTCATTAGTTTTGGTTAGCATTAAACAAAAGAAATTATAGTTTTTCTCAATTTTAAACTAGTTTTGGTTCGTTTTGATTAGTTGCGGAGATACAGCAAACAGCATTAAACAAAAGAGAATTTAATCTTCCTCAGCTTTAAAATAGTTTTGGTTAGTTCTGGTTAGTTTTGATTAGTTACAGCAAACAGCATTAAACAAGAGAGAATTTAATTTTTCTCAGCTTTAAATTAGTTTTGGTTAGTCTTGGTTAGTTCTGGTAAGTTTTGCGTAGTTTTGGTTTGTTTTGGTTAGTTTTGATTAGTTGCAGAGGTACATCAAACAGCATTAAACAAAAAAGAATTTAATTTTTCTCCGCTTTAAAATAGTTTCGGTTAGTTTTTGGTAGTTTAGTTACAAAACAGATTTTAATGTTTCTCAGCTTTAAAAGAGTATTCACATTAAATATAATTAGAAAAAATTGTAAAATCCGAGTTATGCCCCCTGGCGGCCATTTCGGAAATTCGACTTGGCCAATGAACTTTCTCGTTCAATCTTCTAAGACCGTATACTTTTCCAACGTTCCAAGACCGATGTATACGACACCGTGTTCGTTGTTGAATTCTACCGCGATGTTGCCAACGTTAATGGGAAAAAATAGAATTTCTGAGCGTGCAAAGCAGTACGGTGTTGACGCTAAACCGGCGAGGGTGCACGGTAGGGAGGTGGGGAGGAGAAGCGGGATCGGAATTTCCCGGGAAAAATACCGCGCAGAAGCGACCAAGCTGCATCGATCGACGCGAAATAAATTATAGTCGCGGACATGACCCACGCAATATTTTAATTCACCAAAGGTTATACTACATCCGCGTCGCGTTTTTATTACAAGGAAAAATGGCGACGGGAAATTCGATACGAGAAAATGCGTTAGTCCGTTCGACCAGAAATATAGTGCTTTTACAACAGAACCCGTGATTAACTTTGTCTACTGTTCATTACTCCAAAACCGCATTCCCTTATAGAACGCCCTACCGAGCAGACCCTTACCCGTAACCAGTCCAGCACTGTCCTACCTACACTAACGAGCGGGATATAAGCATACTTTTTATAAAACTTCTGAATTCGTCCTGCGTCGGTTTTTGTTGACTCGAAATAGCAAACGTTTCGCCAATCATCCTATGGACTGAAACTGGCTCGCATTTTACTCTGTATGGTCTGTTCATAGATATAAGAAAGTGACCAATTGCTTTTGAATGGGATTATCTAAATTTCCGCCATTTAAATTCAGGTAAAATTGTGGTCCGTAATAGAATATAATTTTATATTTACCTGAGTTTAATATTCTTTGGTTTGGTATACTACTTAGTTTAAGTTTATTAGTAATCATTCTTACTTCGTGTGTAATACAGCGTGTGTTGAATCGTGTGGGACTTATGCAAAATATGTGCGAGTCTAGTGTATCTCAGGACATGCTCCCTATTCAGACTAAGGAAGTTATAAACAATGTTTATTTGACTCTCATTGAACGTGGTGCCGGCATGCAAGCATCATTAGAAGAAACGGTCACGTTGACGAAAATTCCAACATCAACTGTATGGAAAATTGTGAATAATCCCATTTCAGCGTGGAAAAAAAGAAGCGATGCTGACATTTTCTCGAGTGTAGATGAAAGTGATCCAGATATAATACGGCGTAAAATTTACCAGTTATACGAGGAACAAAGCGTGCTTATATTAGATATCTTATTTAGGAGGCTTGAAAAAGATGAAACCTGTGTTAAATGTGGCAGAACTACCTTATGGAAGTGTATTCAACACAGGGGTTTTAGATTTAAAAAAATTGACAAAAGGGAAGTTTTAATGGAATCTTTTAGAATTCGGAAATGGCTACTGGAATATCTAGAAAAAAATAGGATTTACGGAGAACAACAAAGGCCAATTATTTACTTGGAAAGGGGTTGGGTTGACTCAACTGATAAGTGTAAAACAAACGCGCCATCAAAAAGAGGTAAAAGAATAACTATTTTGCATGCTGGCTCTAAAGATTCCAAATGGACTTTCTCTGTCTGCGAAAAAAAAAAGAGAAAAAGACACCACCGCTGATTTATTTGAAAGTTGGTTTAAAAACAAACTAGTTCCAAACAGTCCTCCTAGTAGTCTCTTTGTAATGGACAATGCAAGTTATCACAGTACACAGCTGACTGAAAGCCCTTCCTCATGTGACACAAAAGCAACAATCCAAAACTACATGTATAATAACGACATTTTCAAGAGGATTATACCAAAAAGCAATTAATTGAGGTTCTACAAAGCTTGAACCTACAAAAGGAATACGTCTGTGATAATTATGCAAAAAACAGTTTTAAGGTTTCCACCACTGTATATTTAATCAAATGCAACATGTTTGGCACCAACTGAAATCTGCCATTCGATGTAACAATGTTTTTCCCCGTGTTAGTTGGGCAAATTCTGTTAAACATATAGAAAAAGCAGAACAATCGTATATCCATATTGCAAACAATATAGAACAAATAATAATTAGAACAGGCGACGATAGCGATAGCGATACTGATATATTATGTGAATAATTTTAAGTAATTTAAGTAAATACATACATAAATAAATAAAAATTGTTTAGTACCTTACATTTATTGTAAAATTGTAAACATTCAAAACAATTTGTTTAGCATCCGAAGACAAATGGATCCGTTTTTTATTTGCTGAGGTAGTTCGTTTTCTAAATTGTCATTAGGTTCGCCTACCATCTCCAATTTATCTTCAAATTCTACGTTGTTTTCGTGTCTTCTTCAAACAGGGGAACATCTGCTTCATTCAGCGGTCTCCACATTTTAAAGTGTTAAAAAAAACGTTTAATTGCAAGATTCTAATAAATATTTCTTCGTTCCTTATTTACCGCTAATATAATCTATAATTGTTGTTTACAAATCGAAGAACTATGTAGAAAACACAAAAATACAAGAAAAAGACTGTTGTGAATCGACAGGCATACGAAACAAAAAAATACTTAAAACGTCAAAGCAATAAATGCACTATATTTTTGGTCGTACTGTACTGGCATTTTTATCCGTTAGTTTTTATTTAGTTAGTTTTTATAGCTAAACTAAAATAAACAATTCAAAATCGTTTTCAAATATATGTGGGAACCCAAACATTTCACACCCTGTTGCATTAGTATATACTCCGTTTTTACCTCAATCGTCCAATGTTTTCGGATTTATGACCATTTTTATTCTTCAAAACCGCGCTTCATATTTCTATAGTAAGTAGTAACCTGTAAGCTGTATATATCAATTATTTATTTATAAAAAGTTAGAAGCAACGAGCTATAATTTACCTAGATTAAACATGTTTCGATGCCTACGATACTGTATCCAAAGGACAGGTTGACTTTGTTCAAAACTGTCCGAAAAAAACACTTTCAAATAAAGAAAAACGCATCACTATAACACACGCTGGGTCTGACGACGGATTTATCCCAAACTGCATGCTGTTGTCATGATTATTATTATCAAAACTTCCATAAAGATGAGACAGACTATACATTATAAATCATTGTTTCATTATCGTAAACCAGCAAATCATCACAGGAAACTCTTTTATCGATGACTTCCCGTCTGAGAATAGTTTCCCATGCCGCCGTACGATGGCGCTGTTTGCGCGTTTCCAGGCACTTTATAACCTTAAAATTATGTTGAACTATGATAGTGGCCGATAGAAATAAAGAAGAAGAAGAACCTTAAAATTCTGCCTTTTTTAATTTGGTCACCCTCTATCATTTCGTAGCGCTTCGCATCGGTTCCGTTTCTCATGGGAAATGTGAGGCCTTCGTTGCGTGAGAGGTTTCGCACAGGGGCACAAAGCTCTCGTCGAAAACGCGATGAAAAAAAAAAAGACGAGGGTCGACGACATCCATCGCACGTATTTTAGGTACTGGAAATGCGTTTTGCGTGGGTGGTCGCGCGACATTAATGACCGGTCACGGTAAAGGAACAAACATAATGGCTACGTCCGCCATGTTGTCTGGTAGGATTTCGCCTATGCGGAACCGGGTGAATATTTTTTTCTCGGCTTTTTTGTTCAACCTCAACTCGGGTTAATTTTTTTTACGATTTTACTAACAATGCTCTGTTTAGTTGAATGTGATGTGATCCTAGTCAGTAAACTCACCTCTTTACGTTTTTCAAACTACAACAAGAAAATAGAGATATCAAAAATGCATACGAACTACTACATGTCAAAAAAATTATTTATTTTATTTATTAATATTAAATCCACGTTCTTCAGATTATAAGAAAATAGAGATATAAAAAATGTGTATCGGTATAAAATGTCGGTCGCAGCTCTAAATAATCATATCGAACGGGGAAAAAAACTATAAACAACTGAATTGGTCTGGTTTTTCCATCGGATCAGAAACAAATGAGGCAGATATCGGCAAAAAGATTGGAAAAAATGAATCGCAAATAATAAACCAAAAATCCAACCAGCACGTAATATTTTTCGAATAGGTCCAACTTACCTGCGCTTTTGTATAAAAGGCATACTTACGCTGATAACAAAAAAAAAACACCAACCACTTACTAAGATGTCGTCCAAACGCGCCAAATCCATGGCGAATTATGAACCCGACACCTCCGCCATAATTCGCATAATTTTATAAAAATAGAATAAAACGACTTACCCCTTGCTTAATGGTTCCGAGATGGTTCCCAACGACTCCACCTCTGAAAATGCGGTCACCACATGAGTTCCGACGTGGAAATTATACATGGTACATGGTAAACCGTAAATACCTGATTCGGTAACCCCCTCCGTCGATGTTTCCTCAAATTCTGCATTCGATCTGGGTGCGTCGCGGCCCCATTTCGAATTCGGGGCTCCATTCGTCGGCGACCTTTTCCTACTCACCGTCTGCTCGCTATGCAGGTTATAAACGTGGTAGCTACCGAATTTCTTGTACTCGGCTATTTCAGTTTTCAACTCGGTTATCAGTATCTGCCTCTGCAAGTTGTTTCGGTCCTTGGTCTGATAAATTTCGTCCCTCAGACCCTTCACTTTGGCATCTTCGAAATCGACCCGGTCTCTTTTCGAGCCGTCCTTTTTGTAGTTGAGTATTTCCTCCTTCAGATGGTTCAAATTCACCCGGTTTTTGAGCAACGCCGGATCCGTACCGGACAAAAACCGCGGGCTCGACGCTGCCGGTTGTTCATTAACTCTAAGAAATGGTTGTTTGGCGGGCGAAGATCTTGCCCGCTTTTTTTGTACGTTGCGCGCAACTTGGGCCTCGTTTGATGAGGAAGAGTGGTTCACGAACTGCTTGACAGTTTTAAATCGATCTTTCCGGGTACTTGGCTCCCTGATATTCGTCGAATGCGGCCTGTCGGCACATTTTTTCGTTTTGACTCCGTATAACTTCGGAGCCGGTTTCGCACAAATATCTCGGAGGTCGAAGTCGTTGTTTACGAGCGGGATTTCCGACAATTTACTGACTTTGGGCTCGAAATGTTTAACGACCTGCCAAGCGCCGCTTCCAGCTTTGGCCTTTTGCACCGACTTGGAAGTTTTGTTTGTCATCTTTAGAAGAATTCGAGGTTATGGAAATCCGCCGGGCTAAATTTCACACGCGTGTTCCTATGCCGGTACCTGATGTTCAACGGGAATCGATTTCACCATAATGGGCAATAATTAAATTGCTTTTTCGTTTTATTTAAATAACACTCCCGCGTTTGGGCACCAATCACCAACACAATTATAAGTTTGTAAACAAACGAGCCATCTGTCGGCAAATAGATGAAAGTTCGAATAATCCCTGTCTTAAAATATTTTATCGGGTGGAAAATACAAAATATTTATTATTTTACGAACCGGACTGTATCCTGATACGGTTTTTTTACTTGAAATAAGCTGATGTATTGCAATTTTAATTTTAGTCACGGACCTACAAAACTTCGTCACGGATCACGGAGCATTTTTCGAAGATTGAGGTTAGGGGTTATATTTGACTTTAATTCGCTCCAAATAAAATGACCGTACCGTTGCCTGCGGGCGCGGGGTTGGAAAATATCGACGGGGAACAAATCAAAACCGTAAGTGCACCCCTGCCATCGGAACCCTGCACTTCGTAACGAGATTTTTAGTTTAAGGACTTCCTCATTTCTTACAATAAACTAACGGAAATGTGTTTTCTCGATTGCGTCTCCGATTTCACCTCGAGGACTATCAAAGGCAGGGAGGTAAAAATCGATTCGGTTTCGGTTAGTCTGAGGTTTATTGGTTTCTACGTTTTCAGGATAAGTGTGCCCTAAATTGCATGGAGAAGTTTCTCAAAGTGAATCAGAGGATATCGCAACGATTCCAGGAGTTTCAAGTATTGGCCAACGAAAACGCAATGGCAGCCCTGCAGAAATCCGGTTGAATGTTAGAAGCAATAGTTTAATTCTTACTGATAAATTGATTTGATAACAAATAAATTTAACACAAATTAAATTCGATTAATTTTCCAGCTTCGAAATCGGTTTTATGTTAAAGAACATTATACCATTACTTTCGAAATTACTTACAAAGGTAATAATTAATATATTATCACACTCCATTAAGTATCCCAATCTGATGGGTCATATATAAATAAACAATCCTCTTGAGTGACGCAGCTTTTGAATTTAACCGTACCATAACCATATTTCAAAAAAATTATTACCAACCACTTGATTCAATAACTGTCCCAAGTAGTAATAGAAAGTTCACCAAAACCAAGGGATAACAACAAATATCGAATGATTTTTAGATATGCAACCAACATCGCTAGCACATTCTAACGTGAGTTTTAATTTGTTGACGCACGTAAACTTAGGGGTTTCCTAAATAAATAATTGTAATGATAATTAAATTAGTTAATTATGAAGTGACGTAATATTCTCCTCGGAAGCTGTCTCCCTTGCCGTCCGTGTTCTGTGGTTCAAGTTGACACCCACCAGCCTACTTGTTGCGTTTTGGGCGTATCGAATTTGAACGGTATTTCATGGATTTCTTGAAATTTATTGCGCAACATTACCCAGAGATACCTAATTAGGTCGTATTTTGGTAAACATCCAATGGTAAAATCTGCTGGGCGACGTACCCGAACTGAATCAAAACGAAAGCTAAAAATAAGTTTAATGAGATTCGATTTTGGCCCCGATTTCTGTTTCGCGTACGGAAAGCGAAGCAAATAAAGCGAGAGGAAACGAGGCTGGCTCGCACAACGCGCGAGCGAGGCGGCAATAGTCCAATTCACTACCAACGTTTTTCCGATCCGACCTGCGGTGTAAACGTCCGCGCCCCTGGCGGCGATATCGCGAACTAATTAAACGAAATACGTAGAATTGTGGCGGACGTGTGTGGCGAACGAATAACGAAGTAACAAAAACGGGTAAATAATGCTTAATTCGGGAAATTGCGCGTCGCGTGTTGGCGCCCCAAACCTCGGCTAGTTCGTTCGCTTCGAAATTATGTGCGCGAAATCGAGGGAAACTTTAATAAATAGTTTGTAAACATACGGATACACGTCGGGTTCCTCAAAGATGGCTGGACTTTGAGAAAATCATTGTCTGCGGATCAGCATGCGAGTGAATCGTTTCAAGGGAGGAAGGAGGTTAGACAGGTACGGTTTCAATTAAAAATGTGGCGGTGTCGAGGGCGAAAGCGGAAACTGGCGACGTTAAACCCCCAGAACGTCGACATTTTGTGTGCCAATCTGTTTACCGTAGACGGTCGCTTACGTGGGAAGGTCGTTCTTTGATAACGTAATTTCTTAGCTGGGGTTTTTGTTTCTACTTCGGTATCGGAACAGGAGGCCGGCTTAAAATCGGAAATAGCCATTTAAAACGTCTCTAGACGTAAGAGTAGATTAAAGACGTCGCTTTCCAAATTAGGCATGGAATATATTCGGGGGCCGTGAAGTCAAATTGGTCAATAACCTACAAATTTGCTTGTACGTGTTTATTCTGTTGTTTTGCGTGTTTTAAGACACGATTGTCTTTAAAAAGTCCGAGTTTTACGGGTTTTAATGGGTTCTTTAAGTAATCCAAACGATCACTTTCATATTTATTTAATCAAAATCTACCAGACATAATGTATGAAGAAGAATTTTAAAGCGATAGATAACGATATCTCAAAGAAGACGTGAGGTTTTCTATTATTTTTTTAGTTGCCGTGCTTCTTTGTATTAAATAACTTGTGGTCTCCGGGTATTTTTAGAGATCTATGACATTAAGCGACGTTGTGTCTCGCGTTTTTCGTCTTATAACTGTGTCAAATATTTAAAATAATAATCGAATCGGCAACAGAAATATTAACCTGGCAATTCAACTTGGCCGAGTGATTCTTGTAGTCGTGGCCATAGAAGTAAAGAAGAAAAAACAATATAACCAATGTAACATACTTTGAGGTATCTAAAAGTCCACCAAAACTCTTCTGCCGTAAGATTTTTGAAAAAAAAACGCGAGGTGTACTACAGGTAATCATGTTTTGCTTTTTTTTCGATAAACTAAAATAAAAGTAAGCAGTAAATAGATCAACTGTCCAAATGCTGACAGTATAGAAAATGTCGTTCACCAATTTCACAAAAGTAGTTTTTGTTGAATAGTGGGATTACGTCATCCAACTGAGGTAACGTATTTTTGTAAATTGAAGGAGGAATAAAATTAATTATAATTTATTACCCCATGTGTGTGTACGTCGGTTTGAATTTTGGAATAAAACGGCAAAAAAAATGTTTCCCGGTACGGTTTTGGAGGGATTTTCGCTGTTCCAGGGAACGCATGACATGTTCATCCAATCCCAGCAGTTCGCCAAAAGTAGCAGCGGCAACATCGCAGTGCAACCGAAAAAACGCAAAGCGGACCATATTTTCGGCGATTGTGGCGACATCTCTTACGGAGGTCTCGGCGAATTCGCAGTGACCGAGTCGCGCAACCCGCAAAACACCAGTTCTGTCGCCGCCGCAGGCGGTCATGTTAGTCCAAAGGGGCAACAGTCCGTCGTGTGTACATCGACAGCTAAACTTTTAGACACGTACCAACGCTGTGGCCAGAAGGTTCGTTAACGGGCTAAATAATTCATGTGAGAAAGATTTTGGGGCGCCTGTCTCAACGAATTTAAACCTTGTTCGTCAGTGGACTAAGTAATTCATATAACAGAGGGATCGGGCACCTTTTCAACGACTTTAAACCTTGTTCGTTAATGTGCCATGTAATTCATACAAGAGAGTTTAGAGCACCTTTTTCAACGACTTTAAACCTTGTTCGTTAATAAGAGACAATTTAGGGCGCCTTTTTCAACGTCCTTCTACCTTGTTCGTTAAGGTACTGAGTAATTCATATATGCGAGGTTTTAGGGCACCTTTTTCAATGACTTTAAACCTTGTTTGTTAATAAGAGAAAATTTAGGGCGCCTTTCTCAACGACCTTAATTTAAACTTTGTTGATAAGAGAGAATTTATTTATTCATTAATGTGCTAAGTAATTCATACAAGAGAGTTTAGAGCACCTTTTTCAACGACTTTAAACCCTGTTAATCAATAATAGAGAATTTAGGGTGTCCTTTTCAATTTACATATTGTTTGCTAATGAACTAGGTAATTCATATGAGATTTTAGGGCACCTTTTTCAGCACTTTTCAACCTTGTTCGTAATAAGTAATTCATATAAGAGAGATTTTTAGGGCACCTTTTTCAATGACTTTAAACCTTGTTCGTTAATAAGAGAAAATTTAGGGTGCCTTTCTCAACCAGCTTAATTTAAACATTCTTAACAAGAGAGAATTTAAGGCACCCTTTTCAAAATATTGTTCTTTAACTTACTAAATAAATCATATAAGATTTTAGGGCACCTTTTTCAACGACTTTAAAGCTTTTCCGTTAATAAGAGAGTTTAGGGTGCCTTTCTCAACGACTTTAATTTAAACCTTGTTTGTTAATCAGAGAGAATTTAGGGCGCTGTTTTCAACGACATTAAATCTTATTCGCTAAGTAAGTAATTCATCTAAGATGTTTTTGAATCTTGAACCTTGTTTGTTAATAGGGTATCTTTTTCAATTACGTTAAACCTTGTAAGTTTAGGGCACTTTAGGTCTTGTTTGTTTTGTTTAAAACTAAGTAATCCATATAAGGGATTGCTGAGTGCGCTTTTTTCAACGACTTGTGTCGTAGTTGCTAAAAAAATATTAATTTTAATTGAGGTTAAGTTGCAAGAGAAACTTAATTCTGATATCCAAAATTTAGACAAGTTTTGCCATAATTCATAATTTAAAACAAAAAAATTGAAAACCATGTTTTTTGAGTTCAAAGAAAACGTCCTATCTCACGCACAGTTCGTCGAAACGTAAAAAATTCTCGAAAACTCCACACCATAAATCCAATTGGTCATTTAGGCGGCACTAAATAATAAATATGAAATAATAGTGGACGGTGGCCCATATGTACAGCACCAATTTTCGTATGTACGGAAATTTGTGCAAGCCATAGCCACTATACTAAAGGTTTTTTTCTGTCTCTGTATGAGTCTTTAAGAAGGGTTTTTCCCAGGCCTCTAGGTATCGCTTTCTGACGTAATCGAAAGTGTTTTTTTTTTTCATCTGAAAATTCGAAGTATTAGGCGTCGTTATCCGTTCCAGCGTAAGACTTGGTCACCAAAAGGTAATGGTGACATCGGCTGCGGCGACAAGAGCTGTCCCACGGTCGTCACCACACAAAACTGTACCACAAATTTCGTCGTTCCTTCGTCCAGCGTCACGACGGCCCATAGCAAAGTCACAGCGGCTCAGGGGGCGACTAACCCCCAGCCGCAAGGTAAGAAAAAATGTAATAACGATTTTATTTTTATTTTTAAGTTAAGACGAGGTCCCATCGCGAGAAACTAGGTTATTTATAAAGATATAAAGACAATTGTGGGTTAAATTGAGATACCAAACGAAATAGACCCATGCCAAACGTTTTCGTCTGTTCTCTGTACCTGGCGTATGTTCTCCGTAACGGACTGTAGTCGACTATTTTCGATTTTAGCCACAAAACGAATTAAGTGCCCGAAATTTCGAACTATCGGACTGAAATTTAATTACGGAATTATAATTTAGTCAAAAATGTACACGAAAACCAGAGGATTGCAATTTTTCAAAAAAAAAATGTATGTGTAAATGGGGCGATGCGACAGATCCTTTTTTCTGGTTGATTGTTGTGATATATCTGAAGTATTTTTCTTGATTGATCAAGTAAAATTGTGATAGGTGGTACTCTCTCACTAACCAAAATTGATCTGTGGTCCCTGCCTTGGTGCCTGCTTACTGCTACTAGCTACTGCTACTTAATCTAGGAAAATCACACAAAATCAATGGCTTTCTGATTATTAAATTAAATTAAATTTAAATTGAAATTGAAAATTCATTTAGATGAAGTTTTGATGAGTTATTGCACTTGGTATAAAATTATTATTTTTTTTTTATGACAAGAATTTTTTTTTATTTTTACCCGATGCGTGTAAAAAAAAGAAAAAAAAGAAAACACGACAATATCTTAGTATTTCGTTCTAATCGTTGTCTACCATCTTCAAGTGAATTTTATTTGCCATGTATATAAGTTTAGGCGCTATTTACATAAAAACGGGAATGGCATTGGACCGCGAGTTTACGTCTATTTAAGTCTATGCCCATAATGCTTTCTGAATAGCCATTTTTCTCGTCTCCTTATTTTTCCAATAATCGGTAGAGTAAAAATAATTTTGCTTACTATGTTACGGTTCTGGACGTTTTTCGACAACGAATTATTTTTGTTCTACTAAATATTTTTCGAAGTGAAGACTTGTTTTTTCAAAACGACCATCAATTCTCGAAGACAACGTACAGCGGTCAGTGCCTGCCTTTTCTCGAATATTTGCTTTATATTTAATTTTAATTTAATTTAATTTTGCACCTCATATATAGATTTGAGTTGTTCAAACCTATTAACAAATTCTCAACAGTTCCATTTGAACCCTCCTCTGCCAAACAGGTCCTACATGTGGCACTTTTGATCTTGAATGGTAGAACGGACCTTGACTGCCTCAGTTCTTCAATGAATCGAGCTTCTAGCAGTCTGCGCAGCTGCTTAGGAGATGAATTTCAGTTGCTTCCTCTGCTAAACACATCCTATATGTGGTACATTCGATCTTGAAGGGTAGAAGAACCCTCGAGTGTTTCAGTTCCTCAATGAATCGAGCCCCTAGTAGTCTCGCAGCTGCTTAGGAGATGAATTTCAGTTGCTTCCTCTGCTAAACACATCCTACATGTGGCACTTTCGATCTTGAAGGGTAGATGGACCCTCGAGTGTTTCAGTTCTTCGTTGAATCGAGGCCTTAGTAGTCCTGCAGCTGCTTAGGAGCTGAATTTGAGTTACCTCCTTTGCGAAACAGATCCTACATTTGGCACTTTTGATCTTGATGGTAGAAGGACCCTTAACTGCCTCAGTTCTTCAATGGATCGAGCTTCTAGCATTCTGCGGAGCTGTTTAGGAGATGAATTTGAGTTACCTCCTCTGCTAAACACGTCCTATATGTGGCACTTTCTATCTTGAATCGAGCCCGTAGTAGTCTGCGCAGCTGTTTAGGTGACGAATTGGAGTTGTCATCTCTTCTAAACACAACACAACATGTGCTGTCGACCATCTGTGATATGAAGGTGCCTTCTTAGATAGCAGCGTCCTTTTAGAAGTTTTACCAGCGTTCTGAGACTGACATCTGTAATGCCGAGAGAACTGCCTCAGGAGCTTCTTCTGTTTCTCATTTGATTGGCATCAATGTCCACATGAGCGATTCAAGTGGCAACTCCAAGCCTAGCTGTTTAGGTTCAATAATAGCGCAATTAATCTCTGCCTGGAGTATACCGAGGCGTCTTGGTTTCCTTCTGAGGCAGTTGTTGGTGTATAAAGTCCGTGCTCCCTTCGAAGATAATCTTCGTTACATTGCGAGAAGAAAAAAGAAAACGGAGGTCCTTTTCCAGGCTCCGGGAGCGGAGCAGACGGCGACTACCAGCTCGTCCAACACGAAGTGCTCTACTCGATGACCAATCAGTACGAAGTTTTGGAGTTTCTCGGCAGGGGAACCTTCGGTCAGGTGGTCAAGTGCTGGAAGAAAGGAACCAATGAGATTGTGGCGATCAAAATTCTCAAAAATCACCCGTCGTACGCGCGACAGGGCCAGATCGAAGTGAGCATCCTGTCGAGGCTGAGCCAGGAGAATGCGGACGAATTTAATTTTGTGCGGGCGTACGAGTGCTTCCCGCACAAGACGCACACGTGTCTCGTATTCGAAATGCTCGAGCAGAATCTGTACGATTTCCTCAAGCAGAACAAGTTTAGTCCCCTACCGCTCAAATACATCAGGCCGATTTTACAACAGGTCCTGACGGCGTTGCTAAAACTTAAGGTAGGTAGCCATTTATTTATTTGCCTTGATCGCCTAAAATGAGCAATTTCCGCTCATTAGTCTTGCTCAAAAGTGCTGGAATGCCGTCAAAATGAAAATATCGGTTTTAGTTTACTTATTCCGAAAAACAAATCAGAATTTCTCAGGAACAAGTCACAATTTTTTTAAATTAAAATTTTTGAGAAACAAGTCAAAATTTCGGACATAAGTAAGAATTTCTGAGAAGCAAGTCAAAATTTCAGATTGAGCTATCAGAATTTCAGATAACCGTGTTAGAATTTTTGAGAAACAATTCAGAATTTGGGACAGAAGTAAGAATTTGTGAAAAGCAAGTCAAAATTTCAGATTGAGCTATCAGAATTTCATGTAAACGTGTTAGAATTTCTGAGAAACAATTCAGAATTTGGGACATAAGTAAGAATTTCTGTCACAAGTTAGCATTTCTGACAAACATGTCAGAATTTCTGAGGAACAGTTCTCAATTTCGGACTTAAGTAAGATTTTCTGAGAAATAAGTCAGAATTTTTGAGAAACATGTCATCATTTCTGAGAAACAATTCGGAATTTCAGACATAAGTAAGAATTTCTGTCACAAGTTAGCGTTTCTGAGAAACAAGTTTCAATTTCGGACGTAAATCCGAATTTCGGATATAGGATTTTCTGAGACACAAGTTAGATTTTCTATTATAAGTCGGAATTTCTGTGAAGCGTGGGAAAATCTCTTTAAGTCAACATTTCTGAGAAATGTGTCAGAATTTCTGAGGAACAAGTCAAAATTTCGGACATACGTAAGAATTTCTGAGAAACAAGTTGGAATTTCAGATAGACTTGAATTTTAGATAAACTTGTCAGAATTTCTGAGAAACACTTCAAAATCCCTGATTTAAATCAACGTAAGGAAATATATACCTAGTTAAAAGTGTAGTAGTACAAAAATTTTCCGTATACTCTGTATATACATGTCTTATCTTTAGGAGTTGTTAAAACCTCAAAGGGGTGGTCTAACCATTTCTTATTTTCCTCTACAAACCGTGACAGGATTTGGTCCACTTCCAATATAATTTTGCCCAAAAATGTTTGATCTTTTCTATCCCCAAATATAAATTAAAGTATTGGCCAATTGAACTGTGAACTTGGACTTTTAAAAAATATATAGAATGAAAATTTGTGTTTTGTCAATAATTTGTCGATATTTTCGAAAAATTTTATTAGAAATAGATTCTTGATCCTTAAAACCCCTCTGTGTAACAATAACCTCAATTTTCCATGGGCGGGAAGGAGCTTTGAGGTATCTACGGATAAACCTTTACCTTAAATAAAAATTTCAACTTTTCCGATTAAAAAAAAATATACAGTGTAAATATAGCTAAAAAAATAGCTTTTATCGATAAATTGGCGGTAATTTATCGATATTTTCAAAAAACTATATTAAAACACACCCCCTGTGCAAAATTTTATCCACTTTCAAATAATAATGCCCGATTTCCATTTTTAGTAACTAAACTAACTTTTCGTTTTAAAAAAAATTCAACTCTCCCGAACTAACATGGGGTTTTTCAAGAAATATATTTATTGAAATCGTAGGTAAAAATAATTTTATCGATAGTTTATCGATATTTTGAAAATAATTAACTTAAAAATAGAATCTCGATCTCTCAGATTTCCATTTAAACTGAGTGGAAGTGCTCCTCTCTTTGAGAAATCTGTGGATATACTCTATATTAAACTCTATAAGAATTTCTATATATAAATAAACAAAATAAATAAAAATTGCTGTTGATATCGGTAGCGGATCGTAGCAGATAAATGTTATATTTTCGTGATCGTAATACTCCAGCAATTATATTGAGATTATTGGTAAAGCGAAACCTGTCGAATATCAAATTTTGTAAATACAAAAACTTAGACGTTGATATATTTTTACCCAATTTGTTCGTTTTATTATTATATTTCTGATAAAACGACGACTTGTTTGTGCAAAAATTTCAAAAAACCATTAATCAGTATTAGGCAATCGTATATAATAAAAATATTTATCAAAGTCAACATTTTATATTAGGTTTTTTTTTTATTTGCTTTTTATCGGAATTTCATTTAAATAGTAGTAAAATTTGCAAATTGTAGCCAAAATTTAACGCACCAAGATATCTATCGCTCAAAATAACAGTAAAACGATAACAAATGGACTTCTTTCTAAATAATTGCTTGAATTTAATTCTAAAAATAGAAAGATTTTTTTTCCGTTATTTCAGCAATTGGGTTTGATCCACGCGGACCTGAAACCGGAAAACATAATGCTCGTCGACCCGGTAAGGCAGCCCTACCGGGTCAAGGTAATCGATTTCGGTTCGGCCAGTCACGTGAGCAAGGCGGTGTGCAACACTTACCTCCAATCGAGATACTATCGGGCACCCGAGATCATCCTCGGGTTGCCGTTTTGCGAGGCAATCGACATGTGGTCGCTGGGTTGCGTGGTCGCCGAGTTATTCCTCGGGTGGCCCTTGTATCCAGGTTCGTCCGAGTACGACCAAATACGATACATAAGTCAGACGCAGGGCCTGCCGACCGAGCACATGCTCAACAACGCGTCGAAAACGACCAAGTTCTTCTATCGGGACATGGACAGCACGTATCCGTTTTGGCGACTGAAAACGCCCGAAGAACACGAGGCGGAAACGAGCATCAAATCGAAGGAGGCGCGCAAGTACATCTTCAATTGTTTGGACGATATCGGACAGGTCAACGTGCCCACCGATCTGGAAGGCGGGCAGCTTTTGGCGGAGAAGGTGGACCGGAAGGAGTTCATCGATCTGCTGAAAAGGATGCTCACCATGGACCAGGTAGCAATATCTATTTCGTTAACGGCCGCGTATTTCCATAAGAGTGTAACGTACGCTGATTCGTGTTTATCTATAACAACAGCCGAGACACACATATACACCGACGTCGACGCCCTCAATCGTTCCAAGATCCGTCTCGCTACCTCGCGTCGATAATTTATCGATATTTGCAAAAAAGAAATAAATTAGACATAGATCCTCGGCCCTTAAAAATCCCCACCGTGCAAAATTATATCCATTTTGGCCTATTGAACTGAGGGGGTGGGCGAAATATTCGACATATATAAAAATTAGTAAAAATTTTAACTTTTCTGAAGCAACGTGGGGATTTTAGAAAACCACAAAATGAAAATCTTGATAAATAAACGAGTTTTATCTATAAATTGTCGATAATTTGTCGTGCCCCCCACCCCCCCCCCCCCCCTCGCGCCGCATTGTAAAATGCTATCCGCTTTCTAAAAATACCCTCAAATTTCCGTTTGAACTGAGACCTTGGACTTTTAAAAAATATATAGAGTGAAAATATGTGATTTTGTCAATAATTTGTCGATATTTTCGAAAAATTATATTATTAAAAATCCCTCTGTGTTAAAATAATCTCAATTTTCCATGGATGGGAGGAGCTTCGAGGCATCTACAGATAAACCTTTACCTTAGATAAAAATGTCAACTTTTCCGTTTTTTAAAAAAAAAATGGACTGTAAATATAGGTAAAAAAATAGGTTTTATCGATAAATTGGCGATAATTTATCGATAATTTCAAAAAAACATATTAAAACACATTTTCGGTCATCAAAAACACACCCCCTGTGCAAAATTTTATCCACTTTCGAATAACAACGACCGATTTCCATTTTTAGTAACTAAACTGAGAGGTGAGCGGGGAAGCTTTGAGATATTTGCTAGCCTCTTTTCATTTTTGAAAAATTTCATCCATCCCAGACCAACGCGGGCTTTTAAAAAATATATATTTAATGAAAGTATAGATAAAAAATGAGTTTTATCTATAGTTTATCGATATTTTCAAAACAATTAACTTAAAAATAGATTCTCGGTCCCTCCTGCCCAAAATTTTATGCACTTGCGTAAAATAACCACAAATTTCCATTTCAACTGAGTGGGAGTGCTCAGTCTTTGAGGAATATGTGGATATACTATATATTAACCTCATTTTTAGAAAAATTTCAAAATGTAGGTAAAAAATAGGTTTTATCGATAGTTTATCGATATTTTCAAAAAGAAACCTTTTTTATCATATATCATAAATCATTTAAAATAAATCACAAATTATTTTATTTGAACTACAGTTTTGGTTAGTTTAAGGAGATAAAGTTTGTAAACAGTTGCGTAATATACACTGAAAACTGACAGTGATGTAAAAGAAACCGAGAATAAATTTTAGTTATAGTGAGGTTTTCGAAGTTCGTATTCGATTATATATAGATATTTCTGTTTTTTACTAAAATTGCAGCTTTTAAAAAGAATTCATTGGGTATCGTCGCAAACAAATTTCTTTTATAAGTATATAATTATGATTAAAACTGGGCAAAATGGATAAAAGTCAATATAAAAAGATTTCATAAAAGATGGTACTGGAGTTAGATCTCTGCCTCACAGTTGAGCCCCTACAAAAAAGAAAAAAGCATTTAGAAAGCAAACTCTATCTTAAATAGTATATGTTTCATTAAGTGTTGTTTCAAAAAAATATCTCGTGTAAATATATAATATATAACGCCCGTTGCAATGGGAGTACCCAACTGGTTTCTGGTTGGGTTTGTTAGTTAGGGTATGTCTGCAACTGTCTGTGTTTCTTATCAGGAGAGACGAACGACACCTGGGGAAGCTCTCAATCATCCGTTCGTTCGGTTGGCCCATCTGATCGACTACGCCCATTGCAACAACGTGAAGGCGAGCGTGCAAATGATGGAGGTGTGCCGAAGGAACGATTTCGCCAACGCGGCTTCCGCCACCCATCACCAGCCCGCCCAGCAGCCGCCGTCTTTGGTCGCCAATTTCGTGCCCAGCTCAAACGGAAACGTGACGTTCACCATCAACAATCAGCTGACTAACCAAGTGCAACGGTTGGTGAGGGACAGGTCCGGATACGATAATTTGGTAAGTACCACCAAATAATAATAACCATAATGTATAATATATTATGATGTTAATAATAAAAGTATAATCACCAGACTTGGTGCTTTGGTGATAATTGGTGATAATTTTAATATACTATAATAATAAATAATACTAATTATCAGTTAATGAATTTTTTAAAGAAAGTAAAGGTATTTGATTTGATGGATTTATTGATGATAATAATATTAATAACAACAACAACAACAACAATAATAATAATAATAATAATAATAATAATAATAATAATAATATAGTCACCAGATTTCAAGCTTTGGTGACACATAATAATATATATAATATTTATTTTTGATTTATTTATTGATACTAATATTAATAATAATGATAATTTTATGTGATGAAAATTAATTTTTTATCTAATAATTTAAACACACACTCATTATTAATAATAATAACGTATCATATATAACAATATAATCAACCTGATTTGCGGCTTTAGTGATTCTTTGGGCTAAATTTTAGTATTATATTAACATTAAATTGATATTATTAGATATAAATTTTTAATTAAAATTGTATTTAATTTCATTGATTTATTGATAATACTAATAATAATAATTTTGTTTTACAAAAATTAGTTACTTATTTAATACATATTATTAGTTTTGCACACTTTTAAAGTGAGTGAAACGTTTTTCTTTTAATAATAATAATGTATAATTTATGATGATTTAATAATAGTCTCCTGATTTGGTGCTTTGGTGATACTTTGGACTAAATTTTAATGTTATATTAATGATATGAAATTAATGCAAAATCATTAAATTACTGTTTAATTAATAATGTTATTTATTATTTAATTATTTTTGTGATAAAATATATAAAAAATAATTGATTTATTGGTAATATTAATAATTTTATTTCTAAAAAATTAGACACCTATTTAATAATTTACATAAAAATAACTCTTTGAAGTTGGCACACTTTTAGTGGAACACCTTATTTATTATTATACACTAATATTAATAATAATAATAATAATAATAATAATAATAATGTACAATATATAATAATATAATAATAATAATAATAATAATCAGATTTGGTGCTTTGGTGATGCTTAGTGTTAAATTTTAATACTGAATTAATAATATTAAATTCAAAATAAATTAAATTAATATTTAATTAATTATTATTATTATTATTATTATTATTATTATTATTATTATTTAAATAAGATGCAGGTATCGGATATGGTTGATTTATTGATAATAATAATTTTATTTGACAAAAATTGTTATTATTGAGTTCATAATAATTATTATAAAAATGTCTATATAAGTTTGACACACGTTTAAACCGAGTGGACCGCTTTTCTTTTGTACATCATAAATTCAGTTTAAATTAATAAAAAAATCTTTAGTTTTTAACAAATAGAAAGAAGTTTCTATCCCTGTCGAATTTGAGGCGTTAATGTAAATTTAAATCATAATAATAAAAGTAATATTGACTTGAATTATTTGTTAATTGTTAGGTAAGTCAGTAAAATGTACTAACTAAAAAGCAAAACAATGCAAAAGGTTATTATTATTACGTAATTTTATTTAATAAAAATTATAAAATTATGTAGTAAATAAATTATAAAGAATAAGATGGGATTAAGATGGTCAATTAATCACATGGCGGTTGCTGTAGATGGACGTAAAAGGTTTGCGAAGTAACGACTAGATTTGTTTGACAGAGCACTTGAAATTTAATTTTGAATCAGCGTTAAAGATAAACTTTAAGTTGTGATCTCAAGATTTAAGGTTGTTTGTTATTTTATTATAAATATCCTTTATTTTTAGTTAGTTTTGGCGTATTAACTTGTATATATAAAACATATATTATTCACGTCTTACCACTAACGTATTGTAAAAGAAATAACACATAGAACCACAACACTGAACTGAACATTAACACTGAGGAGCGGAGTTGAGTATATGAGACCCGAAAATTGATAATAAAAATCAAAATCCAGCTGCCTGGAATCCCTTGGACAGTATAAAATTCATTCTCCCAAAAAAAAGTAATTGCTTTAAAAAATGGCCATTTTGATCGAATATTCTATATTTGAATATATGTATATTATTATATGTTTATTCGAATTATAATTATTTCCTAGGAGAACTCTCGTATTTTCGTAATAATAATAAAAACATCCTTTATTTCTAACAAAATCTCCTTAAGTGACAAAGAAACTTCACATAGCAACATTAAAAAAGATTGTATAGCCCGGTCCTGTTCCTAACGGCAGTCGTCATTGATTTGAGGTAAAAGAGGTTAGGAGAAGTAAAAGTAAAGACGGACCTCGAAAGTGTTGATTGCACCCTTGAAAAAAAGTTTAAGTGCCTCCTGACTTAGCGAGGAGTCTCTGGGATTGATTTGCCGTTCGCCTTTTTCCCCTCAGTATCAAATCTACAACGGTAGAACGGTGGGTAGACAGTACACAACGGGAGCTAGAGCGGACCCATTCCAACACCAATTGGTGTCTAGCATTTTGTGCCCCGCCAGTTACCAAGGTATGGGCGGTTCGCCGGCCAAACACGTCACCGTGGTCCAGCAGCCCCCACTACAGATCCAGCCTCCCATTTTGAGCCAGCCGGGTCAGCAACAGTACGTCCCCGTTAGTGTGGTCGAGCCAACCGGTCGGCAGATGCTTCTCACGGTAAGTTGAGATTCGTGCTTCAAGTGTGGCTAAGGCTAAAAAAGCAGTGATAACAAGGGATCCCGTTAAGAATATAATACTTGAACCACTCGTAAGGTTTCCAACATTGTCCTCCTCAAAAACAAAGGCCTTACTCTTGAATATTTCAAGTCTGGGTCTGATATCTCGAAAGACTTGCAACCTTTTTGGACCTTATACTGTCCTTCGCGGGAAGAAAATGTCTTTCTATAAGTTTCAGGATGGTCCATTTCGAGTATTGGATATGCCCCAAGGTTCAGTTCCGGGACCGCTTTCGTTTTTTGTCCACATAAATGATTTGGTGGAAATAAAGTTTTATTTGCTGACGATTGCCATAAAATAACCTCTTCAAGACGGTCAATTTTGGATTGAGAAATATGTATAACAAATAAAAGTATAATTGAACCACTTACAAATTTAATAATAACTAATAACTCATTCCCATTCCCATTCTCTGTATTCTCTAGCTAACTCTACTTCTGGAGTTTTGAAAGACTAGCGTTCTTTTTACACCTCACAATGTTTTACCAATTACTAGACTCTTATCTCTGCGACACTCATTTTGTCTAAATGTACAGCGATTAAAAATATAATAATTTAACCATTTACAGACCTAATAATGACTAATAATTCATTCCCGAAGTTTCTAGAACAGCTCTTCTCAAGAGTAAAGGTTCTACTCTTGAATGCCTTAAGTCTAGCTAATTAAACAACATTCATCATTGAAATTCAACAAAGAGCTCAACTGGGGCGTACCCCAAGGTTCAGTTATTCTTTCCCTATTCTATTCTATTTGCCTATGACAACGTTTTATCAAAGTCATCGCTCTTCATATGTTACCCATTTGGATTACCATAATAGTGGTTATTAGAGTCGACCCCATTCTTCTTGGAGATCTAGAGTGAACCTGGCGAAAATCGCTCAAAAAAAGCTATCCCGATAACTATTGACATTTAGAAATGTCTTGCAGGTGTTATCCAAGGGACGAAAGTCTTCTAAAAGCTTAGCACGATGATTGTCAGTCACACTTAGGTGATGTTGACGTCTCCCGTTTCGTACGAGTCTTTTATTTATCTCTTTACCTATCATTATTGTATGTGTTTTTTTGCGTGTTTTAGTTAGTACAGCCAACAGTAACTTTGTAGAACTATTTGCAGAACGCGGTCCAGACCACCTGGCCGACCAATCGTCAACAGATGGCGATAGTGCCGTCGTGGCAGCAAATCCCTCCGCAACACGCGGCCATCCAACAACCGTTGCTCTCCGAAGCCGAATGGGCTCGTCCCGTTTTGGTCGACTCGTCCGCCCTTTTGCAAGAACAGAGGCCCGTTTTTCCGGTGGACGTGGCCGCCGAAGTTTATAACCCGGCCATCGTCGAACACGCGGGCGGGTCTTGGACGACGAGCAAACGGAACTCTAGGAATCACCACGGGCAACACGCCGCTCCGCACCACAACCACCATCACCTGATGGTAAGACGCCGCGCGATCCTTAACGGACGTCTCACCAGGATTTTTAAGGTTCCCGCGACCCACCATCGCTCCCATCACGACAAAAAGGAGCAAACCCAGCTCAGTCCCGTCAAGAAGCGAGTCAAAGAGGGCACCCCGCCCTCCGAGCAACACATCTACAATTCGGCCGGCGGCGGCAGAAGGAACCACGGTCTCATGGTAGACGAGTCTTGGCAGCAGCAGGCCCACCATCAGGTCGGTCTCCGTTCGCGATTACGCAGTCTTTACTCGCCCTTCACTCGTAACGCTGCTTTTGTCTGTTCTCTGTTCTCTAGTGTCTGTTCTCTGTAATGCGCTTCGTTTTGTCCGTTCTCTGTATTCTCTGGTGTCTATGGTGTCGTGACCGCGGACCTTCAAAGACGGATAACGTTCGAACGGTTTACCCTGCTTCTATTGCCGAAGGAAACTGCCAAAAATTTTTGAATTATTTTTCGTGGAGATAGCCCAAAAAATATAGCTTCTCGACCAACTTGCGGGCCTTTTCGATATATGAAACTAAAATTTCCAAAAATTCTTTAAAAAAAAAACGGGAACTAGAAATTTTGATTATTTAATTATGAAAACTTGCCCCATTATTTAGAAAATTCAGAGCAAAATTTCAGCCGTTCCGTTCCGTTTGTTCTCTATTGTTCGCTCTTCGTAACGGATCATCTTTTGTCTGTTCTCTGTGCTCTAACGTCTGTTCTCTTTGCTCGGACGTCTATTCTCTGTAACGGGCTTTGTTTTGTTTCTCTGTTCTCTGTATTCTCTGGGGTCAGTTCTCCGTAACGGCGGCCGTTCGAAGCCGGATAACGTTCAGACGGTTTACCCGTTTCTACACCAAAGGAAACTGGCAAATTTTTTTTGAATTTTTTTTCCGAAACAGAAAAAATCGATTTTATATAGTTTCTCGACCAACTTATGGGCCCTTTCGGTTATAAAAATAAACTTTCCATAAATTCTGATTATTTTTGATTATTTTATTTTGAAAACTTTCCCCATTAATGAGCAAACTCAGAAAAAAAAATTCAGCCTCTCCGTTCCGTCCGTTCTCTGTTGTCCATTATCTGTAACGGATCATCTTTTGTCTGTTCTCTGTTACGGGTTTTGTTTTGTATTTTCTGGTGTCTGTTCTCCGTAAAGACGGGTGTTCGAACGGTTTACCCCGCTTCTAATACCGAATTAAACTTGCAAAAATCTTTGATTTTTTTTTTCGGAAACAGAAAAAAAAATTGATTTTCTTCGTTCCGCGGGGATAGGCCGAAAAATATAGCTTCTGGGCGAACTTACGGGCCTTTTATGAAAATTCTTTAAAAAAATGCGGAAACTAGAAATTTTGATTATTTTATTTTGAAAACTTTCCCTATTAATGAGAAAATTCAGAGTAAAACGGATCATTTTTTGTCTGTAAAGATTTTTTTTTTCGGAACCGGAAAAACTCGATTTTCTCCGATCTTGCCTGAAGATGCGCGATATTCGGTGAGGTAACCCGAAAAATATAGTTTATTTAAAAATATACAAAATTGCCATTGTTGGCCGTAACGGATATCTCGACGAATTTTACAGAAATTCTTGAAAAAAAAAACAAACTAGCAATTTTGATTATTTTATGATAAAATCTTTCACAGTTATTGAGAAATTTTGGAGTAAAATTTCAACTCCTCTCGTCATAATATTTTGAGGTCTAGTATTTTTATCAATCGCCTTGTTCAATAGAAAATTACTTTCGTTGCTATTAGTAGTGAAATTTTTTATCATTTTATGAAAAAGTAGCTTTGTACATGGTAATTTTATAGTCTTTCATTCGTTAAAATCATTAAAAAAAAAGTAAATAAATGAATATAGAACATCTGTTCTATAAAATATTCGAATACAAGCGATGCGCATCATAGAGTTAAAATAAAACAAAATGGAATTTTACAATAAGTATTTTTCTTACGGAATTGCCTAGTCTGTTTATGAATATGCATATAATATTTTATTTTTCTCTCTTTTATTTTAACGTTCTCTAGAGTTTTCAAAATATTCAAAAAAATGCGCGTGTCATTTCATTTAAATAAATTACAATTATTTCACACATTTACTGGTCTCACTTATCCGGTATTTATTAATTTATACACGAAATCTATACCAACCGTCATTTAATGACAGAAATAAAATATATCCCACTTAAATTATTAGTTCCCCTTCAAAGAACCTTGCTGATGTTTCGCCAATTATCCTGTCGGCTTCTTCAGAGCTCAACTGAAACTCGCGTTCTACTGTGTACCTGCTTATATACGGTTCGAGGGGGGCGGAGCTAAATGGGAGACGTGAACATTGTTTCGAATGAGTGATTTCCGTACATGAGTCGCGGCTAACATTGTTTGTTGTAAAGCTAAAATTCTTTCACGTTCTTTTAGTCCAGTTTATATTTTTAATACGACAAGCTCCAACTCTCCCTAGAACGGTATATTCGCAGGTACGGAGTAGAATGCGAGTGAGTTTCGGTTAAGCTCTGAAGAAGTCAACAAGAAGACTTGTAAATAGTATCTTACCTGGTGAATTGATCCTTAAATTTTTGGCTTGAACAAAATGGAAGTAACATTATTGCTTCTGCAACTATTGACTCTCTAGCTTTCATATGCCAATTCTCTCTCAGCTTATTGGGCACACGCTTTGTGAATATCAAGCAGTGCTCTTACTCTACCAAGTATCAGCAAATCAATTTTTTTTTGTTCACTCTATCTATCCCGTGTTGTCCAGGTAACGTCCCAGGAGAACCATACCCAAACCTACAACAACTACCACCATCACCACCACCACCACGGTGCCGTCGATAAACAGCATACCATAATGATAAACGACACCCCGTCACCCGCCGTCTCCGTCATCACCATATCGGATAGCGAGGACGAGGTGTCGACCAATAAAAAAGCGATCCAAACGAACGCGGTGGTTCAGTCGCCGAACCAGGCGGCCCGACAACAGCAAAACATTAACAGAAAGAACGTCATCAGTTGCGTTAGCGTGCACGAGTGTAGCGACAACGAGGAAGCGAACTCATCCAAGCAGCAGCAGCAGCAGCAAATCTACAACCCGGTCATCAAGAACGAGCCCAACTGTCAGAGCACTCCCAACTACACCTCCCAGAAGAAGCGTCTGCTGGCCAAAGCCCAATCCGAGTGCATGCTGAACGTCGCTACCAAACAGGAACCTGGTACGGCGGAATACTACAGTCAGCATTGCGGTTCGGCCTGCAAAGAACCATTGGCTCAGCCGCAGTACCAATATGCCGGAGGTTTGAGTCACGAGCAGCAGAACTACGCGAGCGGGAACGACAAGAGGGTGTCTTGGGCTCCCCCGGTCGCCCACAATACCAGTTCCAGGTAAGGGAGGCACCATTCCATCCACAGTTGGAGGCTCTTTATTTTGTTGAGTCAGAAATTGCAGACGATCGTCTTGTGCAGACGTATTAAGAACTTTACTTATTCTTTTGTCCTAATCCTATCCGGCGTGCTTCAAGGAACTCCATTTGGGATCACATTTGGGCCCTCTTTTAGCGACGTCCATTGTTGCTCTTTGTATTGGGAGACTTGGTATTGCGGGTTATCCACTTTGTTTGATGAGAAATTATCTTGTATGCAGTTGATCATCTCACGCAGATTGATCATATTAAGGAATTTACTTCTTCTCCAATCTTAATCCCATTTGGTGTCCCTCATGGATCGTTATTTGAGGTGTTCTCCAATCCTTATCCGATTTGGCGGACATCAAATCTCGTTCCTTTCTTGTTGTTTTTCTTAATAGCTTTTTTGTATATCGTAAGGACGTAGTAAAAGGCTTCTCAAATTTTTTGCCTCTTACATTTCTTACGTCTCTCTTTGCTGTTGTTTATGAAAATTGTCGATGATTGTCCCTCACCAAAGAATGACATGTCCAGTCCATGGTGGATTTCGTTTGTGGTTTTTTTTTTTTCAATCGATCCATTGTAATTTTCGATATGGCCTTGATAAATTTGTCTTGGAAGCAGTCACTCGAGACGTCACTCGGCAGTGCCTGTGGTGAGCCTACGTGAATACAACATACCGGTGACGCAGGCTCACCACGAGTACGTCCAGCCTCCAGCTGCCCACACGAACCGCGACTCCGGTAGGGAACAGCACTTGTTGGCACCCGGCAAGTCTTGGGGACCGCCGCAAGCGATAGCGCAGACTTACAGGTGAGTGTCGTCTGTGACATTTGAACTACTGCGGGCGGACGATACCGTACCTCAAAACCTTACTACTAATATCGAAAAAAAAAAGTATTAAATTAAATTTTGGAATATTAAATTGTATATACAGGGCGTTTGTTATTTTGGGGACAAATAGCAACATTTGTGGTCTGCTCTAGTGATTTGTATAGGTATTTTAAAAAAATAAATCACGATCAAAAAGTAATCCTAAAATTTAGGTGAAAAAACGAACGAATAGCCAGGCGAGTGTCGTTTACATAGGTGACATTTGAACTACTTCGGGCGGCTGACGTATCATCTCAGGATCGGTAATGAATATCAAATGAACGTAAATACAAAAGTTGTTTGGATTCACTTATACTTTTGTAATATTATATTAGTGTATATACAGGGTGTTCATATTTTTGGGGACAATTAACAACATTGTTATTTTGAATAGAACGGTGCAGACTTTGGTATAGATTCGAGATATAGTGGTTTGTATTGATATTTTTAAAAGTAAATAAATACATAGTGATGAAAAAGTAATCCTAAAAATTTAGATGAAAGAAAAAAAGAATGAATACAGATAGGTGCAATTTGTATTACTTCGGGTGTCTGATTTATTGTTTCAGGAGCGGTAATGAATGTCGAGAAAACGTAAATACAAAAGTTGTTTGGATGCACTTATACTTTTCAAATATATTATTTTATATACATGGTGTTCGTATTATTGGGGACAGTTAACAACATTGTTATTTTGAATAGAATATTTATTTCGAAAATCGTGCAGTTCCAAATATGTCCCACCGACAGCCTTTGTTATAGATTTGAGATCAGTTTTCTTATAGAAAGTGATCTGATGTAGTGGTTTGTATTGATATTTTTAAAAGGAAATAAATACATAGTGAATCTAGATGCAGAAAAATGAATGAATATACAGGTGATACGGGACATTTGAACTACTTATACTTTTTAAATATAATATTATTATATATACAGGGCGTTTCTATTTTCATGTACAAGTAACAAGTTTCTTATTCTAAATAAGTCACCATGTATAATATATACATATGTCCTACCGTTTCTGTTATATTTTAAAGTTGAATACTGAAAAAATGATCTAAAATAATAATGGACAAAATACTAATAGCTAATAAAACCAATTAAAGACAGCTTATTATGAGCATTGGGGGAAAAATTATAAAAATTATAATTTTTTGTAAAAGCATATATATTTTTGTAATACTTAAAAGGAAATTTTAGAAGTCATAAATTTTTTTTAAAAAAAATTATTAATCTTTTCAGACGGATATTTTTCAGCCAATGTCCAAATGTTCTTGATAAAATGTATTCGATTCTTATAGTTGTAAGGTTTATAAAAAAGATGTCATACAATATCCATTTTTTTTCCTTTAAGAAACGTTTTATTGCTAGTATTTTGAAATCAGCAACTTTAAAATGGGAAACTTTATACCTATAACAAAGTAGCTATTTTCTTAAAATTGTAAAAATTGAAAATAAAACAAAATTTGGAAGAATCATTTCATTCAAATTTTTTAGGTAAGTTTGTGTTTATTGCGTATTTTTTTTAATATCGATTCACGCCGCTATCTTTTAAAAGTAGTAAAATTTCAGACCCACGTTTGATGTTGATAACTATTGTTGTTAGTTTTGCAAATCATACGCTCAAAATTTTTAAACACTTGCTAATTAATTGAAATTATTAAAGGAGTATTTTTGAAAATTTGGCAAAAATTTTAGTATAGAAAGTTGTTCTAGACCGAATAAATTAATAAAAGTTTTTTTTTTAAATAAATAACGTTTGTAGGATTTTTTGTTTAATTCTCCGTTCTAATTAATTTATAAATATTAATTATTTGGTTAAAACTCTTGAATTAGTATTAAATAAGTCAGTACTAAGTTGAACATTATTATTATTATATAGTCTCATGCAGCGTGTAAGAGGAGAGTTAAAAAGATCACTAGTGAAATTGGGTACGCGGACAACATGACTTTTGCATTATCCCCGTATAAAAGAAAATCAAGTGGAGTGAGGTCCGGTAAACGAGTTGGCCACGAAAAGAAAGTGGTTGCGCTCATAACCACCTTTATTTTTATTAATGTATTTAGGTAATATCAGGGAAAAGTAAAGACGAAATCGGAAAATTTCGTTTTTTTTTGTGCATTTTGGGAATTTATCGGGGTGAAATAACCTTCAAAGTTTTCGCAGACACAGCAATTCGCATCTGTCGCCCCAACCGTTGGCGGCGGCGCCGCGCCTCTCGCCTCAGCATCCGCTCGCTGCCGCCGGCCAGCCTCTTTATCATCAAACCGAGCTGTACCGTCGTCCCGTCTACGTCACAACGACCCAACCGGCATATTTACCGGCCACTCACCAGGTGGCGCCGGCCGGGTAAGTCGACGTTTCGTTTACCATAGAAAAATCGTTCCTCTGTTCTCGGACGTGTACGACGATAACTTTGGAACGGTTAGACGTAGACGCTTCGAATTTTGCTCTGTTTTAGCAAGCGGCGGGTCGCACGGAATGCTTAAAAATGTCACACTACGGCGGCCATATTTTTTAGTAACTGTCCAAAATTTCATAACTGCAACACTATGATTTATTATAATTGGCGATTTATTTTACATGGCGGTTTAGGTCGCAGATTTTGATCCACAATTTTTGTGTTTTTTCGTAAAATACAGGGTGTTTTAAAAACTCCACCCGACTCAGTCACTGGTGAACGCTGTAGTCTGGTATATGGACCGTTTATTATGAAAGGAAAGAAAAAAAAGGAAATCACTTAAATAATGTATGACCAGCCCGTCTTTATCTCTAAAAAATCCCACAAAGTTACGAATCGTAAAAAGAAAAAAAGAATAATAGAGGTACAGTCTTCATCAGATGAAGACATATAAACAAAATTAAGCGAAATAGTGGACGAAAGCGTTGTACAAAATTCATTCCAGCAAAACCGTTTGGATCCAAAAATTGTTAATTAAACACAATGTATAGAAGTTTCTGATAAATTCTGGCATATGGGTGATTTTAATATGCAAAATGTATTTCTATATGCTTACAAATTTTACTAGCACTATTAACTATATACCTCTGGTGCATCATGCATATTATACTATCAGTATCTTGTAATTTTGACAATGTACTTGGTGCCTAAAATTAAATTTTATGTTTTGTCGTCGGTTTTTGTAAACAAAATTGGATTAAAATGTCCGTAAATATGTATTATTGTAATCTAATTTAATATTGCCATATCATTGGAAAATACAAATATTTTCCCAAACACCAGCAATCATAGGAAATCAATCTTGCAAAATCTAAGAAATTGATTTTTTTGGCAACGTTTCTGTTCTCCGTTCTCCGCGTCTGTTCTCGCGATAAAAATGCGAATATCTTCCGAACGATCCTATCCGTGGCGCTGAAATTCGGCTCCTTTGGAGCAGCCCACGAGACACACGAGCCTATGGAAAATGGCCCCGAACGCACGGCGGTGTCCATTTTTTTTTTCCTTCCTTTTTCGTATACCGCCATAGAACACAGGAAGCGTCTAACATTTATTATTGTAGTCTGATTCGCCTCAAACAAAGCTATATAATCAAATTAAATATTACAGAACAATAGAAACACTACCAGACTTCGTATAATGTGCCTATTCGCTTCTTCAAAGCTCTCCGAACGTTTATAAGTTACTGAATTAACTGCATCGATCTATCCACATCCATCATTCCGTTTTTCTCAAAACTGACTTGTCTTCGTCTACTAGCAGAGCGTTACCTCCGCCCGCTCACCACTCGAGCGCGAGGCCCGTTCTCGCCACTCACCCGAGCCACCCGTTGCCGGCCCACCTTCAGTTCCCATCGCACGCGCAGGTAGCGGCCGCCTCGTACGGCTTCGCCCCCGTCAGCCCCGCCAAATCTCACCAGTACCAGCCGGCCAGCCTTTGGTTCGCCGAATAGTACTACTGGACCGTCGGAACAGCTCAACGTTTGGAGTTCGTCGCGTGAAAATTAGTATATACGTATTTGGTTTGTGTTTTGTAAGGTGTGTTGGGCGAGTGCCTGTGACAGTTCCGTCGTTTTTCGCCCCGAAGTAATTTAAGGTCCCGACGATTTGTTCCTACGGGTGGTCTGCGTGGTATGAAATATCAAGTGTCTTGGCGCAACTAATATTTTATTGCAACCACTACAAGATATTCGTACCACATGCCTTAGTGTCAGTTCTCTAAGATACTAGATATGTCGTAACATTTACCTTGATATCAGATAATGCTAGATATTTAATAGAACTGACGCAAAGGTACATAGTATGAAATATCTAGAATATCTTAGTACAACTACCACAAGATACTGAATATTTCTTTCTACATACCTCAGTTCCAGCGATCTAAAGTACTAGATATTTTATAACACTTACCTTAGTGTCAGTCGAACTATTAGATATTTAGTAGAACTGGCGCTAAGGTACTTAGTATGAAATATCTAAAATATCTAGGTACAATCACAACGAGATACTAAATATTTCTTACTACATATCTTAATATCAGTGGTATTAAGATATTTTACAGATTTCATACCACTTTCCTTAGTGTTGGTTGTACTAAGATACTATTAGATATTTAGTAGAACTGATGCTAAGGTATGTAGTGTAAAATATCTTAATGCATCTACCACAAGATACTAAATATTTCTTTCTATATATATATACCTTAGTGTCAGGTGACCAAGATACTAGATATTTCATAAAATGTTCCTTGGTGTCGATTATACCAAGATACCAGTACCAGTTGTCAGAACTGACGCTAAGGTATGTAGTATTAAATATCTAAAAATCTAGGTACAATCAGCACAAGATATTAAATATTTCTTACTACATACCTTAATATCAGTTATACGAAGATATCCTAGAGATTTCATGTCACTTACCTTAGTGTCAGTTGTACTAAAATAGTATTAGGTATTTAGTAGAACTGATGCTAAGGTACGTAGTATGAAATGTCAAAAATCTCTTGGTACAATTACCACAAGATACTAGATATTTCACAGCACATACCTTAGCGTCAATTGTACTAAATATCTAGTATCTTAGTACATCCAATATCTTGTTTCAACTACAAACAGATACTAGACATTTCCTACGACATACCTTAGTGTCAGTTGAACTTAAGGTACTAAATAAAAAAAAAAGAATAATTTACGTAATTTTCGGACGAACTGTCACAGTAGAATACTTAAAAGAATTAATTTTTTTTAACAATTACTGTTAGTGTTTAGTGCTTCGATGAGCTTCTATCTAAAATTTCATTTGAATTTTAAACAACGGGGCGAGGAAACCTTAAAGTTTCGTTTAAATTCCGTTTCGATCGGTCGCGAAATGTTTCGGTGTCTTTCGGTTTTCAGTTTTGTTTGTTTTTTTTTTTTTTTTTTTTTTTGTAAATAGAAACGGAAGTTTCGCTATTTATTAAACGGTAAGGTAACTTTAGAAGGGATTTAATTATTTGCTTTAACTGTTCATATACTGCCTTTCGTATCGATCGTCACTAGTCAGGACGGGCGGTGACGTTAGGGTCTTTAGTCAATAGATTTAATCATTTCCTCCTTGTACATATATTTATTTTTCTCTCTCGTTTTCGTGTGTTGCAAATTTTGCAAATGTGCATTTTAATTTCGACGACGGTTTTGAAACTAACCGACCCTCGACGAAGATCCTTACAATGTCAGTTTGTGCTGTAGGTTTTATCGAGATTGTTTATTCGTATTATTTATAAGGTAACATACGCGAAAACTAAACAAACTCTTGTCCGTTTGTTCTTGTTAAGTTTTATTATTAATCACGTTCGTGTGTAGTGTAGAAGTGAGTTTTATAATTGTTACGCGCTTCGTTTTCATTTCTATTGTCGCACCCATAAACGGAATTTAGGTAAAAACTTTTTGTATGAAAGTTGCATCGTTTTTTTTTTTGCTCCGTTAAAAAAAAAAACAGTTTCTAGTACTCACTCAAATTAACATAAGAACCAATAAAATCGTCTAGAATTTCGTCAATGAACCTGACATTAGTGAAAGAGCGCCTTCGAACGATGTACAACTCTCTGTACAGCCCTCAGCATAACAGGAAACCCTGGGACCGAAGGTTCATTCTGCAAAACTTTTGCCATGGTAATTCGTTTTCACTCTGGTATTGATGGTCCCTGGCAACCCTATGACGTCTAAGAAACTCTCCAAATTGGCATCTCTTTGATAGGGAATTATAACTTTGGGCAACATATCGCTCGCTTCTGTACAGTTCTATTTGATACCTCTGTTCAACATATCACTCGCCTCTTCTGTATAGTGCTATTTGATAACTTTGGGCAACATATCGCTCACTTTTTCTGTACAGAGTTATATATAACGGTCGCTTCTGCGCAGTGCTCTTTGATACTGGACGATAACTTTGTTCAATATATCGCTTACTTCTTTCTATTTGATAACTTTGGGTGATATCGCTCGCTTCTTCTGTACAACAAGGCTATTTGATCACTTTGGACAATATCGCTCGCCTCTTCTGTATAGGGCTATTTGATAACTTTGTCCGATATCGCTCTCTGTACAGCGAGCGATATCGCCCAAAGTTATCGATAGCCCTGTGGCTATTTGATCACTTTGGACAATATCGCCCTTTTTTTCGGCACAGTGCCATTTGATACTGGTTGATAACTTTGTTCAACATATTGCTCGCTTCTTCTGTACAGGTCTATTTGATCACTTTGGACGATATCGCCCGCTTCTTCTGTACAGGGTTATTCGGTAACTCGCCTCTTCTGTACAGGGCTATTTGATAACTTTGGGCGACATATCGCTCACGTTTTCTGTACAGTTCTATTTTATAGCTTTGGACCACATAACGCTCGCTTCTGCGCAGTGCTCTTTGATGCTATATGATAACTTTGTGCAATAAATCCCTGGCAAGACTATTTGATAATGCATAATTATTTTGTTCGACATATCGCTCGCTTCTGCACGGCGCTATTTGATACCGGATGATAACTTGGGGCAACATGTCGCTCGCTTGTGCAATTTATTTTTTAATTTTTTAGTAATTGTTTTAAAATATATTTCAGGTGTGAACGTTTTCATCAAACGTTTTTCTAAAAAAAATACCGTGCAAGTTTTATGTAAAAAGTTTTTGGCTATCTTATTAATAAACCCCTGGAGGTGTCGAAATATAAACGGAAACGCCGCGTGTCACAACCCTCGAGGCTCACGCCACTGTAATGTATATTGTGTGGAACAGATCGCCTGAAAACACTAACTATTTCGTAATTTTTTTTTAAATATAATTAATTTCTTTTATATAGTTTTTATCTCGGATTAGTGTTTATGTTGGTAACCTAAACGTCAAATATCAGTCGACGCGTCATAAGAGATCCTCGAGGTTGGAGGTTTTTTGTTCGCGAGGCAGTATTTCTAGAATCCTTTAAAGTGACATTTGATGAGTTAAAATGAAGAAGGAAAAAGATCAAAACGCGTGCCTGCTTACGCTGTCGAGGGAAGTTTTCGCCACATTTCCAAAAAAAATCGTAGGTAACATGTCAAAGTAGCGTTTTCTTTTTTAGTTTATCGATTATCTATTTGTTAGGTAGGTGGGAATTAACGTTAGATTAACGAAGTCCCGCCTCCGGCGGTGGCGGGGGCGGGTTCAAATATTGTATTGCATTAGACTTATATCAACATAACAATTTGATGTGCCTGTATCTAAGTAAAAAAATAAACACCCTTTTTCCTCTGTACACTCTATATGTATATGTTCGATATGAAGTTATTATTCAAAATATTCGGCACTTAGCTGTTTTTAAAGTGTTTTCCAGCAGGAAAATATTCCGCGTCAATAGAGATAACAGCAAAAATTATAGTTGTGATATTTGTAATATAATTGTAGGGTAATCCTTTAAGAACTTTGAAGTTGATAGATACTTTTTTTTTTAGTCGAAGCTATGGTAGGTGTGTCTATGTGAACACTAGGCCGGGCTAAAAAAATCCACCATTTTGATTTAAAACGTATGTATGTCGTAGAAGTTGGACCTCTTAATATCAATATTAACAGCCGACGGATCGAATAAATTTTCGTAATAAGTCGATTTTTTTTTCATGTCGGATTTTTTTTAACTAACAAACTGCTCAATGTGCAAAAAAGGTATTGATTTTTAATGCTCAACAAGAAAGGTAATATTTCTTAGTAAAGTTACACTTTAAATACACAAAAATACTTTGAAAAATACAATTTTTACGTGGTGTTACTATTGAAAAATATTGATCCAGTAATTTGATAAAAACATTTACACATCGGTCATGCTAATTTACAATATTTTACACATTAGTAATATTAATTTCCTAAATTAGTATTACTAATGTGTAAAATATTTATTTACATTATTCCACATTTTAGTGGTACTGGCAATTTGAAATAATTGTAAATTAATATTTTTAATTTGTAAAATGTTATTTTTAAAATTATTTTTAGCGATTTTACACATTAATAACAGCAATTTACAATATTTGACACATTAGTGAAATTTATTTACAATATTTTTCAAATTGGTAACACTAATTTACATTTACCATATTAGTATTACTGGTAAGTGGTAATAATTGTAAATAAATATTATTACTGTGTAAAATATCTCAAATTAGTATTACTAATGCGAGAGTAATTATTGACATTTTAATAAATTTCAAAAATAAAGTAACATAATTGTTATTTTTATAGTTATTTTTAGGAATTTTACACATTAGTAAATGCAATTTTTATTAAACACATCAGTAATATTTATTTACAAGATTTTAAACATTGATAACACTAATTTACGTTATTTGGCACATTAGTAATGAGTGATAATGAGTAATAATTTTCAATAGTTAAAAAGATGTTTTTGGGGATTTTAGACATTAGCAAGAGTAATTTACACTATTTTACACATTTGTAATACTAATTTGCATCATTTTACATATCAGCAATACTGGTACGTAGTAATAGTTGTAGATTAATATTACTAATGTGTGAAATGTTGTAAATTACTGTTACTATTTTGTAAATTGTGGCGAATAACTAATTTTTAATCATAAAACCGTACAATTGATATTTTTAAAATTACTTTTAGGCGTTTTACATATTAGTAATACTAATTTAAAATATTTATTTGGAATATATTACGCGTTAGTAATACTAATTTACAATATTTTACATATTAGTACTTACGAATGTGTAAGATATTGTAAATAAATAATAATAAAAATATACTGAGAAAAAAGGAGGTTAAAAAAAATAACGAAAGTACAAACGACAGATCATGATGTACTGAATTTGTTTATCGGCGTGTTTTTCATTAAAAAAAAAATGGTGGATTTTTTTAGCCCGCCCTCTCGTCGAATTTATTAAAAGCAAACTTTCATTGTAGTAGGGGTGCGTATGTACCCGTTAGAATTTTAATCGTTAAACAATACGATATATAAATATAAATATATATATATATAAATATATGTGTATAAAGGATATTTTTGGATTTACCTTAGGATATTAGTGTTGGGGTGCGGGGTGTGATTTTCTCATAAACCGAAAATTCAAGTTCGTTTCGCGTTATGTTTATTTTACAAAGTTCCTCTTACTAGCGTGTTATTCAGATTTGTAAATATTTTTCATAGCGGACGCCGATTCGAATATCTTTTATTTCTGTGATCGTATGGGAAAAAAAAATCAATTTGTGTACATATTTAGTCGGATAGGAGTGCACGGAATTGTTTGGACTGCGAGGAATATTTCGATTTGGACTTTCGTTGCGTGTTTTTTGCGATTATTTGGGTCCGAACATTTTCCAACCCTTTCCGTATACAGAACTTAGATAATAATCGAAGCCTTATATTAAGAACAATATTCTTAGTGATTATCGAAAGTGGTGTGCCGGATGCACCCGTTAGTTTTAAATTTTTTAACGACGGCTCGTGTCCTTGACTGTCAAAAAAAAATGTGTTTTTTTTTTTTTTTTTTTTTGGAGAGAAGCAAGAACTTATCAAGCGAAATGACGTAGAGTACAGGCGATTTGACGTTTGAAAAAAAGTATAGTCGTTATTCACTGTTGCTATATCGAGTTTTTCACTTTATGTACGAGGTGCGGTCAAAAAATATTGTTACATCGTTTTATTGCATTTTTTTGAAAATCTGGCTTGAAAAAATCATACTCTACTCTACATACGGTGAAAGTTGTGGTTAGTAGGATAATTGGGAAGCGCGTTGAAAAAAATTTTTTTTGGAATTTCTAAAAAGTAAGCAAAAAATATAAGTCAGCGCGTTTTATCCGGTTCCTCCGCGAGAGAGAAAAAGTATACTGCTTATTAAGCAAAATGACGCGTGGTCCCGAAAGTGTAATTTTTCCGTTTTGTTACAGTTCGACGTTTTAACATTTTCGAATTTTTCTAAAATGCAATATTTTTTATTGCTTTTTCTCAAAAATCTATTAATTTTTTGTACTTTTACCCGTTATCGGTGAACGTTGTGGGCAGTTACTTTTAAGTTTACTACGAGGCGCGTTGAAAAAGTTTCTTTTTCTAATTTCCGTTTTTCTCCAAATCCTAATATTTGCTTGATGGAAAACATCTTACTTTTATTTTTTGTAAGCAGTTAATTTTATATTTCTCAAAAATAATAAGTGGACTGTCAAAAGGGAAGAAAAACTGTTCACTAGGTCAAATGACAAAGTATACGAGGCGTAGTAGAAAAATGTAATTTTTAAAATTTCGATTTTTTCTGATCTACAATATTTTTTATTGCTTTTACTCGAAAATCTAGGAATTCTTTGGGTAAAAAAAATCTTTCTTTTAATTTTTAATGTTAAAGATTGTGAGCAGTTCATTTTACGTTCCCTACGAGAGGCGATATTTTTCAAAAATTATAAGTAATATAAGCAATGGACTGTCAAACTACGGAAAAGGGGCATTTATAACCGGTACCTCTGTGAGAGAAAAAAAACTGCTTATTGAGCAAGGTGTACAGTGAATACTTATCAAAAAAGTATAATTTTTCTCTTTTTTATGCCGCAGAATTTTCCAATTTTTCTGACCTTTTTTTATTGCTTTGTCTCAAAAATCTAATATTGTTTTGCAGCACTTCTAGGCGAATAAACACTTAAAAAAGCTTAATGCTTAAAAACCAAAAGTTTATTTTTTACTTTCTCAAAAACAAAGCAAGGATATGCTTGTTGATTCGTAGCTGTCAGTTTTGAGACTTGAAAGCGATTTTCTATTTTTTTTAGAACGTTGAAAATGAAAATAAAAAAAATTGTGCCTGAAACAAAAAACAATAATAAAGAAGACCATAAAGTGTACGCGCAAGCACTGTGAAATGTTTAAATTCTCGAAATTTATGTGATTTTTTTTGTACATAATTTTACCTATTTTAGATGGTTGTTAGCTTTCTTTAAGTTCCTTTCTCTAAATAAATAATAGGATCCCTTCCTTTTTCGTATAATTGCATTAAGCCAATTTTTCTTTCTAAAATATCTTCAAAATTAAGTTGTCCTTTTTGATCGCTCCCCGTATACAAAATGAACGCATCGAAACACCGTTTGGGCAAAAAACCCAAAAAAAAGTTCAGTTTTAAACAATTCAAATCGAAAGTACGTAGCGAGAGGAAAATTTATGGACATCCGAGGACACGAAGCATGTATTTTTCAAACATTTGCTCCCGTTCTATTGGAATCTTGCACAGGGTTAAAAATGTAATTATGTAACGGTAACAGCGAATTAGTACGTAGTACTAGTACTGAGCAATTTCGCTTTTTTTATATATATATACGTATATTGTCGCTTTATCTTTTGAAAACTGTAGTGTTTTAACGTCCTTTTCCGAAACTGATTTTGATTTTTCAGGTAAATAAAACTGCCTTCGGAGTTCAAATATCAAAATGTAAAGCACAATAAATATTATTACCTCATGTCGTATAAAAAAAATGTAGATCTCTTCTTCTTTTTTTTTTTTTGGAATGCTTGTCTGTCGATTTTTCGTGAAGGGAAAGGTAATGTCAAATATCAAAATATTTTATTGGGTCTTATGCTTTATTAGCCGTTAGGGGTTGGTTATTATGTTAGTTACCAATATATTGTTGCGCTTGATATCTAACCATTTCTAGGTTACGTTTTTTTAGTTCTGCAAATTTTTAAGGAACCTGCAATGATGTAAGCTGGTCCCAAACCTATATAAGATTTTTACTATCAATTTAAAGGCTGCACTACACGTTAGAACGGAAAAGTAGGCCAGGAAACTTGGATCGACGATATATTCAAAATGGCGTTATTCATCGTAAAATTAATACTCTTAGTGGGCGGTGACCCATATAAATGTGAATCGTTTCTAAGGAATTCGCCAAGAACGCTTTCAAATGATGTATCACATAACGTATTTATCATCCTTCTTAAGTTCACAGATGCAAAATTTTGTTTTTTGTTATAGTAGGCCATGATCGTTTTCGACTGACATTCTTGACAGTTCGTTGATTCAACATTGAAAAGTCAATAACGTAAAAATTGAAACGTCATAACATCGTCTGTATTAGGTTGATACACGTAAGATAAAAGTCGATTGTGCAGACCACTACACTACCTACCGTTCTTATTCTCGAAAGAAAATTATGATAAGTGCGTCATACGATGCATCATTAAGAGCTTTAGCTTTAGAAAGAAGGAAAAAATTCTGTTTTCCTTTATGGGCCTTTGGGCTCTACCGACAAAAATAGTTTTTATATTTTATCGAAGATTTTTTTTAACCAATATTATTCGGAATTGCGCATCAGCTGACTACGGTGTTGCCATCGGTTGCGAAGGGGATCCAAGTTCAGAACTGGCAACCATGTAGAAATAATGTAGCTTGTGACGCGGAAAATATTATTTTTGATTGCCAGCCTTCTAGGAGTGTTAATTGTATGGTTTTCATTCTATAAATGATTGCGTCGATGCCGTGTGGAGGGCTTACGTTTCCTAGAGATAACTGTTATTATATTATTAGTGTTTACACAAGACTGGTGTAGAATCATGTCAATATATAAATAGATAGTTATAGGTAGTGGCAAAAATTAAACACCTAGTTTAATTGGTGATAGGCTATATATTAGTAGACATTGTATATTATTATTATTATTATTATTAACTAAAAAGTGACTGTGGATTGTCAAGAGAGTTTTTTATAGAGTTTACTTTACCGTGTTGGATTTGTCGGGCTCGAATGAACTTGCGTTAAAAAATAGTACAAATTGTAAAATATTGTTTCGAAACATCGGTCGGCGTTTTAACTTTAAAAAAGTGTAAAATCATTTCAGGCGACAAATCCGTCGGTACTTGTATTTTTGAATATATTATTTGATAAATATATATATATATATATATATATACCATGGGTGATTAATAATTTTAGTTGTTAGTACAAATTTAGTGCGCGATTAACACATTAATAGCAGTTTTGAGTAATATCCGTGCACAGGTTGTAACCGATTTGCGTTCGATGGTAGTAATATACGGGGTATTCGGAAATAACGTTCTAAGAATTTGACGTGAAGTAATGAAAAAAATTTTCAAGATATTATTATATAAAATATTTAAGATTTTCATCGGTTTTTTATTAATATCTTTTAATAACGGGCATCCAGATTCCTTGGAATATTCGTAGTTTTAAAGATACCGATAAAATATCTATTATTTTTTTAGAAAACGATCAAAGATACCCAAAAAAATTTACAAATAAAAAAGTTACAATTTTAGTTGCTCAATTTGAAGATATTCCTGACTCAATTAGTGTCTTTAATAACCGTTGTCTAGATTCCTTGGAATGTCGGTCAGATTTAAAGATACTAATAAAAGATCGATTCGAATTTTATGGCGATTAGCGATCGCAATAAATTGCTTTGTTTTTCGCGAAAACTATTCTCGATTCGGAAAAAAAATAAAGTCAAAAAAGTTGCATTTTTAGTCGCTCAGAAAAAAAAATGAAAAAGTCAGTGTCGAACTTTTTTTGTCTTGGTTTTCGAGAAATGCGATATTCAAGATTTTAGTTATATTTTTTTTATTAGTATCTTTAATACCCGTTGTCCAGATTCCTTGGAATGTTGGCCAGTTTTAGAGATACAAGTAAGAAATCTCTTAGAATTTTATGCCAATTGACACGCAAAAAATTGTTTTTTTATCTCGAGAACAATATGAGACAAAAAATAAAACAGTTGCATTTTTAAATTGGTATAAAAAGTCAGTGGCGGACATTTTTATTTAATTAATATCTTTAATAACCGTTGTCCAGATTCCTCGGCTGGGAGTGGCGGTCGGGTTTTAAATTGCCTTTGTATCTCGAAGAATAAGCGAGATACATTGCATTAGTAGTTGCTCAATTTGAATGAAAGTAATAAAATTAGTAAAAAAGTTCAGTGGCGCACATTTTTTTGTCATCGTTTTCGATATATAAGATATTCCAGATTATAATCGTTTTTTTCAATTAATATACTTAATAACGTTTGTCTGGATTCCTGGGAATGTCGGCCAGTTTTAAAGATACTAATAAGAAAATCGATTAGAATTTTATGCCGATTAGTGATCGCAAATAAATTGCTTTGTTTTTCGCGAAAACTATTCTCGATACGAAAAAAGTAAAAAAAGTTGCATTTTTAGTTGCTCATTTTGGGGAAAAAAATGAAAAAGTCAGTGGCGCACTTTTTTTTTGTCTTCGTTTTTGAGATATGATATTCAAGACGATGATCTTTAATAACCGTTTTCTAGATTCCGTGGGAAAAAGTTGCATTTTTAAATTGGTATAAAAAATCAGTTGCGCACATTATTTTTACGTAAATTATTCGAACGTTATTTCCACACGCGCCATTGTTTTTTCTCGTGTAATCGCTTTGAAAACCTTTCCACTCAAAAAAAAATTAATACGGATTTTTAGACAATCTTAGAGTTTTTAACATTCATATATTTAGCATGCTTTAGTGGTGGATCTTAATGATGTACGCTATATCGATTCTTATCCACTTTTTACTACGATCTAGGGTTTTTCAAATTAAAGAGAGCAAAACAAAAAACGTTTACAAGGTATCTAACTATATCTTTCATCGATTACTAGCGTTAGTGTTGTTAGATTTTGGTCCCAAAAAGTCCGGACGCATTGCTTACTGCTAATGGTCAATATTTTGTAAATCCCCGACGTTTGTTTCAAATACGGTCGGAATTGTCACCATAAGAACGGCCGAAATGAACAAATGACGATGACATTTGTGATTTATTCATTCCGAAGCCGTCAATATCGACGAGCCCCGAAAAGGTCTCGACTTCCTAACGGTATTTCTAAAAACGTAACATTAGCAGGGTACATTAATAATGTAATACGAACTTTTGTGATTATTTAAAACGTCCAGGCTCTTATAATTTCATTTAGGCCGTACCAAATTGACTGCACCCACTGACTGTATCGATATTGACCTGCCACACGAAAACAAAACGTAGTCGGACCAAACAATGTTTAACTGTGTTTTTAATGTTCACGGTGTATCGTCCTCGGTCCGGCCCTGGACCGTATCGGGGCCGGACCCAGGATCTCGATGTGTTAAAACAAATATAATAGCTACTAAATGTGATTGGGCCTGAACAAGTCGTAAAACTCAATGTGTAACACTGTTGATATGCATGTAACATAGATTTTGACATTTGCGAAGCTTAAAATAGTTTTTAAAGGAATCTAGCAGCGCGACGGGCCCGCGAATTTCGAAGGCTGGTATCGGGGTTTCCATGTTTGGTATTCGGGCCGCTAAATGTCACGGAAATTGTTTAATTGGATTTAATGTTGCCTTTTTGTCGAAGAATATATATATTTAAAAACTTTACTAATATGTGCGTACACACACATGTGGCCTATCCTTATAAAAATCCCGCTTGGGTGTTTCTACGTAAATAAAAAGTTTATTCAATGCGTCGGGTTTTATTTTCCTGCTTCCCATGTCTGTGCACGGACTGTCAAGTGACACTTGAGGATGTCATACGTATTTTGACGTTTATCGATTTTGACAGATTCGTCACGCGTCGCAAACTAATGACAGTAGGTATAAAATAATATGAAACTTGTTAACAGATTTCGTTCAATTACTTTGTGTTATTGTCGAAGGCCTATTTAGATCGTTAAAGTATGGGTAACGTCTTTTGACTTTGTCGGTTTTGACAGTTACATAAGACGTCACAAACTAACAGCAGTATATATACAATACAATCAACATGCCGATCGACTTCCTTCAATCTCTGTGTTGCTATTGAAGGCTTGCTGCTCAGGGTGCCGAGATTTTCGGTGACATCATACGTGTTTTTTCGATTTTGATAGATTCGTAACACGTCACAAACTAACGAGAGTAGGCGCCAAATAATATGCAACCTGTTGACAGATATCCTTAGTTACTTTTTCTTATTGTTGAAGACTTATTTACATCGTTAATGTGTCGGTGACGTCGGATGCATTTTGACAAGTCACGTCGCGCGTCACAAACAAGTGAGAGTTGATACAAAATAATATGCACCATGTTAATACTTTCTTGTTCAGTCAAAGAGGTATTTTTAAGTTCGATTTTGACAGTTAGGACGCACGTCATAAAATAATGGCACTAAGTACGGTATAGTATGCGATATGTTGATAGGCTTCTCTCAATCATTCTGTGGTATTGTTGAAAACATGTTACTCGTTCTGATCGTCATACGTGCTGAAAGTGTGAATGACGTCAGACGTATTTTGACGTTTGTTGATTTTGACAGTTAGGTAGATACAAAACATGTATACGTCACTAAATAATGGCAGTAGATACAGTATGTAGTATATGCAACATGTTGATAAACTTCACACCCTGTGTTATTGTTGAAAGCTTAATTTGATGGTCAGCCGTATTTTGACAGTTACGTTGCACGTCACAAAACTAATTACAGTAGACACAAAATAATATGCCGCGTGTTGATTTTTGAAATTTTACCTGTACCGTCCTATTTGCGAAAGTGCTTTACTGATTTCGCTCGTGCCACTTTGTTCGGGGGGCGGGGGGTAAATGACGGCATTAAAACAACACAGTGGTACACGCGATATATTAAGAAATTGAATAAAGAACAATAATATCTACATTATACAAAAAACATTTACAACTATCAGTCCGAAACGTATTTTACAAATATTATCCACTACGAACTACAAAACAAAAGGTGATATGATCCCTAGTGGCCAAGGGTAACTGTACAATACGCCACTGCCGTTTAAAAAAATTTATACAACGTATTTACAAAAAAAGAATAAACGAAACCTAACAATTAAATCGTCATTAAAAATTTATCTCCTTTTTGGTTTGATCTATTGCCAACGGATCCGGTTTTATCATGTCCGGTAAGCCCTACAAGAAAAACACGTCAGCACCATATAACTGTTAGCGAAAAGAATAAAACAGCGTCGCCAATAATTGAGTTAAAAAAAAACATCCAAAATTTAGAATTCCAAAAATCCTTGACAAAAAAAGTTAGACTGGCTCGAATTTTAAAAGTCAAACGTCAAAATTAAGTAGTTAATTCCGTACAAACAATTTATTTCGTCCAATAAACATCGCTTATAACATGCGCGCCTCTAACGGCGGCTTTAAAAACCTCAATTACACTTCTTATAGCTTCTCATTTTTTTTCCCGCATTTTTGATATGCTAAATTTTATTTCAAGCATGTAAAAACACTAAAGACTCTAATAAAAAATATGGAAAACGTGTGGAATTTTCTTTTTCTTTGTTTGTTTATTTGATTTATTTTTACTCTATATAAATAACAGTTGAAAAAAATCGAATGAATGAATGAATCATTTTAGTAAAAAATGTAATTAGGATTATTAGAAATGCAAACATTACATTTACTCCACAAAAAAAGTCTAAAACGGAAAAGTCGGGAGATCGTGGCGGACATAAGAAAATCTCCACAGGAGCAAAAAAAACTTAATTTTCCATAGCTAAAACACGAATTAGGAACGAGAAAATCGAAAACGCCCGTAAAAGGACCTTATTTTACAAAAAAATTCCTTAGTAAATAAATAAAATTAACTTAATTTTTTTTCATAAGTCAAGAATCACAAGCGGGAGGAAAAAATACTTACGCTGAAAAAAGCGAGATTTTAAAAATAAAATGCCGAGATAAAAATGAAATTTCACTGTACCTCTATAATTATGGACGTGTTCATTGGAATACTGCCGTAGGATACGTTAATCCGTTGCATCTCGTGCTGTTGCGTTTGTTGCTGCGACTGCTGCTGCTGCTGCTGCTGATGTTGCTGGGCTTGCTGCGCCTGCCTTTCCATTTCCTCCCGCCGTTTCTTAACGGAACCCGAGTGGAACCTGCCCCCCTCGCCCCTTATCCTGTTCATCGCGTGCCTGTGCCGGGACTCGTGCAGATATTTCTGCTCGAACCACACGAATCGACGATAAAATCGATTTGCTTACGAGACACTCAAGTTAGAAAATTCTAACTTTTTTTTTATAAATTCCGACTTATTTTTCACAAGTTCGGGCTTGTTTATTTCCCAAAAATTTTAGTTTGTTTCTCAGAAACGTCGACGTTTCTCAGAAATGCTGACTTAGTTTTTAAAAATTATGACTTATATAGACTTATTAATAGTTTTTTAGAAATTCTGACTTGTTTCTTAAAATTTCGAACTTATTTCTCAGCAAGTCTTTAGAAATTCCGGCTTGTTTGTTACAAATTTTAGCGTTTCTCAGAAATGCTGACTTATTTCTTAGAAATTATTACTCAAAATTTTAAAATATTTTTCAGAAATTCTAATTTACCTTTCTGAAATTCTCACTTACATCAGAAATTCTAACTTATTGTTAAGAAATTCTAGCTAATTACTCAGAAATGCTGACTTATTTAATAGCAATTTTAACTTCTTTTTTACGAATTCTGACTTATAACAATAAATCTGACATGTGTTAATTAATGTCTCAAAAATTCTGAATCTGTTCTTAAGTCAGAAAATCCTAAAAACCTTATAAATCATTGCGAAATTTTTAAAAACCAAAAAATCTTTAAAAAAATTCATTAAAAAGCGCCTACGTGATACCGAAGTTTAAGCTCTCTTAAAATTTAAAAATATCTCTTTTGATATTTTTCTAAAAAATATTCGAAAAATAAAATACAGCCATTAGCTGAATTTTTATTTAGTTTAATAGGGAAGAATTCCTGAAAAAATCAGAATTTTTCAGAAAAAAGTCAGAATATCTGACTTAAGTCAGAATTTATGAGAAAGTGTGAATTTCTGAAAAATAAGCCAAAATTTCTGATACACAAGTCATAATTTCCAATATAAGGACTTTCAGAGATACAAGTCTGATTTCCTGAATAAGTCAGAATTTCTGACACAGATATAATGCGTTCAATGTTATTATGAACATTTTTCATTAATTCAGAATTTTTTTAGAAATAATAATCAAAAACTGGCAGCAGTTTTAGGTTTTTCGACACAACTAAAAAGTCGAAACGCAATATTTCTTACGAAAGACTTATGGCAGAAATTCCGAATTGTTTCTCAGAAATTATGACTTGTTTCTCAAAAATTCTAACGTGTCTCAGAAATTATGAATTGTTTCCGAGAAATTCTAACTTATTTTTCAGAAATTATGACTTGTTTCTCAAAAATTCTAACGTGTGTCTCAGAAATTATTAATTGTTTCCAAGAAATTCTATCTTATTTTTCAGTAATTATGACTTGCTTCTGAAAAATTCTAACGTATGCCTCAGAAATTATGAATTGTTTCCGAGAAATTCTAACTTGTTTCTCAGAAATTATGACTTGTTTCTCAAAAATTCTAACGTGTGTCTCAGAAATTATGAATTGTTTCCGAGAAATTCCAACTTATTTTTCAGAAATTCTGACTTGTTTCTCAAAAATTCTAAAGTGTGTCTCAGAAATTATGAGTTGTTTCCCAGAAATTCTAACTTATTTTTGAGAAATTCTGATTTGTTTCTCAAAAATTCTAACGAGTGTCTCAGAAATAAATTATTAGTTGTTGCCGAGAAATTCTAACTTATTTTTCAGAAAATCTGACTTGTTCTCAAAAATTCTAACGTGTGTCTCAGAAACTACGAATTGTTTCCTAGAAATTCTAAGTCAGGAACTCATTATTTAAATAAACATTATATTTATTATTAATTAATTATCTTGATTATTGCTTCCTGTATTACATTCAAATAAATACTATATTATTTAATTACGATAGCAATAACTATTACTATTATCATTACCGTTATCGTTATTATTATTATCATTATTATTATTCGCGTAAAAGCAATTTGATTTGAGAAATACTGCCACAATTTTTGCCGCGGTGGTTAACCAATGGAAACAAATAAACCAAAACTCACAGGTCGTTCTTTCGGTATTTTGCCTTCCGCTTCTAATTTCGCTCTGGCCTGCCTCCGTTTCAGTATCCTCCTGTACTGCTTCGCGTTTACGTACAGGGGTTCCTCTTCGAGGAACTCCGCCCCCGGTATGGGCAGCCTCTGAAACTGTGTGCCGCTCGTACTGGGCACCATCTGCTTGAAAAACCGAACAAATTCAAATTTTTACAGGCCAGTGTAATACTATTTGCGAAATTTCTGGATTCTAAGGGGGGCGCATGGACAGTGTCTCGGATCACCTTAAACTTTCTTTTAGCTCCGCCCCCCTCAAACCAGTATACCAGCAGGTACTGAGCAGTTTCGGTTAGATTCGGAAGAAGCCAACAAGATGAAAAATCTAGAAGATTTGTAAATAGTAAATATATTACTTTTAATCCACTATATGGGACTTAATTTGTCCCTTAAATGGGGACGTTGATGGGAATTTGTCTACTAAAAAATTGAACAAAACTAATTCCTATTTAAACGGCACCATAAGTTTTGGGCTCATGATATTATCTATTTAAATAATTTTTTTACAGAGCTTAGCACTTCTTGGCAGCCGAATTCGTATATGAGCAGATATTTGTCCGCTTTTTAAAGAAATTTTTGAAAACAAATCGATCCTTTTATGTTTGGGCACATATATATTTTTTTAAATTCGTCCATAAATGATAATAACAATGTCATTCGTTTTATTTTTAGTCACATTCGACATATAGTGCGTTTCATTTTTATTTAAATAACTTTGTACGGAGCTTGGCACTTCTTGGCACCTGAATTCATATAAAAGTAAATAGGCCACTGTCTTAAAGGATATTTTGAAAGCAAATCAATCCTTTTCTATTTTTTGACGCTCAGTTTTGAGGTTATTTACGTATATTTATTACCTTTTACAATAAGCTGCTTAAATATTTCGGTGACACATATACTTTTTTCAAATTCGTCCTAAATTTATATTAACAATGTTATCCGTTTCATTTTCAATCGTATTCGATATACAGTGCGTTCCATTTCTATTTAAATTATTTTTCACAGAGCTTGGCACTTCTTGGCACCCGAATTCGTATAAAAGTAAATAAGCCACTTTCCACTCTTTTAAAGAAAATTTTGAAAACAAATCGATCCTTTTATGTTGGGCACATATATATTTTTTAAATTCATTCATAAATGATAATAACAATGTCATTCGTTTAATTTTTAATCATATTCGACATATAGTGCGTTTCATTTTTATTTAAACAATTTTGTGCGGAGCTTGGCACTTCTTGGCACCTGAATTCGTACAAAAGTAAATAAGCCACTTTCCACTCTTTTAAAGGAAATTTTGAAAACAAATCAATCCTTTTCTATTGGGACCCTCAATTTTGAAGTTATTTACGTATATTTACTACGTATATTTACAATAAATTACTTAAAGATGTCGGTGGCACATACACTTTTTTAAAATTCGTTCTTATATAACAACGTTATCCGTTATATTTTCAATTATATACGACATATAGTGTATCCTTTTCTACTTTTTGACGCTCAGTTTTGATGTTATTTATGTATAATGAGTACCTATTACACTAAACTGATTAAATACATCAGTGGCATATACTTTTTTATAATTCGTTTTTAAATCTCAATAACTATGTTTTGCGTTATATTTTCAATTACATTCGACATATAGGGCGTTCCATTTCTTTTTAAATTATTTTTACAGCGCTTGGCACTTCTTGGCACCCGAATTTATATATACGTAAATAAGTCACTCTATTAAAGGAAATTTTGAAAACAAAGCGATCCTTTTCTATTGGCGCGCCCGGTTTTGAGGTTATTTACGTACATCTGCGGCGTTTCTCACCATGACCAAGTTTCCGTTAGCCATAGCCAGTTGTCCGTTGGGCGACGTGGCAGCGAGCGTCTGCGGCACAACCGTCTGGGAGGCGGTAGGTGACGACACCGTCGTCTGTGCGACCGAAGCACCGCTAGCGGCAGGCTGCGCAGCACTAGCGATTTGTACCAGATTTCCGTTTATATTTAATACTGAAAAACAGTTTCCGAATCAACCAAGCAACTTAAAATTACGATATAGGCGAGCGCGGTAACGTTGTGACATCATAATGACTCGATTTGCACCAGTTTTCCGTTTGTATTTAAAAGTGGAACATAACCTCTGTTCAAACCAAGCAAAATAAGTTAAAAAAAAGACGGGCCGTTATTTTATTTTTATTTTTCACGACACATTTCTATAATACAGAATGGCAAAAGCGTTATAGACAATAAGGTAACGTTGTGACGTCAGAAGGACTGTGGTTTGTACTAGATTTCCGACACTGTCACGCCGAACCGGTGTCCCAATAAAACAAATTACTAACACAAACTGCTAATGTAGTTATTAAGTGTAATTTATTTATACAGGGCGAGTCATATTTAATTTGTGCGCCTGGTTTTTATAACGCAGTGTTAGAAACGTTATAGACACATGGTAACGTTATGACGTCAGAAGGACCTGACGTATTGCGTTCTGCATCAGGCTTTTATAACGTAGAGCGTTAAAAACGTTATAGACGGTATGGTAACGTTGTGACGTCACAAGGACTTGCGATTTGTACCACATTCCCATTTATACCGAACACTGAAACGAAAATGATGTCCAAACCAAGTGAGCAAATTAAAATTGCGAATAAAAATACTTACAATCGTTATTTATACTGGGTGAGTCAAAAAGACGTGTCTAATTGCTAATGAGAAGATTATTTTGGTTAAAAAAATTTTATACCATTTTATATAAACTTGACAGTGATAGGTGACGATAACAAAACATTTTTACACTTAAAAATTAGTCCTTTCATTGACACTTTTCCTTTTTTCCAACCACAAAAAGGCTTCTGATATTGTTTTAAAAAAATGCAAGTTTACACTTGCCGTTTCAATTTTCATTTTTATCACAAAAAAAAAATCAAAAAACGCTGTTATAAAAAACAATGAATAGAGAAAAAACTATTGTTACTAAAAATATAATGAAAATTATAATCTTTCGAGATATATATGTACTAAATTTAAACAAACTCAAAAGTGCATTTCAAAAATGGAGAATGGCGTGATAAAAAAATTGACATATCTTTCGGACTCACCTTGTATATTATATCGGAAAGAGCATATATATATAAATATTGAAGTATACACTTTTTACAAGAAGGTTAAAAAAACAACAGACATAACTGGATACTTCATTGTACATGTATATAAACGAATAGACAGATCTTTCCGATTTACCCTGTATAATAAATTTTGCATTTTTTTCGTTATTCATTGTTCATTTAAAATATCTTTTGCAAAAAAAAGAAACACTCGGTATATTATTCTGCATTGCAACCACAACGCATTGTTTAAACTTCTTAAAAGGTTAAAAAAAACAACGAACATAACCTCACATTTTATTTGTTGACGTGCAAAAATTTTATTTTTCGGTGGACACCTCATCGTCCACATTTTTCTAACTCGCCCTGTACATTAAATTTTTCAGATTTTCGTTTATTGATTCATTTAAAATCTCCGAGTTGATACCACTCTTTCAAACCGCTCAAAGAATACGAAATGGTTAGATGGTTTAAGACCCTTCTCGATCGAACAGGGATCTTGGAGGCTAACCAAAACTACTACAAATTCCCGTTTACGGTGAAATACATGGAAAAAAATTAATAGATTATCAAACGCCCACTTTAAAAACGGCAACGCTACTTATTTAACGCCCCTGGGTAGAATATTCTTCGAGAATGGCGAATACTTTGTGCACCTAACCTCACATTTTGAACATTGACGGGGTAAAATACGCCACCGGCCCCGTGCACGCGTCGACAAGACCTACCTACCTGTCGGTGCGGCCTGCTGAATGTTGCCGCCCTCGATAACGGCCCCCGGATGATAGATAAAAGTTTGTCCGTCTGCTGTCTGCACGATCTGAGGCTGCTGGTGAGGCTGCACGATAACCTGTCCCTGCTGCAGGCTGCTTACCGGCACCACCTGTATCTGCTGCAAACCCTACGATGCATTCCAACGTTCGCGACCTCCGAAAACACATATTTTCGTATATACCTGGGTTCCTGGAGCGGCCAGCTGTATCTGACCTCCCGAAGGCACGGTGTGCACCATAATCTGCTGCCCGTTAGTGCCCTGTATCACTTGGCCGGCATTCATCTGCATCACCTGCACCTGCTGGGGCGCGACGCCCTGCACGGGATGGATGACGACCTGTCCATCCGCCGTAGTGGCGATCTGTTCCATGTTTTAACTGTGGCGACAAACATGTTAGAGGTTAGGCGAACCTTCCGAAAAAATCGTTAACTACGAACAATATCAGCGTCGGTAACGATAATACGCGCCGGCGACTCCTGGAAACCGTACCGAGGCGACATCCCGTGAAGTAAATCGGACGGAGTTCGCTTTCGCTATCGTTCGCCATTACGGAGATCGTGCACGCAATTTTCGAGATTCGAAACGGCGTAAACAAACGTCCGCGATTGTTTTCGACGCCCGCTACGATTGCCGAACACCTTATACAGAATGTTTGATAATTTGTGAACTTACATTGGATATTTTGCCGTGCACTTTCTCAATGATTGGTCGACAAATTGTAGACCAATGGTCGCGACGCACTACACACGAGCCCGCTTGTGTATTGGTGGCGTTGCCTGCCACTCCCTGGGCAGATCGCGTAGGTCGATGCCCCGTTAGCTTATCGACGTGCTCGGAAAATAGCGGCGCGGGAAACGAACGGCCAATTGCAAAATTAGACAAGGAGGAACCGATTGGGTTTCATACCAATCCGTTTCAGACGGAGCGCGGACGCCGTCGTAATCGCTTCGGCGAAATAAACTCCGATTGGCATTTTACCTAAGCGCATAGAACAATGGACCGAGAGGATTGCCGATTATTTTCACTGGATATTGGCGTCATAGACAACCACCCTAACGTTTTGTCAAACTACAAATTTGTTGTCGAAGATTTGGCCCAATACTTTACTATACTATGTCGATGCGCGCGATGCCGTAAACCAAGGAAAACGAGATGATATCGACCGCATAGCAAAATCTTCGAAACTCCGCGCCATATACAAACGAAACGTCCCGCCGAAAGATGGCTCCCTATGCCTGTCAGAATCCAAACTTTGGTTAGCATTTTCATTTTTTTTTTGTTTGGATTTTTGTTATTTTGATTATTCCGATCCTTGATCGCGATCTCTTCTCATTCCCGACATTCAGAGTGTGTTAACTTGTACCACCATCTAGCAGTGCACAGTAAAACTAAGAAAAGTATCGACCTTCAAAAGATGCATAACACCACGACAATTGCTTTGCCGAATATCGATGCAGCTAGCGAGTTTTTTAAAACACATCCGTTGCTGACCAATATTTCACGAAAAGAACCAATCGAAACTGACCAAACAGAAATGTATAGTACAAAGTAAGGTTTGAGGTTATGTCGGGATTTGTTGTCCCTTTTGCTTATCCGGCAACAAACATCGTTCCTGTTGCGTTGTTTTTTCTCCCGTTTTTAGTAGGACCATGAGCTATTTCTATGGGCCCATAAATTGAGCTATCTGAATTTCTCGAATGTTTCTCTGCGCTCATAAAAAGATTAAGTATTGAAGCGTCAAGGATTAAGCAACACGAAAGGAATCTTCTTGGCTATCGGAAAAGTACAATATGGTGACGTTTATGTGAAACATTTTTTTTTTTTCAGAAACCATAGTGTTTTGTCTGGGAATTTCGATTAGTGGCTAATTAATCTGTTAGTATCAGCATCTCTAGATTCCTATTCAGCTCTTGTTCGATCTGGGTCCTGCCCACATAATTCTGATCTGATCGGATTCTGTGGTAGAGCGATCTTGCCAGATCCTTTTACTTATTTCATAGGTTTTTAAGGTAGATTTTAAATATAATTTTGGTTAGCTCAAACAATTCTAAACAAAAACCTCTCGAGTTGTTTTTTCTAAAACGAATTTGAGAAAAAGTTTTATATGTAAAATTGATAATTTAAACGACTTTAAACAAAAATTGCCTCTTCAGTTTTCAAAGCATAGTTAAAAAGTTTTTTTCGTTTTAAAAGAAGTGTTACGCCCATGGTTTATCGAATTTTTTTTTTAAATGTAAATTTGGATAATTCAAACAATTTCAAACAAAAATGGCCTTTTCAGATTTTTCGCTAAACTGATTAAAAAAAAAAGTTTTTTTAAAACAGTTTAGCGAAAAATCTGAAAAGGCATTTTTGTTTGAATTATCCAAATTTACATTTAAAAAAAAGTTTTTTTAAAGCGGAATAAGGGTTTTTTGTTTTTAAATAAAAAAGTAGTACGCCAATGATTTCTCCCATTTTTTTTTAAATATCAATTTAGATAGCTCAAACAATTCTAAACCATCACCTCTCGAGTTTTTTACATATAAATTTGGACATCTTAAACAATTCTAAACAAAAATAGTCGCTAAACAGTTTTTGAGGAAAAGTTTTTTTTGCCGCATGGTTAAAAGTTGTTTTTGTTTTCAAGTAAATAAAAAACGTGTTACGCCATTGGTTTTTTGCAATTTTTTATATATAATAAATTTGTTTTCGTTTTACCAATGCCGTTCGCAAGGCCTTTTAATTAATTCAAGTATTTAAAAAAAGGGCACGCCAATGCTTTCTCGCAAGTTTGCTCATAAAATTAAAAATATGTGCTCTAGTTAAACCAGTGGCGTTCAAGACACAGTTTAATTAATTCGAGTATTTAAAAAAAGTGGTACGCCAATGATTTCTCGCGTTTTTTGAAATATAAATTTGGATAGCTCAAACAATTCTAAACCAAACCCTTTTTTTTTTCAAAACCGAATTTGAGAAAAAGTTTTTTAGATCATGGTTAAAAGTTGTTTTGTTTTTAAATAACAAAAAGTGTTACGTTTTCTAAAAATTTTATATGTAAATTTTGATAATTCAAACGATTTTAAACAAAAATGGCCTTTTCAATTTTCAAAGCATAGTTAAAAGTTGTTTTTGTTGTTCAATAATAAAAAAATTGGTACGCCAATGGTTTACCGCATTTTTTTTAATATCAACTTGGATAATTCAAACAATTTCAAAGGAAAATGGTCTTTTCAGTTTTTTTGCAAAACCGTTTTTAAAAAAAAAAAATTTTAAAGCATAATTATTTTTTTAGTTTTTAAAATATGAAAAAAATTGGCACGCCAATGATTTCTAGCATATTTTTAAATATAAGTTTGGATAGTTTGAACAGTTTTTGAGAAAGTTTTTTTTGCCCCATAATTAAAAGTTGCTTTTGTTTTCAAGTAATATAAAAAATGTTACGCCATTGGTTTATCAAAATTTTTTAAATATAATAATTAATTCAAGTATTTAAAAAAAGTGGCACGCCAATGGCTTCTCGCAAGTTTGTTCATAAATTTTTCCGCTAAAACCAATAGTTTTCGAGAAATATATGATTTTAGAGTCTAGTTAAACCAGTGCCCTTCGGGAGACCGCGTAATTAATTTAAATAAAAAATGGCTTATTTAGAAACGAAAATGGTTTCTTCGGTGCTTTTTTTTGGAGCATAGTTAAAAATTCGAACGTTTTTCTAATAGGAAAAAGATTTTTAAAGGTATTAAGTTTTTCAATTATGATTCCGCGCGCCCTGTACACGTAAAAAAAAAACGCAAACTCAAGTTTAATGAAAATTTTTATTGATTTCTTCTCCCTAGATTTATAAAAAAACAAACATTGCTTTTCTCTATATAACCGTCCCTACAACAAAACAGAGCAACCGTTAAACACTTTTTTTTTCAAAAAAAAAAAAATCCATTTCATGGACGCACGCAAATATATCGATGAGGAGACGAGAGAAAATCGCCTGAGTGGGAATAAATTACTTTACAAACGTTCGTTTTAAATATAGAGCGCATCGAAAGGTATTTGCAACATTTTACATCCCCCTCGTATGATACAAAAAATAATAATAATAACGTATCGGTATTATCCGTCGAGCCGTCGAAACAATCGCGATCACGACGACGCGGAAACTTTTTTCAATTAAATTAAAATTCAAAAATTAAAAAAAAAGCAAAATCAAAATGGCGTTCGGTTCGACGGCCCGTTTCTTGCCGAGGGAGAATGTGCTCTGCTTTTCAATCATAGGGTCCCTTTTACACGGGGAAATCTGTTTTAAAATTACGATTAGAAATTACCTAAACACCGTTGCCAACTTTACGACTCGTGTCCTGAAAGCGCTGGGAAGCACACACTGAGGTAATACATAAAAAAATAAATAAACGGGAGCGCCCCCTATCGCGATTTTGCGAAACTACTACTCTCGCCAAGGGCGCACGAAAATAACCCCCGTTTTCCAATTAAATCGCTTCGCAAAATTGGCAACGGCGCGTTCGCTTACAAAATAAATACGGGGCGGGGGGCGGAGCTGGGACAGTCAGCTTTAGCTGTAAAAAAATTTATCCGCTTCGCTCGTGACGTATGGTACGAGAAATTTTAGTATATTATCCATCAAGGTTTTGCGTGTACCTCCGCGAGAGAGAGAGGGAAAAAATAAAAACCGAAGACAGTACAAATTTTGGAAATATCGTTCTCAAAAATCCGGTATTTCTTTGGGTAAAAAAATCTTACAGTACTATTTTTACTACGAGAGGCGTTGAAAAATAAAAAATTGTTTTTAAAAAAATTATTTCCAAAAAAAAGTTTTTTTTAAATTGGTGACAGTGAATGATTAGAAAATTTCCAAAAATATTAAAAATAACGTATTTCACAATATTTTCAAAACTTATGCGAAATTGTATCATAAAAATTAACTTATTTTTGGGAAACTATTTATTTTTGTTCTTTTGAAACCTTTTTTTCAATTAGTTATATGAAATTGTATGGCAAAAAATGACATTTTTTTGAGAAATTGTTATTTTTAAACTTTATTTTTGCTCATATTATGTATTTATATATAATACAACTTATGTGAAAATGTATAATAAAAATAACTTACTGTTTTTGAGAAATTGAAAAAAATTACAAATTTGTTTTCGTTAAACCTTTTTTAAAATATTATTGATACATATAAGTTATGTGAAATTGCATCACAAAAATTTACAAACACAATATTCTGTTTGGTTTCTGAACCATTTTCCACCATATTTAATTTAACAATTATTGTCGTTACTCACCAGGTATAAATATAAATAAATATATTTTTGTTTTTAACCCTTTTTTTCTCATATTAGCGGTAATTAATCGTTGTCGTTACTTAGTAAGTTATGTGAAATTCTACAACAAAAATTAAATTACCGTTGTTTAGAAATTGAAAAAAAACATATATAAAACATTTTTTATTTTTAAACCGTCGTTCTTTTCTAACCCACCCCGTAGCGAAAACAGAACGAACTATAGAAATGACCTTTGCCACGTTAAAACGGTAAGATTATTTTTCCTGTCCAGCTGATTTTTATTGAAAAAAAAAAGTTTACGGGCACTTTATAAAGTAATAATAGAAAAAAAATCATTTTCGAAACTTTTTTTAAAACAATCAAGAGCTTTTTTAACAGTCCTTTTCCGCAAATTAAGTGACCTTCGAACTTATTTTCGGTTTCGAAATGAAAAAAAAAATGCTTAGAAAAAATTCTTTTTTTTTCCGAATTGCAGCTTTTTTTTTGGTGAACTTGAATTTCAAACATTTTTTAGCTTCGATCATTTTTGGGCAGATCAAATAAATTAAAAATGGCCGAAACGTTGGTCTACTCTGGATGTTAATTATTATTATTATTATTAATATCATTAATATACTAAAATTTCATCAACTTCGTACGGGGTCCCTTCCGAGCGACAAACCGAGACAGAGGAAAAACTGAAAAATTAATTAAAAACCCGTGGGGCACACCATCTTCACAGGACAGTGCGAGAAAAACTTATTCACTAAACACTATATTTATATATATATAAAAAAAACCTGATAGTTGACGATTTACAAACAAAAGCGCTCTCTCTTCGTAGCCGCGTCGCTCTCTCTCGTTCTCTCTCTCTCTCTCTTTCTCTCTCACGCTCTCTCTCCCTCTCGCACGCTGTCATTTTGTAAGTACACACTGATTAGGGTAAACGAACGGAGAAACAAAAAAAAAAACCGAATACACTGCTAAATTAGTAAATGTATATTTACAATAGAGGAATGAGAAGGCGGGACTACTCTCTTTCTCTCTCTGCGCGCAAAGACGTACGTCGATGCTCGGACCGGAGGGGTTTACTCATCCTCATCATCTTCCGCTCCTTCTTCGTCCTCCTCGGGATCTTCTTCAGGTACGGGTGCTTGCTGTTGCAAAGCCGGATCGTTTCTCTTTTTGTAAGCCGTCATTTCCTAAAACGTCACGAAATCTACGGCTTACGGTTACCCGGTACTTCCCGAAGGTCCGTTACAGAGAACAGACAACGGGTAACAGAGAACAGACATGGGGGAATAGAGAACGTACATAAAATGAAACTTTCAAGGGCGAATCACGATCACGGCAGCCTTTGGTAAACATAAAAATTTCAAATATCTCGGCACGGTAACCTGTGTTCAGGTTCTTTTAGATTTTTCGTCCATAACCGACACACCCTGTACGCAATAGAACAAAATGCAGTAATGAAGTATTTTGACGTCACTCTTGATTCACCATTTTGGAGATTACCTATTATTTGTGAATCACACTGAGACTTACCTCAAAAATTTATGATTGTTTTTAGGAATCCCTACTTATTTTTCCAGTGATTATTTATTATTTTTCAGAAACTATGAGTTGCTTTTCAGAAATTAGGACTTGTTTGCAACAATTTTTACTTATTTCCCAAAAATTCTGACGGAAATTATGACATGTTTTCATAAATCTCTTTTTATTTTACAGAAATTATGATTTGTTTTCATAAAATCCCACTTAATTCCCAAAAATTATGATCTATTCCGAATTTTTTCTCCACAAATTCTCACCCGTTTTCTGAACTTTTTATTCCCTAAAAATTATGACTTCATTGCAAAAATTCTAACATATTTTTAAAAATTATGACTTGGTTCAGAAATTATTACTTGTATGCAAAAATTCTGACTTGACCCAGAAATTATTACTTGTTCTTCAGTAAGCAGAAAGTCTTACTTCTTTTCCAGTAATTATGACTTGTTTGCAAAAATTTTTACTTATTTTCAAAAACCCTGACCTAACTCAGAAATTATTACTTGTTTTTTAGTAATCATGACTTGTTTGCAGAAATTCTAATGGAAAAATTCTTACGACACATTCTTACTTGTTTTCAGAAATCCTTATTTATTTTCAGAAATTACAACTTGTTTTGTAAAAAGTATTACAGTAGCCTGAGGAAGTTTCTTTGAAAAATTCTTACTTATTTTCAAAAATTCTGATGACTCAGAAATTATGACATGTTTTCATAAATTCCTTTCTGTTTTTCAGAAATTATGGCTTATTCAGAAATTTTTATTTTCCCGAATTTATGGTTTACTTGTACAAATTCTTACCTGTTTTCTGAACTTATTTTCTAAAAATTATGAGTTTATTGCAAAAATTCTCACTTATTTTTAAAAATTGTGACTTGACTCAGAAATTATTATTTGTTTTTTTTTTTAGTTATCATGACTTGTTTGCAGAAATTCTTACTTATTTCGAGAAATTATGACATAATGGAAAAATTCTTACGGCTCAGAAATTTTAACTTGTTTTTTATTACAATTAATACACGGCTTACCTTTTCGTATCTCGCTTTGTCTTGGTCGGCCAACGCCTCATACTTCGATCTCATCTCGGGATCGGCTTCGGCCCACCTTCTGCCCAACTCTTTGGCGATGTCGCCCACGCCGTATTCCGGATTTTGGGCCTTCACTTTACCACGTTCGTCATTGCTGAACCAAAAGAACGCGGACCTGGCGAACGAAAAGCAATTTTTAGGAAAACGGTTGGTTTTTCTTCTCGATTTCAAGCAGATTTAAAGCAAAATTGGAGACATCTCAGCTTAAACCGTCTCATTTTCTGTTCCAAATAGTTACTTTTCATGTCAATGTCCATCAAATACCAGTCAAAATCGGCACGGATGGCCTTTCTTGTAACGAAAACATCAACAAACCAGAGCATCAATTAGTAGCAGAAAAAAAAACTTCTGCAGAAAGTCGCGTATGATCATGAAAACAGCATCAAACGTGCAGATATCGGCACAAAATATCACTTTCTGCCCCAAATATTTGCCGTTCATTGTCGATTTCGATTAAATTTTATTTAAAATCGGCTTTTTTTTAGACATATCTAAAACGGCATCAAAATTGCAGACATCAGCTTAAACCCTCATTTTCCGTTCCAAATCGTTACCTTTTCTTGATAATATCGATTGAATATTAGTCAAAAGCGACATCCTCGGCCTTTTACATTGTAAAGAAAATACCAACTAACCAAAACTATAGAAAATCGCGTAATCTGGCTAAAATATTCGGAGTTCCTTGTCGATTTCGATTAAATTTCATTTAATATCGGCTTTTTTTAGGCATATTGTATCTAAAACGGCATCTTTAAACCCTCATTTTCCGTTCCAAATAGTTATAATTTCTTGATAACATCGATCAGATACAAGTCAAAATCGTCATCCTCGGCCTTTTATATTGGAAAGAAAACACCAATAAACTAGATGGCGAAAAAAAAAATTCTGTAGAAAATCGTGTATTGTCACGAAGACAGCATCAAACTTGCAGATATTACCATAAAATCTCACTTTCTGGCTCAAACATTTGCCGTTCCTTGTCGATTACGATTGGATTTCCTTTAAAATCGTCTTTTTTGAAACTTATTAACTCTAAAACGGCATCTGAATTGCAGACATCAGCTTAAACCCTCATCTTCCGTTTCAAATAGTTACCTTTTCTTGTCAATACCATCCCCGCCCTTTATTGCAACGAAAACACCAACAAACCAGAGGATATCAACTAGTTGCCGGAAAAAAAAAACTGTAGAAAATCGAGTATGGCGTCGAACCGAATCGATCATCCGACGCCTTTTCCGATTTTCTCAATTCTTTAGCACAGCTTTATAACCTAAAAACCCATTCCCGAGTCCGAGGTCGATCAAACTATGCCGAAACGGTAGTTGGCGGTTCACTTACAAGGATCTTTTGGGCGCGTTAGGGTCCTTGATCTGCTTCCGCTTCTTGCCCCTCTGCTTTTCACCCTTGGGGGGCGTGTAGCTCTGCATCTCGGTGTCGTAGCGCTTCTTGTCGTTCTCCGCCATCTCGTGGAAACGCTTCTTCTCCTTGTCCGACATGGTCTGTAACGGGCAAGTCGTCGTCGACATGAAAACACCCCCTCTCTCGCCACCGAAAAGTTACCTTCCACCTCTCTGCGCACTTTTTCGAGAATTCCGCGAACACGACGTTCTCCTCGGGATGTTTCTTCTTGTGCTCCTCCCTGCAGGTCTGCACGAAGAACGCGTAAGCGGTCATCCGGCCCCTGGGCCTCGCGTCTGCCTTGCTTCCCCTGGGCATCCTCCCTTTCGGCTGCTGCGTCAGTTGCTGCTGGTGCTGCAGTACCTGGTGGTGGTGGTGGTTGTTCAACAACTGTTGCTGCAACTGGTGTTGCAACTGTTGCGTCTGCTGTTGGAGCTGGTGCTGTCTGACTTGAGCCTCCGCGATCGCCTGGTGATGCTGGTGGATCGCTTCCTGGTGCTGGCGGTGCGCCTCCTGCTGCTGCCTCTGCGCCTCCTGGTGCCGCTGTACAGCCTCCTGGTGCTGTCGGCTCACTTCCTGCTGCTGCCTCTGTACTTCGTCTTGCTGGGACTGGGCTTCCGTTTGCTGCGGCAAAACGTCGAAACGTCGATAAAGGAATCGTTTTTTTCCGTTTAATGGTAAGGTATTGTACGACCAAAAATATAGTGCATTTATTGCTTTGAAAATTTATAGCTTACTATTATAATTTATGATACATGAATAGTAACACTGCTTAGAACTATAATTGAAGTTTATTTAACAAGCTATGTAACAATTAACTTGCAATTTTTCGAAGAAACTCTCACATTCTACTGTTATACTTTTTATAAAACTTCTGGATTCCTCCTGCGTCGGTTTTTGTTTAAATTTCGCCAACCATGCTGTTGGCTTCTCCAGAGCTCGACTCAAACTGGCTCGCATTTTCCTCTGTACCTGCTTTTATATCGTTTGGGGGAGGCGGGGGAGCTAAATGAGGAGCACAAACACCGTCTCGGATGACCGATTTCCATATTGGTGACAGATAGAGACTTGAGTCGCGGTTAAGATTGTTTCTATACACTCTCGGATTTTTCGTTGGTAGAAGAGTTGATTACATGCAAGAATTTTAGTTTTATCGAATAAAATTTTATGTCCGGTTTCGTGATTGTTCCATAAGTTTTGTAAAAAGTATTTTTCTTCTTGTATTTTTGTGTCTTTTGGATACGAGGGCAGCGCCAAATATGAAAGAAATAAAGTGGAGTAACATTTTTTTGTTATTTTTCAATATAATCTCTCTTAACTTCAATACACTTATTATAGATCTTTATTAACAACTCGATCCTTTTCGCTGGAGGCCATATCTGGACTATAGAGAGGATGATCTATCTGTTGGAAACCATACTCTAAAATGACAGCAGTATGGATAGGTGCATTATCGTGCAAGAGACGCACGCCTCTGGTCGGTTTTCCTCGACGTTTTACACGTATGCGGTCTCGAAATTTATGTAATAATGTTGCGTAATATTTACCACTGACAATGGTATTAGCTTCTTTAAAATCTATCAAAAGAATTCCTTCAGAATCCCAAAAAATCATGGCCATCACCTTTTTTGTTGACTGGCAGACTCAATTTTCGTCACCCTTACGACGCCACTCCATTGATTCTTTTTTCGATGAGGGTCATAATAGAGAACCATAGTTTCATCTCCCGTCACAATGGTCTCTAACACAGGCTTCGGTTCAGACCCACAGAGTTCCAAAAAAAACCGCCCACACTTGACACGGCGTTGTTTTTGACTAGCCCAAAGGTTTTTAGGAACCCATCTTGCACTAACCTTAAGCATACCTAAATGATTATGCAGGATTCGACGAACACTTGTATCAAAAGGCTTAGTAATTTCTGAGATTTCCTTAACCTTTAAACGTCGATCACTCAATACCACCTCTTCCACAATAGCAACAATATCTTCCGTTATTACCTCCACTGGTCGACCAGTTCTTGAATTATCTTCAAGGGACTCCTGCCCCATTCGAAAAGGTTTTGCCCATTCTTTCACTACAGAATACGAAGGAGAAGTTTGGCCGTACACACCATCCAGCCTTTCTTTAATAATTTTAGGTGCTACCCTTCTTCTGTCAAAAACTTTATGACCGCTCTATACTCAATTTGCGTTATGTGCGACATTTTTTCGGACACGTCTCGTTTAAAATGCTGTCAATAAAAAAACTATTTGACGCAAGACTTCAATTTTTTTTTCGCGGCCTACTAAGATATATATTTAAAAGAAGACAAAGTTTTACCGTGATACTGGAGCTGCATCTATATCACACAGGGAAATTTTGGCGCTAACCTCGTAGTTCTTCAATTTGTCTCTTTTAAGATTATAGATTATATTAGCGGTAGATAAGGGTCCGTCGTAATAATACAGATTAATATTTACTAGAATATTAAAATTAAACATTTTTTTTAGGTTCCCGTTTTTTTGACATTTTAAAACGTGGAGACCGTGGAATGAAGCAGATGTTCCCCTGATAGAAGAACACCTGGAAAACAACGCAAGTGGAGATGGTAGTCGAACCTAATGACAATTTGAAAGACTAACTACCTCGGTAAATAAAAAAAAAAAAAACGGATCCATTCTTCCCGATTGAGATGATTTGGCCCGAGTGGAAAGCGCATATTTTTCATATTTTTTTAAACTAGACGACTGATACTTTATTATTATTTATATTTAATATTAAACTGGGAAGCTATTTTTTTTTTTGAAAATTGCGCTTCTATTACAAATATTGCTATGGCAAATGTGTTTCACTTAATATAAAACAATCATATTTAGTGGATTTTTAACTGTACATATATTCATTATTATTACATGCTGTTTCAAAACAAAGGCGGAAAACTTAAGGGGTGAATCCTTTGTTTTAAAATAGGCGGTTTCTAATAAACCTTTCTCGAAACATTTTTTTTTCTAAGGCGTTGCGTAAGTTTTGCCAACGCCTTCCACTAATTATTTTTTTTTGAAGATAAAAATTAAAATCGTTACTTTTTGACCATATTGGTGGCTCGATATTGTCTCCCTTTTATAACAATTGCCCCAGTAAGTTTTCGCAATTGTTTTGGAACACACTGTAAAATAAGAGTAAATTGAAGGATATACAACATAAACCAAAATTTAATAACAATCACTTGACATCAATGAGAATGTTATTAAAATGTCAGGCCTACAATTTTGGAAAAATGATTTTTTTGAAAATTTCGATGTTGAGGACAGCACTTACACGTGGAAACCAATTTTTATTATTAATACGTTGCGAAATGGCGAAAATATATTATACAGGGTGATCACAAACAGAGGTGGGAAAACTTTGATTTTTATTAAACAAAGCAAATATAATTTTTAATAAAAATCATAATTTTTTTATTAATTTTTTAAATTTCGTAAGAATATGAATTTCGCGTTTTTCTTTTGTAGCAATTATAGCAAATATTTTAAAGCCATTATAAACAATGTAGTAAAATGTAAAAAAGCTATTACATACGTAACATATATGAGGAGGAAAATGCAAAATATTTTTTCTTATATGACAATGACAAACGCCCACAATAAGCCAAATATTTGACACTCCGTTTAATGAAACTGACGGTTAAAATTTTTTATGATAAATTTGAAGGCCATACAAAACAAACTTCACATTCAAGCTGATAAAGTCGTCAACGTCGATGACACAGGCATACCAGGTAGGAGCTGCAAAGGAAGACCCTCTTTTGCTCATTTTAGATAATAATGAGAGTCATATAAGTCTTGATTCATTCTTGCTCTGCGGGGGTCATGGAATCATAATGCTGTTAGCACATACCTCGACTTGACATATTTTGGCCCTATTAAGACTACATACAATCAAGAATGAGCAGCAGCTCAAAATAATTGTGTTGAAGACCATGATGTCCAAGCATTCAGTTTCCCTATCAAAGATCGTTGAATTGCCTATTATTTCTCCAAAAATATCAAAACGCAATATTGATTCTTATGAGCACACCTAAAAAAAAATCAGTTAGAGGAAAAGGAAAACGGAAAAAGAGCTAAAGCAGAAAAAAAGTGGTAAAAAGGCCGAACACAAAGAACCCAAATGAAATGTGAGAAGAAACCTTCAAACAAAGAGATTAAAAGAGTATTAAAGAATTTCAACAATATTGAAGACTTTAGTAATTAGTCAAAAAGACGAAGAAAAAAAAAAAGAAGACTATTTTTGAATTTTTTTAAGTGATAAATGTAAGATCTCTGTCGTTGATAAGGTTAATTCGTATTTACCCGACGTTAAAGGTTGTTGTTTTCTCTAACTATAATGCAATTTATTAAAAAATATATAAATGTTGATTAGTGAATTCGCTAGACAGATAAGTAAACTTAATAATTAAAAAATACGATAAAATTCCATTGTTTTACTTAAGTTTTCCCTAAGGCGTTCGTATTTCCCCCCACATTCACCTAAATAATTATTTTAATTGCGATTTGAATCACTAAAAAAATAGGCCCAACCCTGTTGCCAATATCGAGTTTTTTGATTTTGAAATTTTGAAACCGAATTCGTTAAACTAAATCGTTTGATTACAAACGCCAGATGTCGCTTTCTCAATCTTACACAGCCGTTTCCGGCTTATGTAGTCTGCGGTTCGTGCTCGCAAGCTATTTTTCAAAATTCGTAAAATTTCATGGTCGCGCGTATAATACGACCAAAAATATAGTGCATTTATTATTTTGACGTTTCAAAGTACTTTACAGTACCTTCACCTATCCCGACAGATCTTTATTCTACATTAAGTAGGTCTTGCATGACGTGGACCGTAACGAATATTTGTAGAAACATAAAATTTTTATTAGAAACGTTTATTTCACAAACTATGGGGCATGGAGCAAAGAGCTGAATACAAAAATCAATTGAGGTATTACCTTCAATTTATTTTAATTTGGTATATTTTTCATGGGAGAATATCAACTTTCTTATTTTAAATAGAACACCTAACGTATTATTTTTTAATTTTGCACAAATCTCTAGACATATTTTGTGTATAATATGCTAAAAATAAATCTAACCGTTTTTGAGATTTTTAATTAAACAAAGGACCGGAATAACGTATTTCATGAGAAATGTCGATACATATTACAACAGGGTAAGCGAAAAATAAGATTAAAATGATTAGTGAATTCGTTAGACAGATAAGTAGACCTAATAATTAAAAAATAAAGGAAACTCCACTGTTTTATTTAAGTTTTCCATTCCCCACTATGCCCCTAAATCATAAAATATAAGAGTTTTTTTATTTTAACATTGAAAAAGAATTCGTTAAACTCGCTCATTCGATAAAGAAGGAATCTGTCTATTATACAAATGCGAAATGTCACTTTCTCGACGTTATACGACGTTTTCGGCCTAGTTTAGTCTGTGGTATGTGCGTGCAAGTTATTTTTCAAAATTTTACGGTAAATAACCAAAACGAAACCTCGCGACCGTACGAAGAGCGTAAAACACGAAAACGGGGGACCTCGACGACGGGCGACCGGCGGGGTAGGGGCGGCCGCTCAGCCGCCGCCGCCGCCGAGATCAAAATCCTCACGTTCTGCCGTCGGGCAAATTCAGGTAGGCGGATTTATAAAAGAGAGAGACTATCCGGTCCCGACCGCCGGCTTCTTACCGCTGAAGCAGAAGGGGAACTATGTACAGGTGGCATGTTTTGCTGCTGCTGCTGGATCGCGTGCTGCATGCTATTCTGTAAACTTTGCAGCGTGCTCTGCATATTGTCCACGCTCGAAGGCGGCGGGTACCACCATTGCGACGCGGGGGCGGCGGCGTAATCGTAGCCGCCGCGAACGCCCGCCGCCGAACCGTTATCCGACGCATTGTTCGTCGCCGAATTTTGAAAACTGTTGGCCATTTTGTACGTGAACAACTGCTGCTGTTGCGAATTTGACGCGGAACTACATGCCGCCTCGATCTGCTGCTGCCGCTGCTGCTGGATTTGCTGTTGCATGATTTGTTGCTGTTGCTGCTGCAACTGCTGCTGATCCCACCATATATCCTCGTCCCTCGCGCCCCAAGCGCCCCGATTCTCGGCCATGGCCGACACGCTAAAGGGGTGGGCTCTCTCTCTCTTTACGCGGTCACGTTCACATGTAACGCACAAACTTCACGCGACGCGCGATAATTTCGATTCGCGAACGGCACACACACTACACCGCCATGATTCCGAATATCGGAACCATAATATAACCGCCGATCGAAACGAAAAACAAAAGAACGCGTTCGCTTCTTCGCGCGGCAACCGCTTGCGACGATGTGGCAACGCGGCATCCGACACGAGGGACGCCAATACGAGAGGACGACGCAGGCGCCCTCGCACGCAGCGGCATCGACGCGAACCAAATTTTGTCCTTGTGAACCGTCCCCGCGCCCCGCACCCCGAACCGAAACCGGCAACGGTCAATAAGAAAGCTGCGAGGGTCTCCCGGGCCTGACGACGGCGTTTCGGACCGCCCGCACCAACCGACCCGGTTTCGGACGGTTTTTTTTCACGATCCGCGCCAACAGATGTCGACAAAATTTGAAACTCGTCGGGCGCGCGCATTTGCTTTATAAAATGTACTTAAAATTATAATTTAATTAATGGCATTACCAAACAAAGATTTTCGGAGTCGGTATTTAAAATGAACTTTTGATATTATAAATAATGGAATAGGTACAAAACAAAACACTATCAATTTTATGACATAATTATACATGTGTTTAATAGAATAACTTATTCCGATTACAGTGACGTAACTAATAATAACTAAATAATTATTTAAAAATTAAAGTAGAACAAATATGACGCGACACTCTAAAGTAAAAAATTATATAATTATTCTAAATACTGCTGTATGTGATTGATTGCCTCTGAAAGCCTTTTCCGAAAGTCCACGACATTATTACAAGGAATTCTGTACACGCGATTTTTTAGGTATCTTCAAAAGACAAAATCCGTTAAAGTTAAGCCTACCTTTTTAGCATTTAATAAAACCAATTAGGTTAATTATCAAGATAAATTGAACGCACGGTACAGTTTGAAAAGGGAATGAAATGGGAATTATGAACAAGAGACTTAAAAGTAAACACGTTCTTTTTCCTAGAGCAGAAAGTTTATGGGCTAAAATGAATCTTCGTAGTTATCGCAAAAAGGTAAGGCAGACGCTTGCAATATACCATGATACATGACATGGTTACGACTGGGGCAGAAACCAAAAGATTTTTATAACATTTGGATTAACCACAATGTCAGTAATCTCATGACAAAGTAATAACAGAAATATTAATAAGAGAAAATATTTTTTCATAAACGATTGGCTGGAGTAGACGTGGCCAAAACTAGTCGAGTACCCTGCTGAAGCTTTCGAAGCGAAAAGTGTGTGGGTGGAAAACTTTCAAAAGAACGTATAACAGTGTTAGTAGCTGCCAATATGAGTGGGAGAGAAAAAAGAAAGCTAATCGAGATTGGAAAATCAACGATGTTTGAAGAATATCAAGCACTTACAAGGCAAACAAGTCTACATGGATGACATCGCAAATTTTTGAAGAGGATATACGGAAATGGGATGCAGAATTAAAGGGGAGAAAAATATTACTTCTCTTAGATAACTGCCCTGCACATCCCCATATTCCAAATCCACGGAATATTGAATTGGCATTTCTTCCAACCAAAACAAGTGTTGTATTACAGCCGATGGACCAGAGCATAATAAAAAGTTTTAAGAGTCGATACAGGAAAAACATTTTAATGGAAATGATCGAGTCCGAAGACAAATTTTCCATTAATATGCTAGATGCAGTCAATTTTATTAGTAAAGCTTGGAAAGAGGTAACAGTAGAAACAATTCAATACTCCTATCGTCATGCAGGACTTATTACAGAGACAGAATACGAACAGGAAGATGATCAGCCACTAAGCGACTGGATAAAGCAGTTTGAAACAACAATTACGTTTTACGTTATGGTGATGGATCAGGATTTGCCTACAACAGCAGACTTGACAGAGGAAGCCATATTACAACAAGCAAGAGGAAGAAGAAGATGAAGAAGTTGATCTGGGACCACCACCAACCATTTAACAAGTCCTATATTCAGTTAAGCTGCTAGATAATTTTTTTATGTATCATGGGGAAGATGTCCCTCTCGAAGAAATGGTGAAAATACAACCCAAAGTACTACGAGATGCGTATTATCATACTAAAAAAATTCAAAAGAAAATGACTGATTATTTGAAACATTAAATGTAGTTCTTAAATATTTATATAAAATGTTTCTAAGTAGATGTTAAAAATATTTAAATATTACCTATTATTCTTCAACCGCCTATAACTGCTTATAACCAAAAAAAAAAAAAGCAGTCCCTTCAATTTCGCTATATAGAGTTTTCGACTGTGTCTTTTTCTCTAAAACTTAAAAATCAAATCAAATACTTTCATTTAAAACGAAAAAAAGAAAAACTACCACGAAACTACTTATTCCAGTAATACGAATTCTGTACTCGCTCACTCACTCGAATAAAGCTTTGGCATAATTAACAATTTGAATATATCGAGTTAACAAATTATATTTAAAATATAACTCTTTTGAATGTTTTCCGTCATTAGGGAACCTAAACGGAATCGAATGACGGCATTTTGGCAAAAAAGCAATTAATCCAAACCACAAACAAGCACCGAAATTCTACGAAAATATAAAAAAGTGTGAATATTTTTTTATTATACAGGCGGCTTATTATAAAAATAGTTTTTCCTAAAAAAACGATTTTTTCTTAGGCTTTTGAAGCAACTGCATAAAAGTGAACTTTTACGGTTTTTTTTTTGCGGAAAACAAGTCTTTGGAAAAATGTGTTTTTCTACACTTAAAAACTAAAATTGGGTCCGTGGAAGAGGCGAAAATATATTACACAGGGTGGTCACAAATGATAACAAAAATGTTTTTTTTTAACTCAAAGTATCTGTAATACGACGAGATGTTTTAATGAAATCTTGCACACATGTACATGTATCAAGGGGCTTGTTTAGTGCATCACTTTTTTTTTTAAATATACCAAAAATATTACGGTGAATTTTCCTTTTTGTTGTTGAAAAAATATTATTAGAATATATATTTTTTTAAATTTGCAATGAAGTCCCGGGAAAAGTTGTTAATTATTGGAAAATTAACTCCAACGGAAATCAGTTTTTCGAAGTGTATATATTACACCCTATTTTTGTTTAGATTTTCAAATCTACTTTACTATCGCAACTCCAATATTTGAGACACCCTGTACTTGTTTTTCGCGTCGGAAACCGGACGAAGAAGCAAAAAAAAAAAAAGCGAATTGCGAAATACCGACCGCAAGAATTCCTAAAACATTTCGGTGAGAGGCCAATAATTATCGGTTCCACCAAATTTCACAGGAGAACACTTTCTCTTCCGAGAGAAAAAAAAAACGAATCACGACTCGTCAAAATAAATAAGAACTAAAAGTTCAGATTTTCATGAAATTATATATTTTTACATGACAATTGTTTCGACAACACCGTGTCTTTATCAAACATATGATAAAGACACGGTGTTGTCGAAACAATTGTAATGTAAAAATATATAATTTCGTGAAAATCTGAACTTTTAGTTCTTATTTATTTTGATAAATGAATTTTCATCAAGTAAAAGCCGCCTCAGTTCAATTCACGACTCGTCATTAACGATCTAATCCGAATAAACGGGAGCGAGTTCGTTTATTATACAGGGTAGTGACAAATGACTATAAAAAATGTTTTTATTTAATTAAAACTACTTCGTGTGTTTAAACACCATGTACTTAGCACTTTTATTGGATTTGGATTTGTATCACTTCATATGTTATACAAATTATTATATTTTATTTTGAATCTGACTAAACCAATACAACATCTTACTCAAGCTTTGTTTAAAACATGAATTACTTAAATTCAATATAAAATCAGCAGGTAATGCCACTAAATAAAACCTGTTACTAACTACCAAACATTTCCTACATAACCTCCATCTTTGGCAATGCCGGTTGTAATTTTAACTTACTTGCAAGATATGCGTGAAAAAAAAAACTAACCAATAAAACTGTTGCCCAGCCAAAGGACACAATTTTCATTTGACACTTAGTTGCCACCTACTTTTTTAAAAAGAAAAAATGGCTTTTTGCAGTGCTGAGATCTTCATGAATGTTACACAAGGAATAAAATTTGATTTTTTTAATTAGAAAAAAAAATTTTTTATGGTAATTTGTGACGACCCTTTATAACATATACTCTCGCCGCAGACAGTTCAAAGTTCAAAAAAGATACAACTACCAAACTATAAAGTTCGGATATAAATTGTTACTTTTAAGAAAATAATTTAAAACGAATTCAAAAATATGTCGTTCTATTCGGCGCGCCTTTTTGGGCAACCCCGTATACTTAAAAATAATTTCCGCATCCTCACAACGTTTGCAACCTTTGTATCCGCCATTTTCTCACAACTCAAAAAAAATACCAATCAGAATTTTGGGGAGCAAAAATGCAAAAATTTCTGTTTCATAAGTACGATACGTAATAAACAAAAACCGTGGGGGGCATTCGCTTTTTTACGAAATTATAACGTGTAGAAGCAGAATGTTTAAAAGTCCGGCGCATCCGCCAAAATATGGCATCGGACATTCGGCAAAAACCAACCAAACCGAAAACAAAAATCACCTAAACAACTTTGCGAGACCAAATTGCCGTTCGAGCGCAGCGTGGTTTGAAGAATATTTCGATAACCGCGTCGAGAGATCGTCGTTATTACTTACCTAGATCTGCCGTAACGCAAAATTAAATTGGAAAGAAAAAACGGGCTTCGCCACCTCAGTGAAAGCACAATAAATCATCGATACGGCGTCTCGCGTATGCAGCACCACCAGAAAATTTGGCGGCAAACCGAACTTTTTCGACGGCTTCCGATAAATCGAAAGATTGAAAAAGGCGTCACATCTGCTTACGTCATCAACCACGCATAGTGACGAAAACATAAAAAACTGCGATATTAAACCGCAGAAACAGCCAAAAACCCGATATTTTCAACGTATTTTACGTTTTATTACGCCTGGGCCGTTTAATGCAACGTATACGGCGATGCCAGTGTATCCTACAAATGGAGTCCGTGTGCGTTGTATAGCTTGCCCATATGAACAAAGCCAAACTTCGAAATTAATTAATCGACCTTACCGTCGGTCGGAAGCCGTTCGAAAAATCACCAAAATTTCTTCGAAAAATTAGAAACACTCACGAAAAGTTTCGAGGCGTACGATCCCACCGAATCCGCGGAAAAAAATCGAGAACTTTTCACCTCGTCCCCAATGCTTTTCTTATGGCAGCCATTTGTTGGCAGTTATACGGAAAGTATACGGACAATTTGGCGTTTATTTTTTCCGCGCAAACTAAACGTTGGCCTAACTCACCGCGCCCAAAATTCAATATCGTCGGTCGAACGGGATCCGAGTTTCAAATATTACACGGTGACATTTTCTATCAACTAAAATACAAAATATTTCTTACCTTGCGAAGCTTAGAAACTACTACAACACGGCTTCGTATCTGCGCCCCACGCCACAAAATACCGAACGGCGAACGAAGTATTTATTTACTGCGGCCGCTTATTGGTCGCGTTCGAACTTGGCGGAAAAAGCGGGCCAATGCGCGACGCGTCGCCCAAATTTCTACACTTCTTTTTCGGACCAATTAAATTTCGGCTACGGATCGCGCACAGATTATTATGAACTTGTGGCCGCGTCGGGAGAGAAACGGGCGGGAAATTTGCGTACGAAACGGAAAGGTAATTTTTCCGTTGGGATTTAAACCACGTGTTAAAAAAATGTGGATACTGAACTTGTTATCGTCGAATAAATGACGCGAATTGAGTTTTCGTGGCATAAAAATGCATTGATCACAGAATAAAAAAAAACGATCGTTTATCTGTGCAACCGACCAAATAGTAACCGTCTCTTGCCCCAGTGAGTTATTTAAAATGCGAAACATAAAATGCGGGTTTTCTGGCTTAGCGTTTAGATGAAACTACAACAAAATGTCGGAAGAATTGAACGGAGTGGCAGTAGTCATAATAATCGGTTTGGGAGCGTTGACTGTCATCCTGCTGTTTATTTTCGCCAAGCGCCAGATTATGAGGTTCACCCTGAGGTCGAGGCGCGGGCCCCACGTCCCGATCGGCCACGACGGCCCGAAATTACTAAAACGGGAGATCGAGAAGAGATTGGACATCATCCCGCGGATACTGTGCGAGCCGAAACTTATCGCCAAAGCGGACCCTCGATACATTCTGTTCCCCGGGCAACAGATACCCATACATTACTATAGGATGAAGGCGGTGGACGACGTGAAAGTTTTGGAAGGCGAGATCACGAAGCAAGACTCGTGTTTGGTCCGCCATCCCAGCGAAAACCTACGGGCTTACCTGTTGACGACTTTAGCGGCTCCGTTGGATGGTACCGGACAGCGACTCATTCACCAGTTTTGCGATTTGTATGAGCACGCGAGGCACGATCCGAGCCACTTCGGAGACGAAGAATACCAGCAGTATAATCGGCTGTTGTTGAAACTGGTGGACGCCGCCAAATTGCTAAAGTCGTACAACAGCCGAAAGTCGTCGCCCAATCGGACCCCGCAGAAGAGGCAGTTGCAGGACAAGGAGAAAAATTTAAATTTGAGTTACAATGTCGATGAGGTTTTGACCGTGCCCGATTCGAGGCCCACGACTATATCGGTGCCCCTTTCTTCAGATACTGAAACTTCGGTTTGAGATTAATGGTCCTATTAATCCGAGAAAGTTGTGGTTTATTTCGCTCCATTATGAAAATATATAGAGAGGAAGAGAGGTACTATGGAACTTACTACTTTAGATCTGGTTTGTAAGAACGTTGCAGTAGTGAGCTTTAAATATTACATTTTGAAATAAAAGCTTTTTTTTTTAAATATTTCATCAAGCTTTTATAAGACTACCTAATTGCTTTTGCAAAAAATTAAGAGCCCTAATCGCTATTAAAAAGTTATTTAACATAATATTAAAAAGCTGTAGAGCGGAAAGTAAGTTTCTGACGTCAGTCTTGTGAAATCTAGTTTTCCGCGTCTGCGGTTTGTGGAGTGCGTTATTCTGTGCTATAAATAAACGTTCGTCAGTGATGTAAGGAAACGCAGAAATCATACTATTTTTATTTCTATGGATTTGATAATAGATCAACAATTATGTGATGGTGTGGGCAAGAATAAATTAATAATTTTCATTCTTCAACATATTTTTTTTTAATGAACTCGACACAGGACACGAAAGTGTTGACCTACCAAAAAATGGAGGCGGATGCCGCGAATGTTACGGCGTATTCTGTGGTTATAGTAAAGAGGCTCTAGGATCTTGAACTAAACATAAATTTTAGATAATAGCCGAGGAAAGTTATTTTTCTATGGAAATTTTTGGTACGTCTATTTATAAACGATCAAGAAAATCTATATTTCATTTGTTTTTCGAAAATATTTTCAATGAAAAAACTAGTGAGTATGGTTGACACAACTTTTATCTCCTCGTTGAACGATTTCCCTCGTATTTGATTGTTTCAAGTGAAATCAACAGCTTTTAAGCAGACAATGGAATGTCGTCAGAGGAGGTTATTTATATACTGACTAAATATTCGCACTGTTAGTCGGGAGATTCGCAGGTTCCAAAGCTTTGTTTTACAAGATGCCTTCTATTAAAGAACTGCTGAAAGAAGGCGCGATTCAGATTGGTTCCGGAGGATCGGCAGGTAATTTAAAAAAAGTTTTTTGTAAAGCATCGATGTGGTGTGTACTTTACGTTGCATTCAATTGTTAGGATTCGTGGAAGTGTGCATAATGCATCCTCTAGATCTAGTTAAAACAAGGCTTCAGATTCAATGTGGTAATTCCATGCGAAAGGGGGACCCGAAATATTACTCTGGCGTGTTTGATTGCTTGCGAAAGATGTACCTCCACGAAGGTATAACTTCTTATTGGAAGGGAATCGTTCCCCCCATTTTGGCGGAAACCCCCAAAAGGGCGGTGAAGGTAAGAAATGTAAAGCGAATTTGCCGATCGTGGCCGGTTACCACCGAAATTTGTTGCTTTCCAGTTCTTTACGTTTGAACAGTATAAACAGTTCTTTATGTTTGGCGCGTCCGCTCCTACCCCTTTGGTAAGTTCTCTCTGTTTTATTTCCGTGTAAAGATCGGGCTTTTTTCAGACATTTTCGCTTGCCGGATTGGGAGCGGGCATAACCGAAGCGATTCTCGTGAATCCTTTCGAAGTGGTTAAGGTAACCCTGCAGGCGAACCGAGCCGTCGGCAAAGAGCTTCCCAGTACCTGGTACGTTACTAAAGAGATAGTGGGAAAACACGGTTTCGGATTTAGAGGACTTAACAAAGGCGTTACCGCGACCATAGGTCGAAACGGGGTTTTTAACATGATTTATTTCGGGTTCTATCATTCCGTTAAGGGTTACTTGGCCGAGTACCAGGTGAGCAGCAGAATTATTCACCCTGAGGAGTGTTATGCTTTGTCCTCTGGTATTTTGGGTGTTGTTTTTTTTTGCATCGATAGAACTGCAAAATTGAGAAATCTTTTACAATTTCGGGAAACTTTTTCAATATTAATGTTGATGGAAATTTCTATTGAGACTTCAAAAAACCTAAGCCCAAAACTTTTTTTGTTAATATTTTGATTTCTTTAACAAGTTTAAAGAGTAGATTGATCAGCTACAGATTCATAGAGGAAAACAAAAAAGTGTTATTAATTTTTTATAAAATCATAACTGCACTCACTAGCTAACTACAAAGTTATTGTGAATGTGTCATGCCACATGTAATTTAAAAAAAAATATATTTCGCTGTAGTCACTAATGGCTCCAATTCAATGAGGTTGCTTTCCACTTCCATTTGCTGATACCCATTGCTGCTCTATCCATTTCGGCCTCCGCCTTCCATTTTGGTTTTGGTCTCCCTGCCATTTTTTTCCCACCAATTGAATGAGTAACAACTATCACTATCCCCATATTTTAGCCTTTTTTCTTTCCTTTGTAAACCTTAAGTAGCACTTTTTTATCCCGACCATTTTGTTCTGCTTTGTTTAGTGCCCATTCCTCACTCCCATACATTATTAAAGGTCTTATGACTGCTTTGTGTAGTCTCACTTAACCTTTCCTGGATATAAATTTACTTTTTAGTACTACTGTCATGTTTTCCTACTGCCTGGACCCTGTAGGTTTCATTTTTGTGTGTTACAATTGTCAAGTATGGGTTTCTTTTACACTTCTCATCTCTACTTAGTCTTCTTTTCAATGACATTACTTTGTGGTGTCTTTTCTGATATATTAGCATGGATTCTTACCTCCATTATAAACTTTTCTAAGTAAAGGCTAAACAATACCGAGGATAGTGGGTCTCCCAGCCTCATTCCTTCCTTAACTGCAAATTTATCTGGGATTCTGTTGTTAAAACTTACCGTGTTACCTTATTAAAAAACCATACAATAAGCAGAATTCCTCCATAACATTTTTTTCTGAAAAATAAAGTTTTTATTTATAATGGGCCGTTGTCAAAATGATTAAAATTCCCCTTTGTCCACATTTGAGTAGCGATGTTTTGTATTGGTCTCACTTTAGCTTTACTCTTTAGTCCTACTGTCCTGTTTTTCTACTTCCTGGTATCTGCAGGTCTCGTTTTTCTCTGCCTCAATTGTCACGGATTGGTTTCTTTTACATTTCTCATTGATGCTCCCACCAAATGACACTGCTTTGTCTTCCAATGTTTTTATACTTTCTTTGAGTCATTTATTTCTTGCGAGGAGTACCAATTCATCGACAATAGGTAGGCAGTGGTGTCTCTTCTGATGTATTAGCATATTAGCCCCCAAGTGTGGATCCTTGCCTCCCTTATAACCTTTTCTTAGTGAAGACTAAACAGTACCGAGGATAGTGGTTCTCCCAGTCTCATTCCTTCATTGACTGCAAATTTATCTGGGTTCCTGTTGTTAACCGTTACCCCATTACATTCTCCCATAACATTCTTTTCAGAAAAGTAAGGTTTTTATTTATAATTATTATCCAACTTTGAGCACTGATGTTTTGTATTAGTCTCACTTTAGCTTTACTTTTTGATCATTTATTCAATGCATGAGTACTACTGTCGTGTTTTTATACTTCCTGGTATCTGTAGGTCTTCTTTTTCTATGTTACAATTGTCAAGTATTGGTTTCTTTTACACTTCTCATCTCTACTCAGTCTTCTTTTCATTCAGGCTCCAACCAAATGACACTGCTTTGTCTTCCAATCTTTTTATACTTTTTTTGAGTTGTTTACTTCTTGCCCCTAATAAACCACTAACCCTCGATGAATCATCTTAATTCTGGCTATTTCCGAGGGAAAAAAAAATGACGTACTTGCAGGATCCGGTCAAGGAATTCTTCAGAAAAGTGGCCATAGGTTTCGTGTCTGGCACACTGGCGTCATGTATAAATATACCATTCGACGTGGCAAAATCTAGGATACAGGGACCTCAGCCCATAATGGGGCAAATAAAGTACAAAGGTACATTTCAGTCGATGCTCATCGTGTATCGAGAAGAGGGGTGAGTGTTGATGACGATAAGATTGATCGATCAATCGATTGACTGACATTTTGCAGGTATTTTGCCCTGTACAAAGGTCTTATTCCGAAAGTTTTAAGATTAGGACCCGGAGGTGCTATAATGCTGGTGGTTTACGATTATGCTCATTCGTTTTTAACAGAAACGTTTAAGTGATCAAAATAATGTGATTCTTATGGCTTGTTTTACCTAAAATATATAATAAACGAAAAGTTTCGGCCATGATTTTTATTAAAATTAAACTTCGGAAGAAATTCACAGCTTCATTTGTTGACTTCGAATGTGCCCGTGGAGGTCCATCAGTTCATTTTTCAGGCTATCGAAGATATCTGTTAAACTGAAACATAAAATAATTAAATTTTAAGTTGTTTCCGACTGTCGGGGCGAAAAAACTTATGAAAATTGTTTTCTAATTTCTAGAATTGTTTGGTTTTTGCTCTAAAGTAGTGGAGGTGCTCGAACATTATATCAGGCCCGATTTCGATCGCTCGTATCGCCGCTTGAGGGCGCTCATCTAGTCTAACGCACAAGTGAAAACTGCGCTTTTTAGCTTATACTATAGGTAAAAGAAATGAAGACAAGATAATGCTGCAAACTTTGGGAATATTCTCGCTAGTAATGTCACGCCAGTAGTGTTTAACCAATCAGAATTGATTTTGTTGACGGGTTTCCATAGCAACACATGTTTATAGCCGTTGTCATGGTCATCTGTCAAAAACACTTTCTAAAAAATTACAAGTGCGGAATTTTGAGGATTACTTGCCATTGTTAATGTAACATTTATTTCCGAAAATGTTCTAATATCCATTGACAGAGCAAAAACCATTTAATCAAAGATAGTCGAATCCATCCCACCTTTCCAACGGCGTTCATTCCAGCTACATATGTCATAATAGGGCCCCTTTAATTATATTTTTTTCATCCCAAGTCGTTGGACGTTCAAATTTATTCCACGGCATAGAATAAACAAACATTTTTTGCTTTGCTTTGAACATTAAAAATCGGCGCTGGTCGATTAGTTTGTGTTTTATACTGCGTCCTTTTATTAATTAAACGGAGTGTTTTTATTATTTGCCTATTCTGTGACGTAGTCGTGACGCGCCGAATATAGTATTTCACCCCCTCTTGTAAATTTATTCGTCATTCGTTGCAACTTGCGGCTTGCTACCTACTTTTTTTTGTACGACCCCTGTAGATCTTGCTGCGATTTGTCGGTAAATGTGGCGACTGTATTTGTGTCGGAATTAACCTGTACTCCTATCGATCTGTTATTCTGAAACACAACGAAAGCTTTGCAGTTTTAATCCATATAGCTACTAGGGTATGATATTTGTAGTGTTCAGAAACAACACGTGTTATTATTTATTTATTGAAATTAAACAACGTTATATTATCGTCTACGAAGTCCACCACAGAACGTGTATCTCGCCTGGTCTATGACTTAAGGAACCTACGGTTACAGACTATAACCCAAAGTACAGATTAAACCAACTTTATTATTCTACCATAATACAAAAACGTATGAAGCAACTATTGTCAATTGTGATCCAAGACATTAGAAGAATCCTCTTCTCTGCTGCGGTTGGCCCAAAAATGGAGTTTAATGTTAATTGTTAAATTTAATAAATAAGCTATTGAACAAGCGTTTTTAATTTACCACCCACAATCGGCAAGAAAATCGCGTTTTTAACCTTGCGGCATAAAGTCATAAGTTTTTATCGTGATATGGCCACCTTTTAATAGCTCACGCTCAAGTGAAAAAAACCTAGGCGTACATTACGTCCACAAAATGAGTCCATTTTTTTTTATACGTGGCTACCCTTGTTCCAATCAGCATATTCTATGTTCTGTGTTGTTAAACTTTCCCAATAAAAGTGAACCGAAGAAAAATATATTTTGTGTTCTAATCTTTTGCAGCGTCAGATAGACGAATAAAGAAAGCAAAGATTTAAATTGCAATATAGATGCTTACATAAACTTGGCATAATTGGCAACAACCTTTTTGACGTGATTAATGGCTTGAAGCAAGGTGATTCTCTCTCAGCCTTACGTTTAAATATTGCCATGGGAAAGACTATAAGATTGATTGAAAAACCTAGGATAGACGAAGATAAAACCAAATGTATGTATGATGGCAAAAAAAGTGAGAAGTGATAGAATAGGGCAAAATGTTACAAGTTCGAAGTAGCTAATTACAAGTACCTTGGGGCCACAGTAAGCAAGGAAAATAGTGTGCTCAATGTAATCATTGTAAGAATTAAGTGGGTTGTACTAGCAAAAGTCTTTTCCGAACACTTGGACTTGGATGTTCACCAAGGAAGACCAGTTCCCATAAAAAACAAATGAACTCTAAAACCCAGACATTGATGAACTATGTTTTGAAATAACCCATAATAAAAACAATGCATTGTCAATTTGACTTACAACCTATAGTAATATTCTTTGCCACCACCGCCAATACATGGTAACTAATGATATTTCTGCTGTGGTTGCCATAAATTTGATTATTTATATTAGAAGATCGGTGATTTTATTACAAAATTAGAAAAATCAATTTACCTTCTGTTTTATTAGTATTAAATATTGTTTTTTTAAATTATATTTTATACAAATCGATTATTTTTAGGTCTCAAAATGTTGCAACGGAAACAAAATTTTTATTACTGTTCAGAAATACATCCTCGCAATCTTTTGTCATATTCTACTCGCTACTGACAACTTAAGAACGTAAAAAATGAATTGTAATGAGCATCTTATTTTTTTTTTCTTAATAAACGATAATGTTGATTTATTTTCTCAATAGCATTAAGTTAAAGGTTTTTAAAGACGTATGAGATGTGGAATAAATATATTTATTTAGCACAAATACATTTCGGCCTAAAGAAAACACCCGAAACAAAATTATTCGGGCATTTTACTACATAAATACATACATCACGATACACACAAAATAACAGAATTTAGCAATGTGGCAATATAAATATATAAAAAATGCTAAAGAAATAATAACAATAAGCTACAACCTACAACATATAAATATAATATAATATGACATAAATTTCAAGTAATACCTAAATTATACGATAGATACGTCGATAGCATCGGAGGTGTTTATCTACAAATGACTAAAGGTCCCGTCAAGACACCGGCCGTAGCTTCTTTCCGGGCAGCGAACGGGGCTCTATCAAATATTATTCGATTAGTCTTACTTTTTGAATCCTGCCAAATCTCGCAATAAACGCGATTCGCGAATTGTGACGGTTATTTTATAAAACACGCAAGTTTGAAATATTAACTGTGCCATAGTTTACAATCGAATCGGGCTCGAAACTAATCTTGTCTACTAGTAGCAAAGAAGAAGAAATACCCATCACAATGACTGAATAACCCCAGTACACGTGGCTGAAAGAAGTAAAGGAGAAGAACCGAAATATGCAATAGCCTTTTGGATTTTTTTTTGTGTGTAAAACGACAAATGACGTTAGTCTTTGGCTAAAACCTGACAGGTTAAAACTTGCGTAAATAAGTTTTAACGTAAAATTCCACTTAACCAAACGAATTAATTTAATTTTCGATTTTTTTGTAGATAAACGCGGCAAATCGAGACGGTTAAACCATTTTCGTCACCCGCCTTGCGATACGATTATTATATAAAAATTCCGAATAAGAAAAGTTGCAGTTGCGGTTTTAAATTAGACATTGCAGTGTTTACGATACGGTTTTTTTTTTCACCGTATTTGATCGGCGGCATTTACGTAAAATGAGTTTCGCGGCACACCGCTTACATAAATGTAAATAAAGCAGTTTTTCGATCGGATTTTGATGGATATTTGGGTTAATGCGAAAAAGTTTTTTTATATAGGATTCGATTACGAGCTTTAGTGCTTCGAAATAAAAGTTATGTAAAAGTCATATACCGTCAATCGACCTAACGTCCATAAATTGTAAATTGTTTGGGGTATTTCCGTTTTGATGTGTATTCCTTGAGCAAACTGTGCCAAAGAATATCGGTAATTTGTTTAAAAAGATTTCAAAATGTAGGGGGTAATCATAGCCTGCTTCATAATTTTATAAAACATTATTTTAAAGACAAACTTATCAGCACTTTTCTCAAAAGTCGATATACCAATCCAGAAATACCCCAAACGCCCGATAAAACTCTCAAGAGCGGTAGTAATTATTTAAAACCAATCGAACTAATAACAAAATTGCCGGCATTTCAGGTTATGTCATCTCCCGCATAGGTATTTGGTATATAGTTTATCTTATGGAGTAGCTGGCAAACAATAAAATCAGATGAGGAACAAAAACGTCATTGCGCGATGCTGACGTATGGGGGAGGGTGGAAAGAAGACAAAAAAAATAGAGACAGTTGAAATGGATTTCAACGTCGCATGTAATGTATGCGTGGCAACGCAGTTCACGGAGCGGCTAGGACAGTGTGCGTGTGGTCTGTGACTATGTCAAAGAATAGCGAGTGTTAAGTTAAAAATCAGCTTCGGAATTTAAGATTTTGATTAGCAAATCTGTTAATTGTAGTTAACAAGTAGTTAAGCAGCCATAATTTTTATCCAGCGACGAAATGTTACTCATAAACCCGTAGTTAAGTTAAGTGGAGAATTTTGGATCAGTTATTAAGATAATCGGTCTATTATTAGCTTGAAAAGTGAAGTTGAGTTGTGGCGGTGGCGACTTGCTTTAACAAAGCCGAAAAAACATAATTTCAGATGAGATGTAGGAAAGGTCGGAGAACTAAGAAATGAAGAAATGTGGCTGTTTTTCTTTACTAATTTTTAGGCTCCTATTAAAAGAAAAAAAAAACATCCTTTTACCTAACAGAAAATTTGGATATCATTCGCTCCCTAACTCAGGACCATGCTATAACTCGCATTTTTTTGTTTTAAATTTTCACCTTTCATAGAGCTAAAGCTCACTTAAGGCAAATGTTTTTTCGTGAGTTTTTACAAAAGTAGGTGAACAACGTAATGCGTAAATTAATATAGCTAATGCGTTCTTGACAATTTGCTTGTACGGAAAAAAATGTGATTTTTCAAGTAAACAGGGAGTTTTTATTTTTCCTAAAAATTATTTCTTAACTTTTACGCAAAAACAACAGCAAACAAGTGAAATTCTAAATTATGAAATGCATATGACAAATTTTTCACGTGAAGTATGTTCCAAAATGTACATAAAAATAAATGTTTTTCAGCTATGCTACTTATACACAAATAGCTCGACAAAGGTAACCATCGGTTACACTTTTTTAATTTTGATAGATACGGCCGTTATTTTTTGTTTTATTCGGATGTCCCTAGATTTGTATTGTATAACGTATGTATTTTATGAATAAAATGAATGTTATACGCCCGATGAATGACGGCTTATTTAAAAATTTTGGTTAGTTGTAATCTGGCCGACTGACCTGGCAATTAGTACTAAGACGAAGGACGTGTTCTGTATTTTATGACATCAGGAAAACAATATGAAGAAGAGCAGAAAGAAGAGTGCCCAAGTTGGCGTAAAAGAAGAAGACGAAGAATTTCGATCAGGATCCGCGTTTTTCAACGTTTAAGATTTGTTTTCGGCGGGATAGTTGTTGCGTTGGTGCTTAATTAACGCTGTGTTCGTAAATTTGGTGCAAATGAGGAAGAAGAGGCCAGAAAATGGCTACGCTGACTAACCAGTCACGTTGACGGTTTAGGATGACACGCATGCGTCATAAAATCGTGATTTGCCGTCTTCAAAAGTTCGTCTGTCTTTGGTTCACTCTGACGTAAGTCTTTTTGCGTCCGTAGTCGTTCTCCGTGACGATCGCCGCCGGCGAAAGCGCGTCGTCTTCCTTGTAGTCTTTTGTTTCGAGTTTTGACAGGTCGGGTATGTCCGGTTCCGGTATCTCGTACGTAAAATCGGTGGTGTATTTTTCCGGAACGTACCATCCTTCGGTACTTCGTCTTTTCCTGGTCGACCGAGGCGGAGGTTCGATTTTAGATTTCCTCTCCGTTCCGCTGTAATCGTGATCGTAAGGGACGTTGATCGTTTTATCGGCCCTGTCCAGTTCCGAAGCCTGCGGCTGCAGGATACCAAGGTGGAAAGGGTGTATTACCTCGTGTTTGTGAGAGTCCTCGGTTTTTTGATTGTTCTCGTCGCTTCTCGCCAATTTTTCCCGGAACTTTGCGTATATCTCCTTCGATTTCTCTTCGTGGGGATACTTGATGTGCGCTACCTCTTCCCCAGCCTTCGCTTCCTCTGTTTCTTCTTCTTCTTCGTCGTCGTCCTCCTCTTCCTCTTCCTCGTCTTCCTCTGCTTTGGGTTGTTCTAGTTTGTTTTCCGCCTTGTCCAGGTTCTTCTCCAGGTTTTTCGCGAAGAAATGGTTCAACGGGTTATCGTCGATGAACGAGAAGTACCCGTCCTTTTTGAACCCTTCGAGGAACCCCCTGTCGTCCTTCTTAAGCGCGGTGGGCAGCGTGACGTCACCGAACCGATCCACCTCGAAGTTTTGCCGGATCAAACCGGCGACCACTTTTTCGTTCGCCCGTCGCGCCCCTTCCGTTTTATCCCCCCCTTCTTCACCGTCTCCCGTTTCCTCCTCCGCTTCTTCGTCTTTCTCTTCTTCATCCGTTTCCTCCTCATCTTCTTCTCGCGGTTTTTGCGGTTCATCGTGGTCGATTTCCTGCTTCTTTTCACCACCTTCCTCTTCCTTCTCGTCAGTTTGTTCCGCGCTCTCGTCTTCTCTTTCTTCCTTCGTTTCGCCACTTTCTTCCTTCTCTTTAACGCTCGCGCTTTCTTCTCGCGGTTTTTGCGGTTCATCGTCGTTGCCCTCTTTGGAGGTTTTGTCATCGCTATTCTCCTCTACCGAATTTTTCGAACCTTCATCGCCTTCTTCCGAAAGCTGTTGCCGCACGGCCGCAGGAAATTCGACCGGGGTTTCGTCCACTTCGAAGATCTTCTTCTGCAGTTCGATCGTGAAATCGCTGGGAGTGACGTAATACTCGTAATTGAAGGGTTCCTTTAAGTCGCTCCCTTTCTTCGCCCCTTCCGCTAATCCTTCCTCGGGCTTCTCCAAGCCCTTGGCGGACGGGGACTTCAGTTCCAGCTCTTTGGTGTCTTCGCGCGACTTTTTAATGACGCCGTCCGCTTCTTCGAGGAGATTGACGACTTGCGCTTTGTGCTTTTCGATGTCCGGAAGCGGGCCCGTAATGTGGGGCCTCTTCTCTTCCGAATCGTGCGATTTTTTTATCACGTCATCAGCGATGTGGAGCAACCTTTCCACTTGGTCTTTCTCTTTCGGTTTTTCCGCTTGTTTTTCCTTCATCTCCTCTATTTGAACCGGACGATGGTCTATCACGACCTCCACGTATTCGGGCCCATCGATCTTCGCGTCACCTTGTTCTTCCTTAAAATTAAAATAGTGCCTTTCATTGCGATTATCGATCTGCGGTCTGGGATAGTACTGCCCAACCAGGTGAGGGTTTTCGACCGCGTTTTGTTTCGCGATAGCGTCCTTTCGGAATTTCTCGTTAAAGTAATCGATCAGGTGTCTGTTTATGATTTTTTGGGCCATGTAATTGGCCTGCGGTTCCTGGTCGTGCGTCACCACGTAGCGAACGTCAGTGCGTAAGTTCGAGTGCAGTGTTGGGTTATCTAAGCTTCTTACCGACATGTGATGGGCCGGTCTTTTCCGTTCCAGACGGTCCATGTGCCTGATTACCTCGTCCTGGATCAGTTCGACCGATATTGGAGTCGGGCTGATGTATTTGTAGCCGTGGTCCTCGGGCTTGGCCGGCGTCTCTTTCCAGAATTGGTTGAATTTCTTTTTGAAATTTTTCCGCTCTTGGTTGGCCTCCCGTTTCGACTCGCCGGAATCGTCTTCGTTCGAATAATCCGGCAGCTCGATCAACAATCTAAAACGAAGGGAAGTTTACGATCGCTTACGTTATCACTTCTTCTAAGAACGACAAACGTATGTAGAGAAAGAGATAGATCGGAGACAAGAAAACATCACGAGTTGACTACGAAAACAATGGTTCTGGTTAATTGCTTGGAGAGCCTCCACATCTAGCAATTTCAGTCGTTTGCAGATTAACGAGGTGTGCTGTCATTCAAAGGACGACTGGCCCTATTTGGAAGAACAGCCTGTTAAATCGATTTACCATCCACAAATCTGAGAAAGCGGCAGCTCCAAGTAGCTTTATTGATGCTGAGTTAAAAAAAAAGTATGGAATGTGTATGGAGCATCGAGTATGGCGGGTATGCTACAAAACATTATACAATTCAAGATAGTAGGAGACAAGGCCCAGGTCGAAGAAAGACTGAATGAAAAACCATTGAGACTGGTATGAATTCCAGTTCCCCCTTTGGATAGGCATGTGACAAGGTAAGATTGATCATGATGATTACGTTATGGTACTGAGAAGAAGAATCTTAATAGAGGACCTGAGAACCTCAACCTATTTTATGCTGTCAATTCATTCATTAACTGACATTGCTTTTTACCACCTAGCAAAATGTATTATATCCCGTAAATCCCAAAACACCTAAGTTACATAAAGAGGAGATCCCGTGCCACTCGAAGTATTATTTGAAGAATATTTACATTCCAAACGGTGCTTCGTTGATTTCTCTTGATGTCCAAAACACTTTGCCAAACAAAATGTTTCTTCAGTAGTCTCCACTAGTTCTCCACATATTTATTGTTTTTTTAGAGAGTCCATATCTACTGACAATACGACACAATTTTCAACATCTTAGTTTGGTGAAAAAGGACAAGGGCATCGATGTGACAGACACCAGATTTGCCAAAGAGAGTCCTCTTTCCTTGAATGATGATATAAACTGTAGGTCTCCGGTGTAACCTTGTTAGGAGTCTTTATGTTTAGGCTGTATACTTTAGATATGACAAACCAAAGAATCGTAGTAAACCGAAAGTACCTAAATCACCTGAGGTTTGCGTTTGTGTTAATAGCTTAAAAAAACATGAAGATCTCGAACAACCGCTGTCAGAATTTTACTGAAATTAAAGTAATCACTATCGCAAACGATGTAACAGTTGGTCAGAAATACCTTGGTCAAGCTGTTGAGATAAGAATAAGAATACGTTTTGAAGAATCGGAATAGAATTCCTTTTCAACTAAGAACGATAGTATTCAACTCCTCTTTACAAGAAAAAATCTATACAGAATAAGAAAAACCGAACGATCTATGGAAATGTAACGAAAACATGTGAAGGAAACTCTAGCGCGAAGGTCAGGATTGGCAAGCACACATCAGAGATGTTTTCTATCACCAGTGGCTTAAAACAAGGCGACGGACTATCTCCACTACTCTTCAATATAGTGTTTAATATGGCAATTAGATCAGCTGAAATAAAACTGGACTCAGACCAAGGCCCAAGACTGATACTAGAAAAAGAATAGTTAAAGAATTTTAATACCTGTGAGCCATTATAACACAGGACAACGAGGTAACGGAAGAAATTCGGGCAAGGATGCAAAAAGGCAATAGGTGCTACTACTCGCTACAATATCTATTGAAATCAAAAATACTGTCAAGGAATTCTAAAATCAAAATAAACAGAACAGTAACAGGAGCGGTAATAACTTACGGATCGGAAACCTGGACCATCACGAAGCTGCTAAGTCGCTTTGAGCGAAAAATTCTCAGGAGGATATATGGACCTACAGTGGATGAGGAAAAAGAAAAACACACAGGCTAAGATGGTTAGGACATGTCCACAGATCCCGAAACGCACGTCTTGTTAGACGTATTTGGGAGGAAAATCTTTCCGGAAAAAGACCTCTAGGGAGACCTAGACCAAGACAGAGAGACAATATTACCGAAGACCTGCACACCCTGGGTATAGAGAATTGGAGAGAGGAGGTAACGGACAGAGACAAGTGGAGGCAGGCAGTAATTGCAGCAAAGACTCACAAAGGGTTGTGAGCTGCATAAGAAGATGAAGAAAAAGAAGAAGATCTATGGAAAATGTTAATTGAAGTTAAACGAAGGTAGGAGCGACTTGGTAATTATCTACAAATATGTCTCGTTGACTTTTGCCTGAATATTTCACATTCTTACAGTAAACGTGGATATTAAAATCTCTATCGAACGGCTAAGTTTGTGCAAATTATTTTAGTTTTTGGAATTTGACTGTTAGTTTTTGGCATGGGCGTATCTGCATTTCACTCACTTTTTCGGCGTGCCGCCGCCGTAAGTGTAATCCTCGTCGTATACGTAAGTCTCCTCGTTCGGATCGTCGCTTTCTTCTTTGTAAACCTTGGGTTTGTTCCTCGCTACCGGATTTTGCCTGACCAATTCGGGAACGCGGAATTTCTTCGGCGGCGCCGGCGCCGGTGGCGGTGGCGGAGGCGGCGGCGGTGGAGGCGGCGGCGCCGCCGCTTGCACCGTCGGCGGTTGTCTGGTCCTCTTCCAGTTTAAGTCCACGGTAAAGGTTCTCCTCACGCCTTCAGTCAAAGTAGCCGGAGGAGTTACGGGCGGTGCAGGCGACGGAAGGGCATTAACCGGAGGGTTAACGGGAAGTTGCCGCCCTGCGGGCGGTGGCGCCGGAGGGGCGGCGGGCGGGGCGGCAGGAGGAGCGGCGGGCGCTGCCGCCGGAGGCGGCGGAGGCGGCAGCACCGACGGTCTCTTTTGCACATCGTATCCGAAGAGATCGGCGACGTTCGTCAAGATTGAACCTATCGTTCGCTTGTCTCTAGTCTGGGCTTCCGATTGGTCGCCATCTTGGACGCCGGCCGACGACACCGACACGTGCAACACCAAAACGCATATCAACTTATGCACTAGCATGTTGCATCGCTATGGGGAGGTGGATTGTTGCCTTCGCTGGACCGCCGAGCGAACTGAATTTCGCCCAAAACTTTGACGCTACTTAGGAGCCGATATTTCGCCCGACAGAGAAAGGCGGTCGCGGTTTTTTTCGCCGCCCCGGCTTTTTTTTTCCTCTCCCGTCTCGCTTTTGTAATATTTTAATATCGGTTACGATTTTCATGAAAGTTGACCAGTACGGTTGCGCAAAAACTTAGGTGCCGTTTTTAACGCATCGCCGATTCTAATTCGATTTGTTCCGTGGCGAGGAAGCGTTTACTATACAGTGTGTCCGCGGAAGATAACTACCGAACGAGCTTTTAACTTATTACCCGGCATCCACGTAGTAATACGTCAATTTTGACACGATCATTTTGTTTTACTTGCAAACGAAATTTCAACTCATTACTGGCCATTTTTTGTCCCAAGTCCAGTACTTCTTGACGAAATAATTCGTTTTGTTTTACACCCTTACTTAGTTATTAACGAACTTTTAACTCATCACTGACCATCGACGTAGTAATACGTCATTTTTTGCCCGAAATCCAATAGTCGGTCGAACTTTTAACTCATTACTGGCCATAATACGTTTTTTGGCGCAATCAGTTTGTGTTATTTTTTTTTACTTTTTACACGAACTTTCAACTGATTACTGGCCATTGACGAACTTTTAGATTTTAACAAAGTATCGTTTACACCTGAGCAGCTTTAGGAAAATCCGTACTAGTTTTTTTTTTTATTTTTTAGTTAATAATAATAGTATTAGACAAAAACAAGGGTAAACAATGCACAAGTTAAAATAAATTGCAAAGCATTAAAAAGAGGCACTTAATAAAAGTTCTAGGTTTTTGTCAGATCTTTGTGAAAAAATAATAATGGAGACATTTCCATTTAAAATGATTCAAATATATTCCTTTATGTCGAACACCCTGTAGCATCTAATTCAAATCCCGTCCCGTATATCTTTTACGTCATCTTGGAATGATGCTTTTAACTAGTATTTTTCAACAAAAAAGTTGTGTAATTTTTAAAGCAACTTAAAAATAGGGCGAACGTATGTTTTATTCGTCACGCTTTTTTGAGCCACCCTGCACTCTTTAAAATAAGTCTTACAACTTTTGCTTTCGCCATTTTCTCATAACTTTTCGAACAATCTTTGCTCTATCGTTGAACCACCCTGTACGTAAACCGCTGAAAAACAACTTTCGCGCTGGCAAGCTTTGTTCCAGTTCTTAATGTTGTTAAATTTTGTTCTATTCCGATTATTCGACGCCACAGGGCCGCGAGTTTTTCGCAAATCGAGGTTGTTTCGGGTTATGATTTATGTGTCGAGATAACCAATCGCCGAGTTAAAAGCCCAAAGACTGACGCAACTACATACGGGTTCGGTTAAAATCGAATAATAATAATAAGCAACCAGGTCTCAAAAATTAATGCGAAATTACCAGGAGCCACAGACCGTATGGTGAGTTCACTCTCGGAGGCTCAGACAGCAAATAAAATGTTTAAAATACCTGGAAAAATTCAAAAGTACACAAAATGGCTGCATTTCACTCTTTTATACCCAGACTTCTTAATACGCCACTCTCAACAGAAAATTACAACGAAAATTTAATATCATTAAACAACGGCTACAATCCGTCCATTATAGATAAAATTATAAATAAAAAACCAATCCAGACAACGGTAAACTCTATTTATCCGAAACCTAATACACAACAATTTAAAACAAAACCCAGTGAAAAAGTTTTAAAACATTTGTCAAAATGTGTTTTAAAAATAGCTTGCCGAACTAACAACACAATAGGAAAATCATTTTTCGAAGATACTTCCACAGGCTACTGTAATCCTTTTTACAAAACTTCTGGATTCTGGTTTTTGCTTAGTCGAAATTGCTGACGTTTCGCCAACTATACTGTTGGCTTCTTCAGAGCTTGACTGAAACTGGGTATCCTTCACCATGTCAAACAGTTTCAGTCAAGCTCTGAAGAAGCCAACAGGCTGGTTGGCGAAACGTCAGCAATTTCGACTAAGCAGAAACCGACGCGGGAGGAATCCAGAAGTTTTGTCAAAAGCGCAATAGGAAAATTTTTAAAAAACAAAACGAAATGTCCAAAATCAGGTATCTACAGGATGCAAGCGCATTAACGAACATAAAAGAGCGTTTAAAAACAATAGTCTAGATTCTAATTATGCTACACACTTAAATACAGAAAAACACATTTTTGACGACAATTTTGATATTTTACATACAGCCACAAAAAGTAGAAAATTAAATTTATTGGAAGCCATGGAGATTAACAAAATGAGACATTCAAATGTATTGCTTAACGATCCATCGGAATTAAATACCTCTCCGTTATTGAACTGAAATTCTTACAACATTAATTAAGGTTTTATTGTCATTTTTCGGTATATATAGCAGCAGGTAGTGTGTAAATATTACATTTGATAAAGACACGGTATTGTCGAAACAATTGTAAAAATATATATTTTCGGGGGGGAAATCGAAGATTTAGAAATAGATGAAAACACAACCGTAAAAGCAACAGACAAATTTAAATACTTAGGGTGTATAATAACAAAAGATGGATCAACAGAAGAAGAAATCAAATCTAGACTAGGGCAGGGTAGAACATGTATAAAACAACTGAACTCCATTATATGGAACAAGAAATTAACAAAGAAAACAAAAACAACAATATTTAAGACAATAGTAGAAAGTATAATTACATACGGAGCAGAAACCTGGCTATTGAACAAAAAGAACAAATCTAAAGTAACCGCCGTCGAAATGGAATATTGGAGAAGGTGTTGCTAACGAACACGCATGGATAGAATACGTAACGCAGAAATCAAGAGGCAAATGAATGTAGAAAAAGACTTATTAACTACAATAGCAGAAAAACAGCTTAAATGGTATGGTCATGTCAGACGAAGTGACGATAGACGGTGGATAAAGAAAATCACAGAGTGGAGCCCTATGGGACGTAGAAAGAGAGGAAGACCCAGAAGATCGTGGAGGGATGAAATAGATGAAGCTATGGAGGAAAGGGGGTTGGAAGACGGAGATTGGAATGACAAAGATGAATGGAGAGTCTGGTTGAGAGAGGGAAAACGGCGCGAGCTGTAACAAACCCCATATGTATATATATATATATATATTTTCGTGAAAATCTGTACTGTTAGTTTTATTTCTTTTCTATATTTGACTCAAAATTTGACGTTTCATACACATGCCGATTACATAATGAATAAATTTTCTAAAAAAGGTTAATTTTATATCTAGAATAGGGAGCAATTTGTCAATTGACACCAAAATCTTATTGAATAACAGCCTAGCTGCTTCCCATTTGTAATTTTGTTCGACGCTTTTGTTCATTTTGCCTAAATATAAATGAAAGCAATTGATGATTGTTCAAAATAGGGCCATGAGGAAAATACATATATACGCCAGTTCAAAGAATGTTGGAGTGTTCTTAATTTCTTGTCTGTAAAACGAAAAGTAATGTTCAATTTCTACGTATTTATTTTTAAAATTAAATGTGTGTTCCCAATTATGTTTGTGAAAACGTTACCTATTTCGGAGATATTCGTTCTTACAATACAAGAAATTGTGGTAATTTTATGTTGAGAGAATGTTATTCTAGTCGTGTATAAAACTCTATATTACCTAAAGGCCTAATCCATTTTAACAATTTACCGCATGATATTAAAAACTGTGATATTCTTAACAAACTTAAAAAGACTTTTAAGACGCCATGTATTGTCCAAATTCTGATTTGTTTGCTTAGCTTTTGGTTTCCGTTTATCTGGAATTCTATATTTTATATTTAGAATTTATATTTTGTATTTTTCAACTTCAGTTTGATGTTCGTGTGAAGTTTTCTTTTAAAACTTTGTCATCAAATCGGCAAAATGTTCGGTCGAAATGTGATTGCGAAAACGCGACTGGACAAATATGAGGTGCATCCAGAATAGGTAAACGTACTTTCTCATTATGCCGATACCCGCAACGGCATCAATATTAATTAGACGGAAGCGGCTGATTAAAATTCGATAAGAGTACGCCGAAATCGTCCGGTATAAAAACAAAAAGAAAGTGAAAATTTCGTTCCTGCTAGTTCGTCCTTCGGCAGTGATAGTGATAGAGACACCGGGCGCCATACGGAAGAGTTGTTATTTCAAGGACGCGATGCATCTTTTCCGCGTAAGTGTTTTTCTTTAATTCCACAGGCTACTGTAATGCTATTTACAAAACTTCCGGAGTCGGTTTTTGCTGAGTCGAACTTGCTGACGTTCCGCTAATCATCCTGTTGGCTTCTTCAGCAGGAGGAATCCAGAAAAGTTACGTCCGACAACTTTTTCTCTAAATTTTCACTTAAGTTGACCCCTAAACGTACTGCCTATGTCTTAAAGTATACCTTCGACGGATCTTAGAGATAGTTTGGACGGAAGTAAAAGAAGACTTTTGGTGCAGTAGGAAAGCCAGTTCAAACTTCGTCTTTCTCGGTGAAAAAGTCTAAAAATTTTGGCATTCGTTACAAATGTCAAACTCTGAAGGTAAAGTCTGTTCATAGATATAAGAAAGTGACTAACTGATACGAAAGGAAAGACCCGGGCAAGCTGTAAGAACGAAATATGGAAGAACAGGTCCGTGCTTTGCTTAGAATTTAATTAATTGGGGTTTTGTTTGGAAATATACTAAACAATATATATTTATTTATGTATGTATTTATGTTTAAATCTAAAATAAAATTACAAATTATATTACCTACTCAAATTACTTCAAATTATTCACATAATATATCAGTATCACTATCGCTATCATCGCCTGTTCAAATTATTATCTGTTCTATATGATTTGCAATATGGATATACGATTGTTCTGCTTTTTCTATATGTTTAACAGAATTTGCCCAACTTTGTGGAGCGATGTTAAAAACTTCGGTTTCTATAAGTTTGAGGACATCGGAGTTGACACGGGGAAAACATTGTTACGACGAATGGCAGATTTCAGTTGATGCCAAACATGTTCAAGAGTGGTAAGGTGGAAGCCTTAAACTGTATGGCCTAGATTTTTTGCATAATTATCCTTTTGTAGGTTCAAGCTTTGTAGAACCTCAATTAATTGCTTTTTGGTATAATCTTCGTGAAAATTAATGTAGTTATTATACATGTAGTTTTGAATTGTTGCTTTTGTGTCATATGAGGAAGGGGTTTTAGTCAACTGTCTACTGTGATAACTTGCATTGTCCATTACAATGACGCTATTAGGAGGAATGTTTGGAACTAGTTTGTTTTTAAACCAATTTTCAAATAAATCAGGGGTCGTGTCTTCATGGTAATCCAGAGAAGAATCTTTAATATTTTTCTCAGACAGGGACAGCCCATTTGGAATCCAACCATCTTTAGAGCCAGCATGCAAAATAATTATTCTTTTACCTCTTTTTGATGGCGCGTTTGTTTTACACTTATCAGTTGAATGAACCCAACCCTTTTCCGAGGTATCATAAGAGTCGAACCAGGATTCATCCAAGTAAATAAAGATTCCATTAAAACTTGCCTTTTGTCACATCTAATACCGGTTTCATCTTTTTCAAGTCTCTTAATTAACATATCTAATGTAGGCACGCTTTGTTCCTCGTATAACTGGTAAATTTTACGCCACTTTCATCTACACACGACAAAATGTCAGCATCGCTTCTTTTTTCCTTGCTGAAATGGGATTATTCACAATTTTCCATACAGTTAATGTTGGAATTTTCGTCAATGCGGTCGTTTCTTCTAAAGATGCTTGCTTGCTGGCAGTACATTCAATGAGAGTCTATATCTTCCTTAGTCTCAATAGAATAGTGTTTTCTACATTTGGGGGGGGGGGGGGAGCATCTCCTGAGGTACACTAGACTCGCACATATTACACACGAAATAAGATTGACTACTAATAGACTCTAAATAGTATCCCAAACCAAAGAATATTAAACCCAGGTAGGTATAAAATTATTTTCTGTTACGGACCACAATTTTACCTGAATTTAAATTCCGAAACTTTAGGTAATAATCTTGTTGTATTCTATGTTAATGACCACCCTTGGATAATCCCATTCAAAAGCAATTGGTCACTTTCTTATATCTATGAACAGACCATACCTTCGAATGATCTTTGAGATAGTTATGACGGAAGTAAAAGAAGACAGTTATCAAATGTGGGAAAATCGTGGGACAAAGCAAACAAAGGCGTTTGGTGCTGAAAGAAGGCCAGTTCAAACTTCGTCTTTGTCGGTTAAAAAGTCAAAAAGTTTGGCATCCAAATGTGAAACTCTGAAGGTATCAGTGCAATTATGTACGTCAACGGTTGGCGGAGCAAAATGCCGTTGACTTCAACACTTCCACAGGCTACCGTAATAATATTTACAATTCTTCTGGATTCGTCCTGGTGAATGAAAGAATAAGAACACAAAAGAAAAAGTTACTTTAGCAGCCGAAAGAGACAAAAAAATGAAAAAGTTATAGGGGATGTTTTACTCATATCCAGTTTAACACGAACATATTCAATTTGCTAGAATTACTCTGCTAAGTGCTAAGGAACATCGTTGGTGTTCCGAAATAGTGACTTCCACAGGGCTGGACATCGTCAGACATACAGACATGTCATCGACAACACCAACCGACGAGGACACTCAACAGAACCAAGCCTCATGAGTGATATATAAATCACTACCTTCAGAAGATGAAGATGATTACTATTAACTATTACTTGTTAACCTAAATCTGACATTATTGCAGCTGATCGGTGTTGCCTTCCTGTTTTCCCTGCTGGAAAACTGCACGGCCGACGATGATCTGCTGCGATCGAACTCCAACCACCTGGACCCCCTAACAGAACACGATGGTTCCGTGAACCAGCACGAAAAACGCACCATTTTCGGCCCCATCCGCAGCGGCGATTGGGCCAAACACGTCCTAATCACCAAGACGGGTACCAAGCAAGTCATCGGGTACTCTCCCATAGACTACAAGTTCTCGTCGGTGGTACGACCTTTGGCTCTAAAACCGGTCAGTTATAGCTATCCGAAGCCCCAAGTCTTGTTCCGTATCAAGTCGAAACCGGTTCAAGGCGGCTGGAAACCAGTACCTAGCGCCGTCAAACCGATTCTTCACGTAGAACCTCCCGTAATTCAACATCAACCGGTTCCTCACGTCGACCACGTGGATCACGTCCACCAAGTGCCGCTAAACCACGTGCATCTCCTTCCGTCTTATCCGCATCAGTTTCCTCTACACGTCGATCAGATTCACCAAGTCAACGTTCCCCACCAAGATCACGTAGACGCCGTTACGCACGTCGATCATCTTCATCCCCCCCAGCACTTGGTGCACGTTCCTCAATTGAAACCTTTCGTACCTTCGCCTGTGCTGTTCGAAGTCACCAAACCAAACCTGGGGGTTCTGCCGTTGGGAGCCACGTTCCCTGCTCCCGTGTTGAGGGAAGTTCCCCACATACACGTGTCGCAACCTCTGGCACCTCTACTTCCGATACCGGCGCCGCCAGCGCACCATCAAACACCTCCGCTATTCTTCGAGTACCACGGGACTAGGAACTACCTCCCGATCTCCAACGGGGCGCCATTTTTGCCACAGGCCGTCCATCCTCACCAACATTTGCCGCAGCAGGACCACCTCGTGCCGAATTTTATTCAGCAGCAGTTACCGCACTTCCAGCAAGATCTGGACATTCCGCAGCAACAGTTGCCGCTGGAGGCGGACGATCACCAAGCGAATTACGAGCAGCACCAAGTGATCCAGCCCGGCCGAACGGACGTCCAGATACCGTTCCATTTGCCTCAGCACGCGGCGCACCAAGAAGGGTATCCGGAGTCGGCTAGGACTTTCGAAGGCGGCTTCAGGCCGTCTATAAGTTTGGAACCCCCGTACCACAAGTAGTTCGAGTAGTCGTAGTCGTAGTTGTTAATTAATTTATTGTTTAGGTGGTCTAGTCACGTCGACAAGTTATCGTTTCTTGTTAATGTTTTAGTCGAACGTATCGAATAAATATTGTTGTACCGTTACTAGTAGTTTTAATGGTCTAAAGTAGCGCCAGCATAGACTATATTGTTTTCATCTACGAAAAATACTATACACTAAGACCCTTCTTCTTCTTATATTGGGATTGAACTTGTCCGATCTCTGCAATGATAATAATAATAAATTGCCTTTATCGTTGTATATTATATTAATATACAGTAGAGAAGAGGCCAAGTCTAGCAAAAGCTACTCCACTTAACCTCTTAAATGTTATAATTACATTAGCATTACATTACATTACAATAGTAATATGGGACAATAGGAAGTTATTAAAAGTAAAAATAAACAAAACTTCTGGATTCCTCCTGCGTCGGTTTTTGCTGATGTTTCGCTAATCATCCTGTTGGCTTCTTCAGAGCTTGACTGAAACTGCTTATATATTGTTTGAAAAACGTTTAAAAACAATACTCTAGATTCTAATTATGCTACACACTTAAACACAGAGAAACACATTTTTGACGACAATTTTGATATTTTGCGTACAGCCACAAAAAAGTAGAAAATTGAATTTATTGGAAGCCATCGACATTAACAAAATGAGACATTCAAATGTATTGCTTAACGATCAATTAGATTTAAATACCTCTCCTTTATTGAACTTAAATTATCACGTTTTCGGTCGGTCATTTTTCGGTACATATAGTAGCAGGTAGTTCGTAAATATTACATTTGGTAAAGACAGGGTGTTGTCGAAACAATTGTCATGTAAAAATATATAATTTCGTGAAAATCTGAACTTTTAGTTCTTATTTATTTTTTTTGGTAGTAAGTAAATCGAAATTGGTAAAAGAAATTTTTGTATTTACACATTTAGTCTGTCACGCACGCTGCTCGAGATATTTGAAAAATTCTAGACACGATGACGTCATTGACTGCGTAGTTCCAGAAAAAAAGCTATTTTATCGAAAACTACCGACCCGATCGACGAAATTCTTCAACCAATAAACGCGGGAGATCCAGGGCTATAACCTATACTTTCGGTTACATACAGGGTGTGTCGACAATGGGCAAAAATCTCCCTAATATTGGCGCGAATTCGATTTTAGTCCGAAGCTTCTGCCGTATGTTTCACTTTCTTTAATCGACAAGAGACAAAAAGAGTTCCGCGAAATGTATCGCAGTCCGGGTGGCATAAAAAAGGCGTTAAACAGTTAGAAAGGCGATCGACTAACCGCGACGGGTGCATAAAAATCGACTTCACGATTGGACTCGCCTTCTGAATTCTGAAGACGGGTAATCGGTCACGTAGTCCCAGTCTCGTAGAAAGGTAAAATGGCATTTTACCCGAACGAAATCGAGTTTTTAGTATACGAGCGCCGCAGACAATTGGTTACCTTACCGCCTAATTTCTTCTCGTATAAAACCTTCACGTACCTTACTTACTGTCTACGGCAACGTAGACTTTAGACGTCATTTAGACTTTTTAATCGGAACCATACGAACCGGTTAAAGTTTAACGCTCGGTTACGTTCGTCCTTGTCGCCTGGCGTTGTCCCATATTAGTCGGTTTTATTGCACGCTGTTTGCGGATTATTCGGTCGTATTGCTTTTGAGGCTATGCGGAGTCCTTAGCACTTGCGAAATCTCAATTTTTCGCGGTTCTAATAAAACTATTGCGGCCCAGTTGTTTAGCAAAGAGAAAGTAATGCACTTTGAACCGACCGGCTCCCTTAACCTCGAGCTATCAACAGATGCACGGCGTCTTCTTCTTTTTTTCTTTCGTCGGGCGAGTGTACCGGGGACGCCCGCCCAATACACACGATGAAATTTTTAGTTTCTTATAAATTATTTCGTAATTTGTATTATAAATTAAGAGTACAGGGGCAAAACGATGAGGGTAAAAAAAACTTCATTCTGAGTAATTGTGATTTTTGTTTAGGAAGACTACTCTAGAACGCGGTAAACAAAAATAGGATTTTGGAATATAATTATTGCTAACTTGAACTAAAATACTTTTTGGCAGAATATACAAAAAATATATAAATCGTTAATGCAAGAGTATAAAAAAGAAACTTTCATTCCAATACAAGAAAAACTTATACTTATATACAAAGCAATATTAAACTTGATGTTGAATATTTCTCTACATTTTTCATAAGAAACTAATTTATCATGACATTTTTCTTTGTACAATGCAATTCAGTCCCTACCGATTTGTTTTTATTGACGTTGAAGTTATATATATAACCTCTGATACCTTCATCTTTTTTGCGCAATACTATACATTTTAAATTTTATTTATCTTTGTAATGTCATCTTTCTAGCCATGTCTTATAGCCGATATATTATACGAAGTCTTATTTAGGCAAAAGATGAACCGTCATCTTTTTTTCCCCTGTACTTTTGCAAAGGGCGGACCATTAAAGATGTCCCTGTGCCTTATTTCAATAAGTACGACACTGTAGAGTGTTTCGTATGGGTACCGGGTGTTCGGTTGTGACAGGACAATAACAAATTTAATTTTTCGAAATGGAATGTTTTGAATATTTTTCAAAATTCCAATTATTCTCTCATTTCGGAGTATTTCTTGAACTTTTCCATTTTCTTTGCGAAAAAACAGGTTTTTGGAAAAATGGGGTTTGGCCACTTATCTGTCCATAATTTATACCATGTCTCTGTTTGAACCTGCAAACCATCCTTCCGAAGCCTTGAAATCGATAATGCCAAGCTGTTCAGCCAACTTTTCTGCTTTTAGTTTTACGATTGGTCCACAGGGTGTTACGTTTTTAAGACGTTGCTGTGGGAACCACTGCCACTTTGCCCGATCCAAATCTTCAAATTTTGGCTTTCTTAGTTTTTTACTAGAACTGCCTGCCGCTTCAGCCTGAATGATTTTTTCTTTGCACTTCCAAATCATGGATACAGTCGACGGTGTAAGTCCGTATCGACGTCACAAGTCACTTTTCTTTTCTCCCCGTTCTATCTCCCGAATAAAAGCAACTTTATCACCTAGAGATTCACTAAGTCAAATTAGAACTGATTGAAACAATGGTGTGCTTTAACACTTACCGATAAAGGCATTAACATAATCGCTTATTACGAGAAAAACGCTTAGGACGACCAGGTTCTCGGTACTCAAATTATTATGGTAAGGAATTCGGATAAGGTAAGAGACTCTAATAATTATAACTCGGCCTACATTCCTTACTTTGTTACCTGATATGCGCGGTATAGAGTGAGAAATTCGTTATACATAGTGGGTTATTGGTTATTGGTTTTATTGGGTTTCGGATTTAATTCTGTATCATTTAATATATACACCTTTTATTACAAAAATTGGTGGTTTAGCAGTTATGGCCAATTTTCTGCGTATTTTATTTGAAATCGAAGTAAACCAATATAATATCCTATTCTAACCTAATTTTCTTTTTAACAATAGTTACCAATATTCTCTATAAAATCTACAACATTTTCTACGAAAAAAGGGAAATACACAATATTATGAAATAAAAAAATCAATTAAAATTAAAAAAATCATGCATTTTTTTAAATCAATGATATCTGATTATTTTAATAAAAATCAAAATTTGCCCAACACTGTTCCCAATTGTTACCCATGATGGCGCGGGTACCGGTTTCAACAGCGAGCGAAAATAAAAAAAAACCTTACCATTTCAAATTGATTTATTGTTTCTGCCTTAAATATATGTTACATTGGACTAATTACGAATCACTGACGACGTCACGTTCACCAGCCGAGGTCGTGATGGCCCAACGCGTAGGATCCGCCGTAGGACTTGGCCAACAACGGTGCTGGTGCCAAGCTGATGCCTTTCGAATAGATGGGGGCGGAGATGTAACTCTTGGTGATGAGGGGCGCGTGCGCCAAGATCGGTTTGCTGTACAGTGGCGCCGAAATTATGGGTTTCGAGTATATGGGAGCGGCTTCGTAGCTCTTGGTGATGAGTGGGGCGTGCAAAAACGGTGCCTCGTAGCCTTTCGCGTAGATCGGAGCGTGGAGCAGGGGCGCCTCGTAGCTATAAGGCGCGTGGATTACGGGCGCGGCGTAGTCTTTGGTGATGAGCGGGGCGGGAAGGAAGGGGGCGTGGTCCAGACCTAGGAGACCGCGTTTCTGTTTCGGTAGCGGCTCATCCGCGGCCATTGCGGCGACAACGACGGTGAAAATAACGATCTGCAATCGTTTAGTCAGGGGAAGTTTTCATTTGGTCGGTTTTGTTTGGCAAGAGTTGAAAACAATTGGGACTATAACCACGGGATGATGAATAACCAGAGAAGCGGCTGTGGCGTCTATAGTCAGACGCCATAAGAATTTATTGCACGTATTAATGGTAAAAGCAGAAGGTGCTTTGTTAAATTAATGAAAAATATGCATTTTATCTAATAATAGTATCACCTAATTAGTATATATTAGTATTAGTATTAGTATTAGTATTATTAGTAAATTAATTAAATAATGTGCATTTTATCTAATATAAGAGAATTTGTTGCCAGAAGGTTCTTTGTTAAATTAATGAAGTAATATTAATAAATAATAATAATAATATTAAATAAAAGTATATATTAGCATTAGCAAATATGAATGGTAAAACCAAAAGATTTTTTGCTAAATTAATAAAATAATGTGCTTTTTATCTAATATTAGAGAAATTGTTGCATGTGTGAACGATAAAAACAAAAAGTTCTTTGTTAAATTAATGAAATAATATTAATAAATAATAATAATAATATTAAATAAAAGTATATATTAGCATTAGCAAATATGAATGGTAAAACCAAAGGGGTCTTTGTTCAATTAGTGAAATAATATGCATTTTATCTAATAATAGTATTAGTAGAGTATATATTAACAGGTATGAATGGTAAAACCGAAAGGTTCTTTGTTAAATTAATGAAATAATATGCATTTTATCTAATATTAGAGAATTCATTGAATGTGTGAATGGTAAAACCAAAAAGTAATGACAAAAAAATACTTAAGATCAAGCGCATAATTACAAATTGTAAAAATAGTCATAGCATTCCATTAAAAACAATAAAGCTGGTCATTGTCCTGACACTTTTGTTTGTTTATGTCATTTACAAGCAAATTGTAAAAGCGGGTGAAAATTACTTTTATCGAGCGATTCATCTAGGAAATATCTTGCACAAACCAATGAATCCGATGATTAAAGTAGACCCTATGTAATTGCACCCAAATAATTGGAAAAACCGGCAGTTGAACCGTATTTGTTCGAGAAACATTGGCCAACTTTTTTTTGCCTACCAACCTTCCGACACAAAAATTCATACTCCTTTTGTCGAGTATGGTTATGGCAGCAAAGAATTTTAAAATAATAATTCAGTAATAATAAGGGCTTCAAAATCTAAAGAAAAAATGTTTTTACGGGATTTTATAGGCAATTTCACTTAATTCCAAAATTAAAATATTCTCTGCAGATGTTGAGCGAAGATTTTGTTTTAAACATTACGGACAAAAGGCACGATTTTCATTTGGCATATTTTGAAAAATATTTAGTGGTATTACTAATTTACGGATGGTAAACTGTAACTATCAATGTGTGTATCTATTAATAGAAAAAATATTGGTCCTTTTTCATTTATATTTATTTAAAAAAATATAGGATTTCTGAAGCACGGGTTTAATTACTTAAAACAACATTAATGTGGTTTTTCGTTTGCATTTTTTGCACTCCTTATTGTTAGGTTTCGCACGCTTTCGAACATAAGGTCTGATGTGAATTGTAAGCTTGTAGATTAGAAACACATCCGTGGTTTAATTCTTTCAAAATTGGATTTTAGAATCCATTAAAGTCCCATTTAATGATACTATGACCCTTTGGTTGTTTGCAAAGACAGTTTATACCGATTTAAAAGAAAAATTAAAAAAAAAATAGTCTAAAGTTCGTTTGGTTAGTTATTTAAGTATAATAAAATCAATAAGAACTAAAAATTCAGATTTTCACGAAATTATATGTTTTCACCATACCATAAATGACAATAAAACCTCAATTAATGTTGTTGTGAGGTTGAAATGCGGATCTTGTCCTAAAATTTATATTGGACAAACAGGTAGATCCTTCAAGAAACGCATTAACGAACATAAAAGAGCGCTTAAAAACAATAGCTTATATTCCAATTATGCTGCACACTTAAACACAAAAAAACACATTTTTGACGACAATTTTGATATTTTACACACGGTCACAAAAGGTAGAAAATTAAATTTATTGGAAACCATGGAGATTAACAAAATGAGACATTGAAATATATTGTTTAGCGATCAATTAAATTTAAATACACCTCCATTTATAAAATTAAATTCTCTCAACATTAATGAAGGTTTTAATGAAATTTTTCGGTATATATAGTAGCAGGTAGTTTGTAAATATTACATTTGATAAAGACACGGTGTTGTCGAAACAAATGTCATGTGAAAATATTTAATTTCGTGAAAATCTGAACCTTTAGTTGTTATTTACTTTGTTAAATGGATTTTCATCAAGTAAAAGCCACCTCGATTCAATTCTTTAAGTATAGTCATGTAGCAGTTAACGCGACCCGTCAACGGGTATACGAAAGAACGATAGAATAAAAATAGACGTGCGATACTCACGAAGGACTTCATTTTCAGAATTCCAAAGGGCACGGGGCAGCCGAAAACTTCGCACCTTTTGCAAAAACAACGGGAGAGTAATATATTTCGCATCGCCACGCGTTTACTTATAACCTCATGGAATGGTTTCAGCCCGTGGAAGGGTAAGAGAATAGGATACATTTTTTCAAACGATCATGCCGTAACAAACTAGAATCGCCGCCTTAAGATTCATACGAATTCAGTGGACTTTTACTTTATTTGCCGATTTTATCGTAAAACGGTTTGCGAACAGGAATACCGACCTTATGCAATGGCGGTTTTAAAAAAAAAAAAGGGATACCCATACACTCGAAGGTTTCCGGCAGCATAGAACTATTTTTATTTCGGACCCAAAGCTGAAGGTGACCTTCAGACATATACAGGAACATTTTTTTGCGAAAACATGCGTTTTTCAACTTGAAAACTAAAATTGGCATGTATGTATATCAAACACGTGTTTTTTTCTAATTATTCGTGTATTTCATTCATTCATTTCAATTCATAGAAAAAAAAACGATGCTGTAGAGCAGTGGAAACATTTACAAAATATCTTCGAGAATGTTGTAGAATTACCTTTATCAAAAATACGAAACATTCAGAATTAATATAAGCAGGCACTCACGGCATATCATTTTGTCGCCTATATGTTGAACCCTCAAAACCAAAAATATGAGTTATTCGTCTTATTTTTTTGTTGGATTTTGCTTTTTATTTGCGATAATATTTGAAAAAATCTAGTGATTTAAATCAAGATTTTAATTGTTAGAGTTATAGCGAGTAAACTTATAGAAAAACGATTTTTTTTTTGTTTCCATCGCCTAATATTTTTGAATTAAATTGTGAGATGTCATATTGTCTCAAAAATAGGGACATTACAAAACATTCTACCAATTGAGACTGCTAACAATACTAGCGTTATTTTAAAATACAAATTGGGGCTCAAAAAAACATTGGGCTCCGCATATCATTCGTATGGTGATATGAAGATGGAACCAGACCTTTTGGGATACCTATGATACGAAGAGAGTCAACAAATCACTATGTGAATGTGCAACGTTGGTGGATATAATAATAAAAATTTGAAAAATATTGTTTATCAGAATCTCTAGCGTGTAATTGTAAAGAAGATACTGCCTTTTTTTCTGAACCTTAAATAGGTTGAAGATAAAGTCTGTTCATAGATATAAGAAAGTGACTAACTGAAACGGATTAAGGAAAGACCCGGGCAAGCCGTAAGAATGAAATATGGCCGAACAGGTCCGTACTTTGCCTAGAATTTAATTATTTAAGGTTTTGTTATTTATGTTTAAATCTAAAATAAAATTACAAATTATTTTTATTACCTATTAAATTACTTAAAATTATTCACATAGTATATCAGTATCACTATCGCTATCATCGCCTGTTCAAATTATTATTTGTTCTATATGATTTGCAATATGGATATACGATTGTTCTGCTTTTTCTATATGTTTAACAGAATTTGCCCAACTTTGTGGAGCGATGTTAAAAACTTCGGTTTCTATAAGTTTGAGGACATTGGAGTTGACACGGGGAAAACATTGTTACGACGAATGGCAGATTTCAGTTGGCGGCAAACATGTTCAAGAGTGGTAAGGTGGAAGCCTTAAAACTGTATGCCCTAGACTTTTTGCATAATTATAACAGACGCATTCCTTTTGTAGTTTCAAGCTTTGTAGAACCTCAATTAATTGCTTTTTGCTATAATCTTCGTGAAAATAAATGTCGTTATTATACATGTAGTTTTGGATTGTTGCTTTTGTCACATGGGGAAGGGGTTTCAGTCAACTGCCTACTGTGATAGCTTGCATTGTCCATTACAATGACGCTATTAGGAGGAATGTTTGGAACTAGTTTGTTTTTAAACCAACTTTCAAATAAATCAGCGGTGGTGTCTTCATGGTAACCCAGAGAAGGATCTTTAATATTTTTTGCAGACAGAGAAAGTCTATTTGGAAACCAACCATCTTTAGAGCCAGCATGCAAAATAGTTATCCTTTTACCTCTTTTTGATGGCGCGTTTGTTTTACACTTATCAGTTACCTCGCTGAAATGGCATTATTCACAATTTTCCATACAGATGCTTGCTGGCACCACGTTTATGAGAGTCAAATAAACATTGCTTATAACTCTTTAGTCTCAATAGAATAGTGTTTTCTACATTTGGGCGGGAGCATCTCCTGAGATACACCAGACTCGCACATATTTTGCACACGAAATAACAATGATTACTAAAAAGCTTAAATTAAGTAGTATACCAAACCAAGGAATATTAAACATAGGTAGGTATTAATTATTTTCTATTACGGACCACAATTTTACCTGAACTTAAATTCCGAAACTTTAGGCAATAATCTTGTTGCATTGTATGTTAATGACCATCCTTGGATAATCCCATTCAATAGCAATCGGTCATTTTCTGATATCTATGAACAGACCATACCTCGGTTGACTCCCATGGGATCTTATCTCATTCCCGGTTTCTGTTTATTGCCGATGATTTAAAAGTAAAAAAAGAGTTTAGTTCGCATTTAGACGTATTAGAGCTTCAGAGCGATCTCGACAGACTTGCTGATTATTGCAGAAACCACTGATTATTCTTCAATTTTGAAAAATGTCGATATACTTTATTTACAAGGAAAAAGGTTGTTGTAGATATTCACTTAATGCTTGATAATAAACAGCCGAAAAGAGTCAAGCAAGTAAAAGACTTGGGAATAGTTCTTGACTCGGAGTTAAACTTTGAGGCTCGTATTGAAACCATTGTCAAAAAGTGTTTGAGAAATCTGTTATTCATTTTGAGAACTGCCAAAGGATTCAACAAGCATCGCTCTGTACTAGTGTAGTCATTCCCAGCTTGGAATTCTATTTATAGTAAATATACCATCAGAATAGAAATACAAATTTGTAAATAACCTTGTGGATTCTTCTTTTCGTATAAATTTTCGTTTTCTATTGAGCGATTTAGGTCGAATTACTTTTGTAACTCGCAATAAATAAATAAATAAAATAAATAAACGTATTTTTATTTGTCAGTCAAGGCACAAAAAAAAAACGAGTGATTTAATATAAAGAGACGTAGATCATTGTAATCGGAATAAGATATTCTATGAAGCACATAGATCATATTCCATTCCATTAAAAAAAAAGTGTTTTGTTGGAAAAGAAAACTTGTCTACTAACCCTACATTTTGCTTTTTCGTTTACCTCGATATCTCTGAAAACGAAAAACTCACAGCCAATTAAAATGTCATCAAGATAAATTAAACGCACGGTACATATATACTGACGTCGATCATTGTCGTGCCTTATTTATTAATAACAACAAGCAATAATTTACAATGCATCTACGAATTCCGAAATGAACGTTCATTTGCGTTGCGAAGCCGGTGTGTCAGCAACTACGAAGTGCGTGGCATAGCGGTCACTCACTTTTACGCTGAAAAGCTCTGGGAAAAAAAGCGCCCGCGTTCCCAATTAGTTTACGTTCTACATAAGACGACAAAAATTTTGAACAATATATTAAGGCGCGTTTCAAAAATCCGATATTAAATGCCGACCGATCGGAACTATTCGCAAAGAATTACCTGCGCAGCTGCTCGATTGTTATCTCGGGGTATTATTTCAGTTAAAATGTTTTTTTTAATTTCTTTTATTCATTTATTTTTGTAAATTCGCTAATCGCCATAACGGTCTAATATATAGGGTGTTTTCTAGAGGCATTATTTAGTGTACGACATTTTGTTTTAAATACACCAGTGGCGGGCGTTGATGGTATTCCACTGATTTCGTTTTAAATAAAAATTGTTCTTATTAAATCTCCAATATTCTCTAAAGAAATATGGTTTCTAGATCTTTTCGTTCCGATGTATGGTTAGTCGAACAGCGTTGTTATCATTATTACTTCTTACTTAAATAGTTCCAAAGTACGAATACGAAGTACGTAAACTCTTAGGTGTATTTTTGAAATCTTTATAATTATTTCTTATCATTGTACTAGGCTGTCAGTTATTTGACAGTTGTTTGACATCAGTTTTCAAATTCAGCCATTCGCATCTTCTATCCCAGCATTGTTATTTTAAAAAAGACTGTACTGGAGACGATGTTCCGGTTTAACTTTACTTGACCATGTAAGAAATGAGTCCACCAGAGAAAGAATACAAGCAAAAAATCACGCTACATTTTTAGGACTAGAGCTTGACGAAACCCTATCTTCGGAAACGCAATGCCAATTACTTTCTTCAAAGCTGCATAGTTGTGCTTTCCTAATAAAAAAATTAAAAACTGCAAAGGGCATGATAAATTTGTACTATGCTGACATCTATTCGAGATTACTCTATGGTTCGCGGTTCGCGGTGAGGACCCGCCACCTTTCCCGGTGCCCCTCCTGGGGTCACCGCCTCACCATGGCAGGTGTCATTCGGGTGAGCAGGGCGAAGCCCTAAGCCAGACCCTCCTGACGCTCTACCGTTTTACCTCGATGCCTCGGTGTGTCTTTAATTTGATGCCGACTATCCCGTTCAGTAAGAAAATTTTTCTTCTGTTCGGGATGCTCGGGTAACTCAAGGCTGCTTACCTGGTGTCTTCTGAGTTCGGGAATGTCTTCTTATCCGCGATCTTGCTGTCATCCTGGTTGAGTTAGTATTCTTCTAGGCCTTTTGGCTGGCCTTGCTCCCTCAAGATCGCGATCCACTGCTCTTCTTAGTCCTCTGGATTCGTGCATCTCCGCTTTTTCGAAAGCTTTTATCGCTTTATCCTTAATGAACTCTAACAGAGTGTTGAGTTTCAGATCTCTTCTGATATTTTCGTTTCTTACGTAGTATGGAGCTCCTACTGCCCACCTGATGATTTTGCTTTCGCAAGCTCTGAGCCTTTCCATGTAGGTTTTTGCCGCAAAGCCCCATGCAGTAGATGCATAGGTCAGTGTCGGTCTTATAACCGCCTTTATCAGCGTGACCTTGTTGTTTAGGTTCATCTCGCTGTGTCTCCCTAAGATAGGGTATAGTTGGGTCGCCACTGCCCTGGTTTTGGCTATATTGTCCTCTATGTGCTGTTTAAACGTTAGTCTTTTGTCGATCTTCCACTCGATGTCCTCTCCGTTGAGGTTGAG